TTTGCTTGAACCACCTTGTTGTTAAGTGCGAGTGCCCTCCTTGAAAGGCTTCTGCTGTTCTCCGCCCTTGTTAGGCTTTGAACTCTTCTCCTTGATGCTGCTCTCTTGCCTTTTGTACTTAACAAAAGACTCTGTTGTGGCCATGGCAGTTTCAAGGACCTGCACTCCTCGACGTTGCATCTCCATCTTGGTCCATGGTTGCAGCCCATCAAGAAAGCCGTGCATGACCTCCTTGTCCGTGATGTTCGGGATCTCTAGAAGCAGCTCCGAGAATTCTTTCACATATTCTCGAACTCCACCCCTCTGGGTGAGTCTTCTCAACCTCGAATGGGCTCCAAACTCCACGTTCTCCGGGTAGAACTGCTTCTTGATTTCTCTCTTGAAATCTTCCCATGTTACCATCACACAAGCACCTCTCTAGATATTGATATTGAGATTTCATTTTTGTTTGGGTTTGGAAAGTTATGAAGGGATGTAGAACTTGATTTTTTTGGGAAGAACAGATCCCCGCAGAGTGACGAAAGAAAAGAAAAGGTAAGATAATCTTGGGAGAAGAAAAATTAATTATTAATAAATTTATTTTTTATAATTGACATTAATTTTTTTATGAAAATATTTTAAATATTAATTAAAATGACACGTGTCATCAATGACTGAGTTGTTGCTGGGGTGGGTGCTGAGTTGGCATCTTAGTCAGCATTCCGTTTAGATAACTGACGATCACACTAACACCGTTAAAGTTTGTAACAAAAGTGGCTAGATTTGTCATATGATCATTCAAATTGTGGCTATTTTGTGTATTTCTTCAAAAGTGGCTATTATTGTTACAAAGGTGAAAGTTTTGGCTAGACATATGTATTTTGCCTATAAAAAAAAGGTGGAATATAACACTCTAAATGTGTTATCTGAAATATTTAGTAAAATTTAACTCATAAAACATGACGGTAAAAGCAGGAAGAAAAATCAAAAAGATGTTGTGGGAGAAGTCTCTTACAACTTGGACTCGCTGGCCAATTAGGCTATGGATCTACACAATATTGGTTAGGGCCTTTTGATTCTGATCTCCACAACTGCTAGTTAGAAAATTTACGAATGAAAAAGAACAAAAAAATAACTAATTGTGTGTCTATTAAGTCTAAGAAACAAAACAATAAACCTAGAATGCACCCTGGATTTTCAATTAAGATGGAAAATACAAAAGAAACAGAAAATATAAAAACAATGAACACAATTAAAGGAAAAGACATTTCAAAAAAAAAAAGTAAAGATAGAGGACCTAGTATGTTATTTTGTTGGTTAAGATGTTAGGATACCGATTCGTGGAGCGAGAGCGGGAGCGTAAGAGCGTCTGTTTTAAGAGAATCATATGTTCAGAGCGCCGAAAAAGTGTTAACATTATATTATTTAAATTAAAATATTATTGTATATACTATCATATTACTTACAAAATATAGTCACAATTTTTTTTTTGGTAGGGAAATATAGTCACATTTAATAAAAACAAAGATAAAAACACCTAAATTCAATTACCCAAGTTTTAATTATTCAACATGAAATACATCTGTACATGGACCCAAATCTTTGTAAAAGAACCTTTATGGACCCAAAAGCCCTAACCAAGCCCATTAAGCCTAGACCTACGCCATCTCTTGCCCCCTTCTTCTCCACATCAGAAAAGAGACTTCTCGATGCCCTCTCTGGAACTTCCCTCGCCGCATTCCACACCTAATCCGATTGTCCATACCTTCTTCCTTCCTCAAATCCCCCCCTTCTCCCATGCAGCCTTCCAATCTCTTCAAATTCAAAAAAAGATCCTATGATGATTTCCAAAATCTCCAGTAACTCGGCCTCTGTTTGAATTGAGATATAGCTCATCGTCGCCGACCAATCTCCTCCCTCGCAGTTCAAGATCTCCCTGATCAAAGTCTCTTTCAGAAGTAGATCGGACCTCTTTCTCGCTTCCTCCATCAACCCAACCGGTGATTTCTATCTCCTTCGCCAAATTTACACTCACTGCAGGCGACAACTACTCTTCACCTCCTCCGTTCTGTCCCTGTGAAATAACATTCGCGGATTTCCCTACGAAAATCGCGCTCCAACAAATGAAAAATCGCAATTTTTTTGCGAATCCATCCATAATCGCGTTTTAGCGATCTAAAGCGGGAGCGCCGACTCCTTTCCGACAAATTGTGTGACCTAATTAAGATGACACTTTCGTCATTTTAGTATGGGAATGATATCGTCAACTTCCTATGTAACCTCGAGCGAGAGAGGTGATTACAAATGCATAAGCAAATACGAAAGTCGATCTTGAGCAAAAGAGACGAGTAAGAATACTAAACTAAATACGAACAAAAAAATCAGTTTCAACACAACAGACAATAAGATAAAGGATTACAAAGAGAGATTAAATAAAGAGAGAACAAAACAAAACAAAAAAAGTAAAAGGGGAAAAGGACCAATAAAAGGGTGTCATATGTCCCTCTTAGAAGAATGCCTTTAAAGTACTTATAAAATAACCTCTTAATAAATACTAAACCATAAACTATGACTTTTGTATAAGAACTTGATAAACTCGGTCGCTGAGCTTTGCTTGAAGCGTGTAATATGAAATGTTACATGTGACTCTAAGAGGAAATGAACCAATACTACGGACCTAACTCTCATTTGATGAAAAAAGTAATCGGTGGTAAAATCAACCATGTTAAGAGACTACACGAATCGGAATATCTAAGTTGCTGAATAAGAATTGTGGAAACACATCTTGTAATAAATCGAAGCAAATAATAAAAAATGGACTCGCCAGCCAATGAATATGCACCTACTGGAGAACGGACAAAAACTCATGATGACAAATTAACTGACCCTCTGTGGCGAACTCGGATTTTTGTTCAATTCGGAAGATCCTGATATGCATCTACTAAAGAAATGCGCCTAGTAAACAATTGAATATAACAAGCTATGTGGTCTAATGCCCCGGTATTAAGGATCCCCTTTGTTTTAATTTACTATTGTTATGATATAAGTAAGATGATAATACAGATTTACCTTCACGATTTCGAAACTGTGGAAGATACTGGGTCACTGAATGTGCCAAGTGGTTAATGACTTGGCTTTGCGTGATAGAGATGAACTTGAAATATGCATATATACTCTTATTTTGTGTTTCCCAAAACCAGCTTGACAATGAATACTACCATATTCCAGGTGTAGCTACCTCTCCCCATCATTGCCTTCATAATTTCGAGTACTCTGACCAACAAAACCAACAAATATGCTACCCCTGCAACACCAACTTCCTTTTTTAGTCTCTATCTTTTAAGTTTCCAGCCGTCTGTTATGATTTGATTAGTATTCCAACTGCATACTGCTAATGCCATAGATTGGCTACTTTTTTTTAGCTCCAGTGTTTCCTGCAGCCTTTAATTTATGTTCATGCAACATAGATCATCATATGCAACTGCACTATAGGAAGAAATTTCATCATAAAGAGTTGTGACCCATATTCAAAGTTGAGACTTCTCATTAATCTGATCAAGTAATTGGTATTCTACTCGACTCTAAAAGCTTCTACTGCAGTATTGGGATTCAAGAACTTCTGCTATCTCATGGGTTTGCACACTCATAGCTATTTCCTTATCAAGAGAGTTGTTTATCCAACAAAGCACTATTGTGTTACAAGCATACTAGATATTAAACATTTCAGCATTACGATATGTGATTGGGTAGATCCATCTATAAAATCAAGCTTATGTTTCATTTTAAGAACAACTCTTACAACTCTACACCAGAAATGATAATTTGGACCATCTAGAACGATAGGAATGATATAGTGAGCAAGATTTTTGTTTGTATTGATGTGGAAAGAATAACAAAACACAGGATTGGAGGGCCCACAGACGTTGTTGGTGGTATTTGATCATTGGAACTAGTATTGTCATTGAAGTTTCCTTACTAGAGAAGGCTCCCACTAACATTTCCATCAATTGGTCGAGTAGGAGTATCAAGTATTTTGCCATAGCTTCTTAAAGCTTTCACAACTCTGATACAATGTAGAGCTAGGGGGAGGTGTTTCGACCGCGGCGGTGTAAGTATTCGAGAGATGCAGACATATTGCTAGGGTTAATGGGGCTAGAACATTGTTTGGGTCTTGGGCCTTGATCCTATTGAGTTTCCAGACTTATTTTAGGCTTTTTCTGTTTTGGGTCACCTAACCCTTTTTCCATCTGTATCATTTTCATTTGGGCTTGTACCGTTTTGCATTCTTAATGAACTGATTTAAAAAAAAAAAAATAGAATTAGGGTTTATGTTTGGAAGTAGGGGTGACCGAAATATTCCTAGTTAGGTTCGAATTTTGGATGTGAATATGGTACATTTCAGGAGCCAAGTTCATTTGAACCGAACCACTGAATTCTCGAAAATTGAATTTAACCCAGATTTTCCTAGGGCCCTGCCCAATAACCCATGCCCCAACCCTCTTTCACCCAGCCCACTCCCCACTGGCGAATGGCTTGCTCTGACTCTCGGCTCTCAGTTCTCTGTTTATCTGCTCTCCCATAATTCCCAGCATTCGACGACCTAATTGCTAACCCTAGCAAATTGCGAAATCGCAAAGGAAAGGAATAAGCAACCGACGGCCGATATGACGACTACCACAACTACTAGGGATGGCAATTACCCACCCATGGGTAATTATACCCAAACCCAAGTAGACTCATTGATAATGGGTTGGGTATGGGTGAAGTGCATATGGGTTTGGGGGGTTGTAGATGGGTTTGGGTAAAGTATGAATATTGCTTCCATAATCTAAATGGGTATGGGTTGGATATGGATATCCATTTACTTGAGGGTGTTTTAACTACACATGCAAAAATTGGACCTATTTGTAAAACTTGAAAAATTTAGGTACCAAAATGTAAGATCAAAAAAATGTAGGTACCAAAACGTAATTTTCCATCCATATTTTGAGGACTTATATGCAAAAAAATTAATTTTAGGTACGAAATATGCATATCTATTAAGTTTAGGTACCAAAATGTAATTTGTATTTGGGCATGGGTACAAACCCAAATCCATTTGTTATAAACCCAACCCAACCCAAAGTAAATGGGTATGGGTACAAACCCATCAATCTCTACCCATATCCACATATTTGGATTTCATACCCAACCCAATTGGGTTGGATAGTTAAAAACCCATGGTTATGGGCAAAATTGACATCCCTGACAACTACTCCTCCACTGCTCGACGCCGACAGCCGGACCTGCGAGGTTGCGTCGTTCTCGGTGTCTCCCCGACCTCGACGAGACAACGACTAGTCCCTTACGGCCTCTCCCTCTCGACGCAATCATCGCCCTCACCACCAGTCGCCGCCTCCCGCCCAGCCACCCACTGAGTTTCCGAGTCCCGAGAGCGAGTCTCCCCCTGGCCGCCACTGACTCTCCCTCCGGCTGCCACCACTGGTGGCCTTCTACACTCCAAGTCTCTCCGAAGTCCAAAATCCAAAGCCCCAATCAAAGGCCACGAAAATCGACATGACGTCCTCCATCAGTCGGAAATCGAGCAAATAGAAAAATATCAGCAACCCTCTTTTGGCCAATGTTGCCGAGCGGCCAGCAGAAATAGATGAGCAGCAACACAAAATACACACAGCAGGCACATTTCGGTTTTGGGCAGAAAAATCGAACTGAACGGATCTATAATTCGGTTGAACTGAACCGAATTATAGCTCGGTTCGAATTTGATTGGGGTGAAACTGTCTTCGGAACATCGATACTTTCTTGTTTGGTTCGATTCAAACCAAACCGACCGAACGTCCACCCCTATTTGGAAGGTATGAGAAGAAGATGGAGAAAAAGGACAAAGTGATACAAGTTAGGAAACCTTGGCCTACTTACACTCCTTCAAGATTAAGTGTAGTGCAATAGTAAGTACCAGATCGATGGCTTACCAAGAGTCAGGGACGGACCCGGGGGGTTTTAGGGGTGTCCCGGGATACCCTTAAATTTTGGGAAAACGATTATCCAACTCCTGGTAGTATTTTACGTATGAACAAAAAAAGTATAATCGATAGTGAGGGACACCACTAAAATATGAAAAAATGATTATCCTACTGTCATTTGTGTATAGAAATATAAGTGGTAGGTTGGGTAATTCAAATCTAGAAAACTATTATTATTAATAAACTTAATTTTCGTTGAGCTACAACTCATTTGTTGTTCGAACAATGTGTAATAGTAAAATGTCATTCCCTATCTCTAATTATTTAAAAACCTAACAATTAAACTAATTTCAAGCTGCCCTTAATTTGTATTGATTTTATGATTGTACGACAAGTGTTGAAAGAGTCTTTCAGCTTTGGGTTACATCAAGAACAAGTTTACAAATTGAATATGCGATAAGTTCGTGAATGATTGTCTAGTAGGGTATATAGAGACAATTTTTTTAACACTATAGACACCAAGTGTATTATACAATTATTTCCGAATATGAAAACACATCATGGACTTACGAGTAAGGTATTTTCATATTTATGATTTTATTTTATTAATTATTTTTATTTTTTAAAATATGACACCTTATAAAAAATTTCTGGGTCCACTGCCAAGAGTGGTCTGCAAATGACAAACAGCGATTGATATAAAGTTTCAAGGAGAAGAAACGAAATGTTTCGCCCTTCAATCCCAACATCCTTCATCAAGTCTGCTGAAGTTATGCTCTGCAACTCTTTCTTCTTCAAGTTCTGTATTGTTTCTTCTCTATTCAACTCCACTCCACAAAGCTTTCCATCTTCAAACACCAGTTTCAATGGAGGAACTTCCAAGTGGAAATCGAGAAAATAGGCGTCCCTTTCCATCCAACAACCAAACTCCTCTCATCCATGTCCAACGTACAACACTTGCCGCCCACAAACCTCCCCAGCAACAGATTCACGGTCTCCATCGCCGACGAGCTCAACCCCATTTCCCACATCAAAAACCGCCCAAAGAACTTCCTCCACACTTCAATCGTCACGACCCTCGGCCTTTCTTCCCCTTCCTTCACCAAATGCTCCGTCACCTTGTTCAGGAACATCGACTCAATCAAATCCCTGTAGCCACACCCGCCACCACCATCATCATCGCACGATGATTCCAAGCAAGCATCGAGACAATCGAAGTATGCCCCATAGTGGAACAGAACTTCGACGAACCGGCGAGCGAAGTTGGAGGAATTGAGGTTCACCTCTGATTCAAGCACCACCATTATGCTCGGACTGATTTTCTTTACAACTCTCATCAGTGCTTCCAATTCATTCGGCTCTGAAACCAGACCCTGTAATGCGTACTCACTGAAAACAGCTACGGTTTCTCGGGGATCGAGGTCGAATTGCGCCTCGTCGATTTCGGTCAAGCTTGATACCACTATGGAGTGAAATTCGAAGGGTATCTCCATCGACTCGGCGAACTTTGCTAGCCTTTCCCCTGTTCTCCGGATCAAATTTTCCGACACCGTGACGATGGCTGTGATTTTCAGAATCTCTGGAGCACCCCAACGGCGTCGTTTCCCTTCGCCGGTGGTGGATAAAGCCTGCATCAGGGCCGTCCATTGCATCCCGTTTCTGATTCTGAGGTCGATTATGTGAATCATTTTGGCCTTCTCTACGCTTTCCACGATTGCTTGAACTCCGGCTAGCTGACCGACTTGGAAGAAGGGGATTTTCTCGTGCAAGACCGCGACTAGAGGGGATGCAGCAGTCATTGTTTCCTCGACGTTCAATCGTTGGAATTTTTTCATGAGATCGGCTACAGGATGGGTTCCGCTGCCAGTTTCGTTACGGAGCTTTTCGCGAAGAGCTTGGACGAAGTAGTGGGTGATCCTCTGAGCGAGATTCCCAGTCTGGGAAGACGAAAAATCACAGAGATTGAGGAAGTGGGTCGCTTGCTCGTACTGCTTGTGATCCAATTCATCGGCGGCACGCAATAGCTGGTATATGAGTTCCACGTCGTCGTCGTCGGAGTTTCCGGTTGGTGGGTCGGTGGGTTCCGTAGAAGAATCTATGAACTTTTCCGCGGCAAGTTTGATTATATCTCCGATGGAAGAACCTTGCTCTGGTTGGGTTTTTGGGTTCTGGTCCCTGAAAAAGTTGTCAATGCGGGTTTTTTGCCTCTGCATATGCAGGGAGGATGAAGAAAACAGAGTATTCACTGTTTTGGGGGTATGATCGGAGCGGGGAGGAGAAAGCATTTTTGGAAGTGGGTTTTCTTCTTCTTCTTTAGCTTTATGTGATTGTGAGCGTGGAGAAGAGAGATCGACAGAGGTGGTTTATATACACTCTGTTTTCGACTCTCCTCTGTTCTTCCGGCTTCCTTTTGTGCTTACACTCTGTTCTCGACTCTACTCTGTTCTTCCGGTTTCCTTTGTGCCTTCGGCAATATTTTGATTCGATCGCAGAGGGGCAACATTCGGGTCGGGAAGAAATAGAGCACCCTGGGCCGAAAGGAGATCTTTCGGCCTGATGAGTCCAAAAACAAAAGCCTAGACGTTGACTGGAAAGCATCTTCAGTACCGACTCCCCCTGTTCTTGGTTGTCTACTTGTGGCCATCTCTTCAGCTGTAGATTTTTTGAATGCCTAGCGACAGTTTGTCAGAGTTTGTCATCCCTAGCTTTCTTTCTTTCATTCCGAGTTGTGTTAGATTCAATTATATTTCTATCGTTACAGATTGTTTGCCTCTCCTACAAGTGCATTGTCCAAACCCACTAGATCACTAGGTCTAATAACGTGAAAACAATGTGTAGATGCATGTTATTGGTATTATCAAGGCAAAATACACCTGTATAGCTATAACTTTCACACTTTTGACAAATATAGCCATTTCTATTCGAAAACCACAAATAGCCAATTTCGTCCATTTTGGTAACGGTGTTAGTAGACGTTATGACTGTACTAACGGCTTGCGCTGAGTTTGCCACTGAGTTACCCCACCTTCCGACGTGGAATCAGACGTGGAAAATAAAATAAAATAAAATAAAAAGATGAAAGTGACCCAGCTGCCCACCACCACTCGTGACTCGTCCATTCTTTCTTATCCCTTCGTTTTTCTTCCCCCTTCACCTCTCTTCCTCCGACCACGAGACTGACGACGACCGATTTCGCCCCCCTTTTCCGATCTTCCTCCGATAACCCCCTTCCAGCTTCCGTTCATCGCCCTAATCCTCTATAAATCCTCATCCCAACCCCGAAAACTTCAGCTTTTATCATCCCCGATTTCGCGTCCCTTCCAATGACAAACTCTGACATGCATCCTGACTAATCCACCGGCGGCCACCGTTTCTCGACGCAACCCAAGCATCCTAGTAATGAAGAACGCATCGACGAAGCATAAGTAAGTCTTTTCTCGCCGATTCTCCAAAACCCTGATTTCACATTCTGGCGCGATTGGTTTTCACATTCTGGCGCGATTGGTGAGTTTTTCAGAGTGAGGTTGGTTGGGGGTTTCGATTATGGGTAGGATGTACTTATAGGCTGTTTCTTACCTCCTTTTCTTATGTCTTTTTGTAGTTGTGGCTCGCTGTAAAGAAGGAAAGCGACATTACTGATTCCAAAAGGGACCACTTCGCATTGAATCTGTGTTTTTCGCGAGATTTTCACTGAATCCGACGGTGAGTGCCTCCAAATCCTAGGTAGAAGAGTCATTGATATCTTTCTTTGTCAAAAACCCTAGAATAGAATAATGGTGGAAGACTGTGGTATTGTTTGTTTGTTTGTTAGTGAATTAAAATTTGTTGATTAGGGCTAGTAATGACTTTATTAATTCTTTATCTTGTTTAGGGTTTAGATGGCTGATTCATACGAGGAGCAAGGTGGCGAGAATGATCCAAACCATGTAGGATCAGAGAATGCTAGCTTTGGTAACGTTGCTCGTGAAGATGAAGCTGCATCGTTGGCACGAGATGTGTTCCATATTTACGATGCTGACGATGTAGAAACGTCTGATGATGAGTACCATGAGGCTCGGGCCAATTTACGCGCCTATGGGGAAATGAGAAGGAGGAAGGTGAAGGCAAGGAGAGATGGTCATGGGGAGGAGGTTGAACAACTAGATGAGTATGAAGAAGATGAAGACCATGAAGAGGGCATTGGAGATGATCCTGAAGAACTTGATCAGTCAGCAATAAATGATGGTGCACCAGAGCAAGCAGTTGAAGATGATGGTGTAGTCGAAGATAATGGTGCACCTCCAGTTCAAGAACCTAGAAGAGAAGAGTCTCAACACTCTAGCTACAAACTGTCAGAGGAATCTGATCATGTTAGGGGCAACCTTTCGGACGAGGATGGTGGAGAGCCATTTGGGGATGCTCCACACTACGATCCAGACTGTGATCACAAGAAGTTTCAGTTCATTCCAAGGTTGAAGTTTGAAAGTCCAGAACAGTTCAAGAACACGGTAGTCTTACATTCTGTTGTTGCTGGTGCTAGCTTGAGATGGGTTAGGAGCATGCCATCAAGAAAAGAGGTGAAATTCAAGGACACAAGATGCAAATGGAGGGTGGTGGCTAGTTGGTTTAGGAAGGACCAGTCTTTCATGGTGAGGAAGGTAGGGCTGCACCATTCTTGTTCACGTAAGATGCGGGTGAATCAAGTTACTGCAGAATGGATTGCATCTGACATGCTTGAGAGGTTTCGCATCAATCCACAGTGGGCTCCAGACCAGATCATGGCAGAAGTGAAACTAAAATACAACATGGAAGTGGACAAGAGGAAGTGTTATAGAGCAAAGATTGCTGCAATTAGAATGCTTAGTGGGTCGTTGAAGGATGAGTTTAAGGCAATCAGAAGCTATGTTGATGAAATGATGAAGAGGGATCGACATGGGAGGTTTGTCTTGGAGGTTCAACCACATCCTTCCGAAGACAAAGTTTATTTTCAGAGGCTGTATGTTGGTTTTTCATGCTTGAGGGATGGGTTTGTGGATGGATGTCGGCCAATGTTTGGATTGGACGGTTGTTTTTAAAGGGAGAGGTAAAGGGCATGTTGTTGACTGCAGTTGGGAAGGATGGAAACAACCAGATGTATCCACTGGCTTGGGCTGTAGTTGAGAGTGAGAATGCAGATTCCTGGAGGTGGTTTATCATTATATTGTCTCAAGAGTTGAACATGCTAGATGGAAGGGGTTGGTTTGTTATTTCTGACCAACAGAAGGTAAACTCCACTAATTCATGTTTCATTATCATACCATTGTTTTACTTTGTTATATATCTGACTTTATGTTATACTGTCTTTTGGTAAGGATCTGGTGGAGGCTCTACGTGAGCTGTTACCTGATGCTAAACATCGCAAGTGCGCAAGGCACGTTTATGCCAACTGGAAGGTGAAGAACAAAACGGATAGGGTAAGAAAATTATTCTGGAAGTGTGTCTATGCTTTCAATGAAGTCGACTACAAGAATTACACTAAGGAAATGGAGGAGATCCAAGGTACAGACACACTGACTACACCTTTCACAGACTTTATGAATGCTGAACCTAGATTCTTTTGCCGAGCTTTCTTATCTCCAGTTCCTAAATGTGACTCAGTTGAGAGTAACATTTCTGAAACATGGAATGGATCGATAATTAAGTGGAGGGGCATGAGAATCATAGACATGCTTGAGGGTATCTGTGGGTACATGATGGAAAGGATTGTCAAAAAACACCAAACGTTAGCTAATTGGGATGATGATCTTTGCCCTAGAATTAGAAAAAGAATTGAGAAAGAAAAGGGCTTAGCTAGGTTGTGTACCTCTAGACAGACCTTGGATAATAAGTGTGAGGTAAGATTGGGGGATTCAGGGTATATTGTGGACCTTCAGACTAGGTCATGTACCTGCGGATACTGGGGCCTTAGTGGACTCCCTTGCTGCCGTGTTGTCTCGGCAATTACTCACTTAAGGAAAGAAGTGGATGACTACGTTCATCCAGCATAGCATTGTCGAGAGGTTGTCAATGCCTACAAGGTGGGGATTGCTTGTCTAGATGGAAGGCAAGCATGGCCAGAAGGAGTAGGATACCAAGTACTCCCTCCACAGGATAGGAGAATGCCAGGAAGGCCAAAGAAAAATAGAAGAAAGGCCGCTCACGAGTTTGAGGTTCGACCTCAAGCAACTGGGATTGGCAAAGAAGTTTCAAGGAGGGGTACTATAATACACTGTAGTAAGTGTGGTGTAGAGGGCCATAATGCAAGGTCATGTAAAAATCCCTCCGTTGCACAAGCCCCGATGAGTTTTACACAAATACCTTTCGGTTTTCCTTGTCTAGTTTATTTCTAACTTGCTTACTAACTCGAAAACAACTTGATGTCAGAGAGGAACATCTAGACCTAGAGTAAGTGCTCCCAGGCCAAGAGTTGAAGCTGCTGCGGAGCAGAATGGGGCAAACACTGGTAAAAGAACAAGGACAAGTCATTGCTCTAAGTGTGGTTCGATCTCACACAATGTTCGAACTTGCCCCCTCAATCATGGAACTGGAATTCAGGTATCATATTGAATGCTCAATTAAATGTTTGATGTTGAGTATGAATGTGAATGTGGTTGTGTGATGCTGAAATTTTACAACTTGTATTTGTTAGGCAATTAGGCTGAATGTTGATGATAGAAGAACTATTCAGCGAGAAATGCGAAGTGCAACAGTAGGTGTGGGAGTTTATGTGAACGAGAATACTGGAAATCAATATGTTCGGGTAAGTTTTAATCCTAATGAATCGTAGGTTGTTACTTTTCATGTTATTTGTCCAAACTGTGAACTAAATAATCCGTTTGGTTTTTCTTATTACAGCTCAATGGAGCTGCTGGGCGTCCTCCAGGGAATAGTCAGCAAGCTGTTGTGGATGTCCAGGGGAGCCAGCCACCAGCCACCAGTTACTCAACCGTAGATGTTGTAGAACATGGTGAATCCATTTTGTCAACCCCATTTTTGTCGGCTTGAAGTTAGGCTTGAAGTTAGGATAGCTTGAATTCTACTCATGCTATGTATTGGGGTGCTAAATTAGGCTGTGTGAGGAACAAATGTCTGTCTCAAAATTCGGATTATATATTGTATTGTAGGAACAGATGGTTGTGCTTCATTCGGATTATATATTGTATTGTAGGAACAAATGGTTGTGTAATGTGGAAGTGTTTGGTAGTATTGCTATTTGTATTTTGAATTCAAGCTATCCTCACTTTTTACAAACACTCGATATTTGAACAACAACCATTGCATTAGACAGGTAGAATTGTTAACATTAGACAAGAAAGACAACCATTGCATTAGACAGGTAGAATTGTTAACATTAGACAAGAAAGACAACCATTGCATTAGACAACCATTACATACCAGATTCGTATCCCCACAAAACAAGAAGGAAAGAGGCATTCACAACAAGAAGAATTGTTAACATAATATGAATAAATCGAACATCATCATTCAATCTCATTCCTTGGGCTAACAGAGTCTCGCGATCTTTCATCCAGACCATCATATCTTGAGCTAGTCTCTTTTTCTCCTTCTTCCTCCTCTCTGCCTTAGACTCAGCGAGGAGCAAACTGTGCTCGAGTTGGCATATTAGGCTCTCCATAGAACCCTTTCGGTCCTCCATTTCATCCCCAACCATCTCAACCCACCTAAAAAACTGACAATTTTTCTTCCCTGGATTTTCACTCTCATTCTGCACTATCCATATGGTATAGTTAGAGGTAAGAACACTCAAAGGGACCGAAATAACTCGACAATCAATCTATCCCTTACCTGCTTCCAATAAGGACATCCATAAAATTGCCTGCTTGGGTTAGTCTCGATACCCGACGTCTTAATCACGGCGGGAACGTTATGCTTTCAAAGCACAGTCCCACACCTGCTGAGGTTGGTCGCCGAGGAAGAGCCCCGCTGTGACATCGCTGCAAATCAAGAAGATGATGGGGATTTCGGAACGACAGATGCGCGAGCAGAAAAGGACTGAATGACGGCGGTGGTGGTCTCGAGCGGCGGCGACGTGGTCTCGAGCGGCGACGACGTGGTCTCGAGCGGCGGCGTCGTGGTCTCGAGCGGCGGCGTCGTCTCCACCAGGTGCGAACCCTAAATCGTGAGAATTTGTTTTATAGGGTTGTAGGGAAGGAGAAGGGGGGTAAGTAAGCAGATAAAACATTTTTTTTCTACACATGGCATTCCACATGTACATTTTGCTGAAGTGTCAATCATGTGGAGGTCGGATTCCATCCTCGTCAGCGTTCCGTCAAACGAGTTAATGGAATCGCAGACGGTGTTAAAGTTTCTAACATTTTTTGCTAGATTTGTCATACTACCCTCCGTTTTTTGGGCTATTTGTGGTTTTCGAATAGAAACGGCTATATTTTTCAAAAGTGTGAAAGTTATGGCTATGCAGGTGTATTTTGCCTATTATCAACTAGCATTACTTTGAAAATTTGATTGGTAACTAACCCTTAACTTGATAATCAGCCAACAATTCATACGGATTTTGGAAAGATATACGAGTCAATTAATAATGAAGAGAAATCTTATCTTAAAGCAATGTAGATGTACTTATATATCAATTTGTTTTTTAGGCAGAATACACTTTCATAGTGATAACCTTCACATTTACGGCAACTATGACCACAACTTTTGGAAAACACAAAATAGTCAGAATTTTGAATGTTGTATGACAAATCTAGCCACTTTCGTTACAAATTGTAACAATGTTAGGGACGTCGTCGGTAACACTAACGAGATGCTGATGTGGCTGCCACCTCAGGTCCCATTTCAGCTCCACGTGGATTAATAAAAAATAAAAATAAAATAAATATGAGTTTTGTGGATCCACCGTCCCTTCCAACTTTCCCCTTCACTCTCTTTGCTTCCTCCTCCGCCATGCCTTCTCTTCCTCCTCCTCTTCCTCTCTACTTCCAACCACCTCTCACGCAGCAACAATCATTTCCCTCTCCCAACCATCTCCCCCCAACAAATCCTTCTATCTCCAAACTCCCTAATCCTCTCCATCCCTAAAATCTCAAAAATCCCTAATTCCAAAAATTGCCAGCGTAGGGAAAGCTGAAAGAGGGGGAGGAGAGAGACTGGCGTTGCAGGTTGGAGGACTGTGTCAAACTCGAATCAGAGGGGTGATTCTTCACGCAGATCGCCGATGGAGGCAACGGTGAGTCGGCATAGGAGGAGGGAAGGGTGGCGGTCGATATCAAAATTGGAGAGGGAGAAGGAGGTGGGTCCCATAAAGGAAGTAGTTCTCATTCTCATTCCAGTATCAGCTCAATTGACCAGCTGTTCTCGTTCAATTAGTGTCCGCTCGACTCCGACGTGTGTCACACCCTGGGTGTCGATTGAAGTGTCTCGGCTCTGTTGGTAGCTAGAAATTGAGAGAAGGGTTGGGAAAGTGGAAAAACAAGATAGAGAAAGGACAGGGAAGAGTGAGAGAGAGATAGAGAGAAAAGGTGGAAAAGTTTGTTATTATTCGTTGTTCAGAGTTTCTCAGTTTTCATAATTCCTGCAATTACAATTTGGTCACTCTAAGTTTGATCGTGTCATAATTAGGTCCTTCCCCATCGTTATCTATTTACAATTGAGCCCCAATCGTTACAAGCCCTCCTCCTTTGCAGCTGACTTGTCCTCAAGTCTTGAATAGGGGAAACTTCTACTTGAAATCCACCAGGAACTCCCATGTTGCATCTTCCTCCATTTGGTGTGACCATTGTACCAGTACCTGAGTTGCTGCTGAGTTGTTATGGGAAACCACTCTTCTCACCAGAATTGCTAGTGGTTCAATCTTCATTCCTCCAACATCATCAAGTTCAAGCAGTCTTGGTTGAGCTTGGATTTTATCCCCATGAGCCCTCTTCAACAAGAACACATGAAATACAGGATGTATGGTCGATGACTCAGGGAGCTTCAACCTGTATGCTACTGCTACAATCTTCTTCCGAATCTCGAAGGGCCCATAGTACTTTGGAGCTAGTTTATGATTACTCCTAGGTAGCACAGACAATTGTCGATAGGGCCTGAGCTTCAGGTAGACTTTACTTCCAACTTGAAATTCCTTTCAGTTATATTCCTATCTGCCATTTGCTTTTGACAGTTCTGAGCCATGACCAAGTTGGCTCTCAAAGTAGATATTAACCTCTGTTGATATTGCAATTTGTCAGACACAACTGCAATGGAGGTTGTTAAAGGATTCTGGATTGCAAACTATGTTGGAGCATACTCATACAAGGCTTCAAAGGTTGTCAACTTCAGACTGTTGTGGTAATCGGTGTTATACCACCATTTGGCGAGAGATAACCAGGAAGACCACTGTTGTGGTACCTCATTAATCATGCTTCTCAGGTAATCCTCCGGCATCTATTCAATCTTTTTGTCTGTTCATCCGTTTGAGGATGATATGCAGTAGAATAGTGAAGATCCACTTCCTATAGTTCAAAGAACTTAGTCCAAAAATTGTTGGTGAAGATCGTATCCCTGTCGGATACAATAGTCTGAGGCATTCCATGAAGCTTGAAAACTCCATAAAAAAGACTGAGCTACACTAGCAGCTGTATAGGGTCTGGCTAATGCAGAAAAATGGCCAAACTTTGAGAATCTGTCTATCACCACTAATATAACTTTTTTCCACCCTGACTTGGGAAGGACCTCGATAAAATCAAGAGAAATATGCTGCCAAGCCCTCTCTAGTATAGGCAGAGGTTGCAACAACCCAGGATAGGGAACATTTTCTGACTTACATCTCTGGCACACATCACAGCTTGCAAACTCATTCACACCATTCTTAATTCCATGCCACCAAAAATACTTTTTGGGTCTTTCATACGTACTTGGCACCCTTGAATGCCCGTCCGCTGGGGAAGCATTAAACAATTCCAACAGTTGCATCCTCATAGACCTATTTGTTCCCACAACCAAGGTTGACTTGTGATACAACAAGCCTTGTCTGAGGCAATGCACCTTAGGTCCCACCACTGGTACTGCAACCTCTGTCATCAACTGTTAAACCAAGGGATCACCTTCATAACTTGATTTCACCTCGACCAACCAAGTAGGAATCACAGCAAACACAACTTGCAACTTCAAGATTTAGAAGAGAAGTTGGGATACCTAGACAAGGCATCAATGACCTTGTTTAACCTTCCCTGTCTGTATTTAATCTCAAAATCCAACCCCAATAACTTGACCAACCCTTTCTTTTGAATCTGTGTGTGAACCTTCTGGCCCAATAAATATTTCAGACTCTCATGATCAGTAAGTATGGTAAAGGTCCTACCCTCTAAATAATGTCTCCATTTAGTAACAGCTAACAGGACGGCCAAATATTCTTTCTCGTAGATAGAAAGACCATGTTTCCTTGTACATAAGGCCTGACTATTATAGGCGATAGACTTGTGATAGAACTGCTCAAATTCCCACTTCACTCACATTAGTCTCCAGTACAAAGGGTTGTTGAAAGTCTGGTAGGGCGTAGAACAGGTGCTTGCACCATGGCAAATTGTAACAGCTCAAAAGCCCTCTGTGCATGATGATTCCCATGAAAAGCATCCTTCTTCAATAAGACAATAACTCAGTCAAAGGTCGAGTTATCAACCCATAGTTTCGCACAAATTTTCTATAATGCCTTGTAAGTCCCAAGAATCCCCTCAGCTCCTTAATGTTCTTAGGAACTGGCCACTGTACCATTGTTTCTACCTTGCTTGGATCGGTTAGAACACCCTCTTCATGATAATATGGCCAAGATATTCCACCTGTGTCTGGCCAAATGAGCATTTTGATGGTTTGGCATAGAGTGTGTGTTGTCTTAGGATGTTCAAGGTGATGGCTAAATGGGTTTTATGTGTGTCTTGATCAGGGCTATATACCAGAATGTCATTAAAAAAAACCAATATGAATTTTCGCAGGTGGTCAACAAATATTTGGTTCATGAGAGATTGGAAAGTGGTTGGGGCATTTGTCAAACCAAAAGGCATTACTAGAAATTCAAAGTGGTCATGATGGGTGTGAAATGCTGTTTTGTATTTATCAGTTGGGTTCAACCTAATTTGGTGGTAACCCGACAACAAATCGAGCTTAGTAAAGTATTTGGATCCTTGCAATTCGTCAAACAAATCATCTATCTCGGGAATAGGGAACCTGGCTTTGATGGTTAAGACATTTAATTGTCTATAGTCTACAAAAAAACGCAAGGACCCATCTTTCTTTAATACTAGTAGAATAGGAGAGGCAAAGGGACTGTGGCTAGGCTGGATATACTGGTTGGCGATCATTTCTTTACAAAGTTTTTCCATTTCAGTCTTTTGAGGTAGGGTATATCTGTAAGGTCTATGGTTCACAAGGTTGGCATTAGGTTGTAAGGGAATGGAATGGTCATAGGGTTTAGAAGGGGGAAGCTTAGTAGGTTTGCCAAACATATCACCATACCATACTCATTGACCACAGGAAGTAGGAAGTCAGGAATAGTACCTAGTACAACAGGTGTAGCAGTAATCTGGAACAGTTGGCCAACCCACATAGGCACTTTCTGCTTGAAAAACTTCTGTAGTGCCTTCCCAGACATGGCTTTACATGTACCATCTTCTTTGATACCCTTCAACACTACTTCCTTGTCACCCAAATCAAAGAAAAGTTGCAAATTGAGGAAATCAAACTTGACAGGGCTAATAGTTTTTAAACAATCCAAACCCAGCACCATATCATTTGTCCCCAAACTCAATAGTCTCACATCAAACTGGAATTGATGGCCTTGCATCTTCCACTGGAATTCCCTACACATCCAATTACTAGCCAACACAGTTCCATCTGCCAGTTTAACCTGTAAAGGATTAGTTGGAATAAGGGCACATCTGAGCTTCATTGCCTTCTACTCATTAATGAACATATGAGTACTCCTGATGTCTATCAAGATATACAATTTTTCTTTCTGCACCTTGCCCATTAATGAGGCATCGTCACTTCTTCTGGGGGGGTTTAAAACCTCCACTTCCTCCTCCACAATCTCACTATCCTCATCTTCACTCAAATCCAAAGGAGGCACAACCACAACATCATCCCCTTGTATGGTATTTAACTGACGTTTGGCCTCACATAAATGGCCCTGGTAATACTTGTGACCAAAATTACCATTCTGAGCTGCGAAAACTGGAGCTCCTTTCTGTACATTACTAGGCTTGGAAACCCCCAAACTTAGTTTGGCCATAGTACCTTCCCATTTCTTCCGTTGTGGACCACTACTGGATGCCCCAGGAGTAGGCTTGAAAGCCCCCATAACCCCAGTTCTCCATTTCTTCCTTCACGCTTCATTGGACTCCTTTTACAATTGAGCTAATGGGAAAGCCTTGGCCAATGTAAGTGGTTGTCACATATTCATGACTAGGCGCAACTCTTCATCCAAGCCACTTACAAAACTGGAAACAAAATATTCTTCATCGAGAGTTGGATTATAACAAACAATGAGGGAGCATAATTTCTCGAATTTCTCCTGATATTCCAACAACGAGCCCTTCTGTCTAAGATTGTTAAATTCCCCAACTATACCCCAATACGACCTATCACCAAACCGCCTACATAAGCCCTTAACGAAATCCTCCCAAATCAATATCTGGCATCCTTGTTTCCAGCCCTCAAACTATATATCTGGTTGTTTGTCGAAGTAAATTGCAACCAATTCGACCCGCTAGTCGACTGGAATATCATATATCGCAAACAATTTCTCGCATTTTCTGGTCCATTCCATAGGCTTTTCACCTGCAAAATTAGGGAAATCTAACCTAGGTAGCTGATATTGATTGTTTTTACCTCGAGGCGGACGAAACAAGCCATCCTGCTTAGGGCTGGAAGTTTGGTACCGGTATTTGGGATATACCGAATACCGTACCGAATTTGTCTATATTTGGTATTACCGAATACACATATTATTTCGTGGGATTGTGATTGATTTTCAATTGTTATTCGGTATTAAGGATTACGGGATTGGGATCGGTATATACCAAAATACAGATCAATACCGAAATATAAGCTAGTGTGTATTTTATCCTCTCAACTAGACTTTCTCATTCACTACTACGCGACCCTCAACCACCAAGAGTGTCATTTAATTATACATAGATCATTTCGTCACTATTTCACACTAGTATAAGTATTAGTCATCTCTCAACCTCCAATTCCTCAAATTAAAGATTACCCATTACAAAAAACTTGAGATGCTAGCTCTAAATTAAAAAATAAAACCTCCAATTCTTTGCTTAGTATATTTGCCCTAAATTAAAAAATAAAACCTCTTTTATATATTTAATTATTAATTAAAAATTAAAGGTAATTAATTTTGTATTCGATAATACCGATTGGGATATCGAGGTACCGATTGGGATAGCAAAATATTTAGGGATGGAGATTGGAATACCGAAATTATTTAGGGATTGGGATTGGGATTGATTTTAGGGTGTAATTCGGTATTTGGTATTTCGATATTTGGTATTGGGATACCGATATCGTACCAATTTCCACCCCTAATCCTACTCCGCTGCATCGGAGCTTGTCCTCGAGGTGTCTGATTCCAAAGTACATGCTCAACTACCCTCTGAACGTGAGCGAGCAGGGTCAAAAGCCCGCGGTCGCCATTTCGGTCTGCCAGCGGCTCCACCGCACCGGCAACAACGCCCTCTGCCTAATTGAAGCCTCTATCCAAACTTCGGATGATGTCCTCAAGATTACGTTGCACCTGACCTAGCTGCTCGGATTGCTCATCAAATCGTGCAGCTAACCTGTTCAGGCGCGTTGTAACGGTGGTTAATTGATGAGAATGGTCGTCGGCCTTCATTGAGAGTGCTTGAAGTTGAGAAGCATGTAGAGGTGGCAATTAGGATCCAAATCCATGAATTCAACCTAATCCATCCACCAAATTATCCATCTAATCCAATCCATTTAAATCCAATCCATCTGATCCAAATCCAATTGGATTTGTGGATTCATGGATCAATCCATGGATCCAAATGGCAAATTACGATTTGGTACCTATATTTTTTATATTTTACATTTTGGTACCTAAATTTATATTTTTATACAGAAAATATCATAGGAAAATTACATTTTGGTACCTAAAATTTTTCATTATGGCATTTTAGTACCAAAACTTTTCAAATTTTACATTTTGGTCCAAGCCTTGGATGTCATTTGGATTCATGGATCAATCCACCAATCCATTTGATCCAATCCATGAATCCACCAATCCATTGGATCCAATCCATTTGATCCATGGATCCACCAATCCAATCCACGAATCCGATCCAATTGCCACCTCTAGAACCATGTGCCGCAACCGAATCTTCCAGATATGTTTCCTTGTGAACCGTAGCATCCATGAATTCCATAACTTGCTGAAGACGCTTGTCGACTGTGCCACGAGTCAGTGCCATGATTGCCAAGACAATGGCCCTGATACCACTTTGTCACACCATGGGCATCGATTGAGGTGTCTCGACTCTGTTGGTAGCTAGAAATTGAAAGAAGGGTTGGGAAAGTGGAAGAACAAGAGAGAGAAAGGACAGGGAAGAGAGGGGGGGGGGGTGAGAAAGTTTGTTATTATCCGTTGTTCAGAAGTTTCTCAGTTTTATACTTCCTCAAATTACAATTTGGTCACTCTAAGTTTGCTCGTGTCACAATTAGGTCATTCCCCATTATTATCTATTTACAATTGAGCCCCAATCGTTACAACGTGACTTGTAATAGTGGTGAAAGAGGAGGTGGGTCCCACAGAGAAGCCGACAGTTCTGCAGGTGGAGGCCATTGATTTATGGGTCTGTTTGGTGTTAGGGTTTGTGTAGGGAGAAAGTGAAGATTGATGATGTTCTTGATTTTTCTAGATACTCAATTTGAATAGTAGAGGGTTCTGGTATGTCATTCTCTACTCGTCAATTTGCTTCTGGGTTCGTCTGTGACTCCTCCATCTACGATTGTCGCTCCCTGTCGTCAACTTCTTCCCAAACCCAGCATCGATCCATCTTCTGACGACGAGTGGGGCAATGTCTAGGATAGGCAATTGTCGACGAGTCGAGGGAAAATAGAACTAATTTCAAATGATGATGACCTTTATTCGATTGTGAGGGGGATTAGAGGATAGATCATTTTTTCTTTGATTTTGAAAAGTGTTGGTGTGACTTGAATCGGATTATCATCCGCTACGCCCCCGGCTCGCGGTGTATGGGCTCAATGTTGTGTTAGGTTCGTGTCATGGGCCTGGTCTGTAACTGATTTTCCTTTACCATATTAGATTAGGGTTAGGCCTTGGAGAAGTACTATAAATACTTCTCATACTCCTTTAGTCCTTTGTAATTTGTATCTCCTTGAAGTATAGTGAAACTTCTCCTGTCCGTGGACCACACATTGTGTTAGTGAACCAAGTAAATCGTGTGTCGTGTGTGTGCGCTTTCGTTTTCTTGCATTGTCGAATCCTCCAATTTTCCGATCCGCAGAGAAATAGTCGTGACAAAAAGCTTGAAGAGAGGCTACAAAATCTCATGGTGGAATTAGGGATGGCGGAGGGGGAGATCAGGGATCGATTTTGTTTTATGTTGTTTTTCTTTTTTAATTTAATTTAATCATAATAATAAAAAGTATGCATTCCTACCCTGACATGATTTTTTGACAAAAAACACTGCGTTAGCAAAAAAAAAAAGTCAATCCAGTTAGTAAGTAAGATGACACCATTAAATGGACGGAATTGGCTATTTTGTGTTTTCTGGAATTTGTGACTATATCACAAACGTGAAAATTATAGCTATGAAAGTGTATTTTGCCAAAAGTTAATTGCAAATCGCATAAATGTTGAACCAATGATAATTCGATACATAAAATAGGTCAGAATTAATGGGCTTACCTGGAATTGGGAGGGCTTCTCGAAGATCCAGCATTCTTCATCGTCGTCACCGTTTTCCGGCGACACAACCAGTCGACGGGTTCAAGATTATGCGAATGGGAAGATGATGACCATCTAGTTGGTGCTGATTGGGTATTATGCAAAAGGCCTACAAAGTGTCAGGCCCAAAGTCCATAAAAAGGGCCAGAAGCAATGGGCTTAAGAAGTGGGTTGTCATGATATAACTTTCTTATGGTTGGCTTCATAGTGTTATAAATGGAGTCCCCGTGCCATGGATGCTCTAAAATAGCTAAAAAAAAGTTCATATTCACTTTCCTACTTAAATTGATTTAATTCATCAAGTCAAGTTGTACAGGTCCGGATATCATGTGCTTAATAAAACAAACGAGGGTCGTCGAAATTCGAACAAAACACCTCTCATTCACATAACACTCTCATACCAAGTCATAAACCAACTAATCTCAATAACTTTAATGGTTGAAACTTGAAAAATGTCCAATTATTGATAATAAACCGTTTACTAACAGAGAGTATGTATTACCGATGAACTCGGCCACATCTCGCACATCCAGAACCAGCTAAAGAACTTCCTTCACACATCAACCTTCACATACCTCGCCCTTTCCTCCCCGTCCTTCAACAAAATCTCCCTCACATGTTCGTTCAAGAATATCAACTCCATCGAAAACCTCTCCGCACCTTCACCATCCGCGCATTGTTATTTTAGTTACTTTCTTACATTATCCTTTTTCCAATCCGTTACAACAAACTTGACTGCAGTTATTTTAGCTGTTCTCTAACCATCGGATTCAGATTTCAGAGTGAATAGTAGCACAAGCAAGCATTACATTCTTTGGTCCTTTGAGAGCAACTGATAAAATGGGAATGGAGGCAAAACTCAGTTATGATATTAGGGATTCTGGGTCGTCTTCTTTCTCTTCTTCTTCTGGGTTAGGTTCAGTGGTTTTGAACTGGAGGAACTTCCAAGTAGCAAGCGAGAACATTGGCGTCCCTTTCCACCCAACAACCAAGCTTTCTCCATCCCTGTCCAACGTACAAAACTTCCCTCCCACAAACCTCTCCAGTAACAGATTCACAACGTACATCGCCGACGAGCTCAACCGGACCTCCCACATCGAAAACCGGCTCAGAAACTTCCTCCAAACATCCACCGTCACGAACTTCGCCATGTCTTTTCCCTCCTTCACCAAGAGCCCCGTCACAATTCGGCTCAAGAACATCGACTCCATCAAACCCCTTTCTCCGCCACCATCTCCCCCTTCCAAACAGGCATCCACGCAATCGAAGTATGCGCCATAGTGGAACAGAACTTCCACGAACCTTCTACCGAAATTCGACGAATTGAGATTGCACTCTGTTTCGATCACCACCATTATCCCCGGCTGGATGTTCTTCACGACCCTCATCAACGCATCCAGCTGATTCGGGTCGGGAATCAGACTCTGCAATGCGTACTCGCTGAAAACAGCCACGGTTTCGTTGGGATCGAGGTCGAATTGGGTCTCGTCGATTTCGGTCAAGCTTGATACCACGATGGAGTTAAACGAGAAGGGTATGTTCATCGATTCGGCGAACTTCGCTAGCCTTTCCCCTGTTTCACGGACCAAATTTTCTGAAACCGTGACGATGGCCGTGATCTTCAGAATCTCCAGAGTGACGCGCCGTCTGTCTGAGGAAGGGGACAGAGCTTGCATCAGGGCCGTCCATTGTATCCCGTTTCTGATTCTGAAGTCGATTATGTGAACCCTTTTCGATTCCTCCACGGTTTCGACGATCGCCTGGACACCGGCGAGCTGACCGATTTGGAAGAAGGGGATTTTCTCGTACACGACTCCGACTAATGGGCATGTTGCGGTGATTGTCTCTTCGAGGTTTAATCGATTCAATTCGTCGATGAGATCGGGTTTCGGCTGCTGGGTTGCTGCTGCTGTTGTTTCGTTGCGAATCTTCTCGCGAAGCGCTTGGACGAAGTAGTGGGTGACTCTCTGGGTGAGATCCCCTGCCTCGGAGGACAGTAATTCACAGAGGTCGAGGGAGTGAGCCGCTTGCTCGTACTGCTTGTGGTCCAATTCATCGGCGGCGCGAAGAAGGTGGTGCACGAGCTCCACGTCGTCGGAGTTTGTAGATGGTGGTGGGTCGGCAGGCTCTGTGGAGGAAGAATCGATGAACCTAGCTGCTGCGATTCTGATTATGTCCGCCATTGACATTTCTTCCTCTGTTTCGGGCTCTGGATCGTGGGTTGTGACAGGGATGCTCATGTGGCGTGTTTTTTCTCTCAACAGATCGATCGAGGCCGAAGGAAACAGAGCATGCTCTGGATTTGGGTGTTGATCTGACTGCGGACAAGGAAGCATTTTGTTCCACTGTTTCTGCTCTGTGTTATTATGAAATGTGATTGCTGGATGGATTAGGTAGGTGGGAGAGTGGAGGTGGGAAGAGATGGATTAGGATGTTTATATATGTTCTAATCTGGTCTCTGTTTCGTTTGTCCTCTGCTTCCAGGTTTCCTTAGTGTCCGAGAAAGGGCATTCAAACTTTGAATGGATCGCTTGCTGGAGGTGGTACAGTTTGTTTGGGAAGCAGAAGAGATCTTCAGCTCCGGCCAAGCAAGTCCAAAAAGCATCCTACGTTCATGGGTTTGAAAGGAAAAAAAAAAAAAAAACTTTCCTACCAAAAATAGTAAAATACCAGTAAAACCATGCTGATGGTCGAGTGACGTTGGTGGTAGACCGTATACCCACCCAGCCACCCTTTGTTCTAAGTTCTAACTACTTTTTTAGGGGTTAATACTAGGTTGCGGTTTGGTCCAAATCATCTATCTATCTATACATAATATTATGGCAATTCAAAATTAAATTTTTGCCACATAAGCACTTGGAAAGATCTCAAGTTGCCAAGGTGGACAATTTTTTTACCAAAAAATAGTTATTGACCTATTTATGAAGTTGTCCCTCTCTCTTCATTTAATATTTAATTCTCTTTTATCCAATAATTATTTTGCTTTTGTTTTTGCATTATATTTATAAATAATATATGGAGAGAAAGACTATCAAACTGGTTTAGCAAGTGGAATGGTTTTACCAGGGGTACAACCGGTTTGTGTCATTTCATGCCGGTTAATAAAATATGTAGAAATACAAAAATTATTAATATCAAATGAATTTAATCATATAATGGTTTTACCAGGGATACAACCGGTTTGTGTCGTTTCATGCCGGTTAATAAAATATGTAGAAATACAAAAAATTATTAATATCAAATGAATTTAATTATATATAAACCATATTTGAAGACAATTTACCTACAATTCATATTGATATTTGAATAAAATATGATATTTCAAATAAAAATGCATGTACTCATACTTAAATTCACTAAAACTACGTAATGTACTTAGAGATTCGTAAAACAATCATACCGGTCATACCGATGGTGTCATGTCGATTTCATGACCGATACCGGTTGAATGGTTCAACCGGTGGCATGCCGGGCGACGTGACGATCATGATGGAGAGTGACATATATCACATTTTGGTTTTGCATTATATCGATGTACGCAACAGTATACTAATGTTCGTAGAGTGACATATATATCACACTTTTTAAACCAAAAATATATGATTAAATATTACCATGTAAATTTCTGCTCATTTTTACTAAAACTTAATAATAATTTACTTTTCAATGAATAATTTAAACAAACACACAAAAATAATATTATTTTGTCGATAAGGTCTGAAAGAAACTTGACCAAGAAATAATAGTTACTTATTAAAAAAACTTCTTATTCATTCTGATCAAGTGAAAACATATGAATCGCATGTGCAGTATTTATAATGTATCCTAAGTTCACATTACTAATATTTTCTCTAGGTCATGTTGATTGAGCAAGCTCTATTGAGATCTTACATCATATGCTAAGAAATTTTCTTTTCACATTGAAGTTATTTATTGTTAAAGATTATAAATTGAAGTTTCAAAAATGACTTGAGTATAATAGTTGATGAACTTTGACTTCATATTCTAGGATGAGACATGAGATCACTTGAAAAATGAAATGTGTGAAATTTAGAGAAATCTATGTTAAGAATGTACGTTAAACATCACATTTCATGCTAAGAAAAATATAAATTCGAAGATTGAGGTAATAAATAAACATTAATGTTTTACTTCACATATATAACAAAAAACATTTATAGTTACAATAGTGTAAACCGAGCTATTGGGTCAAAAGAAGAATATTTAATAAATATGAGTTTAGTAAGAACATTGTAACAAGTCTATATAGTTGTGAGTCTGTAATTTCATACCAAATTTTGGCAATATTAAAAAAATGATATCATATTCCATCCAAGGAGCTGAGTTCAAAGGTATTAATTAGTGTTGAAATTAAAATAAACTCTCTGTATATATATGTTTAGATATTAACAATAGATGTGTCTACAATACATCTAATAATTTAAATACACGTGAAAAGCCACAATGTTTGTATGAACTTTTAAATTTTGCTACAAAATATTTTGTTAAAAAATTATGTTAATTATTCAACGAATACATAATTTTGAATGCACCTGAAATATTTGTCGTTCGTATACACATTTTATCAATTATTAATTTAAGTAATGAAATTTTTGTTCTATTACAAACACCAAATATAAAGAAATATTAGTGAATGGACATTCAAATAGTTGAAAAGTTATACATTGAAGAAACATGTTAAGATGAGAACCTTCGACCGTGTATATGAATCCTTGGATTCAGATTTTTTTATTATCAATCCTTGGATTCAGATTCTAAATGAACATCTAGACAAAATGCATGGGTTGAGGTTTAGTACAAACTTAAAATATTAGCAATTGTAATAAGTTGCTATACAAAGACTTCTTAAACATCAACAATAAAAATGAGTGAGGTTTAGAGAATTTAATCATTTTAAGGGATACGATGTGTGTCAAATTTCAATTGGGATAAACATAATTTATCCAGTAATCAAGTATACTTTTCCAATAATTTGAAATCTAATTAATTGGGTGAGAGTTCGTACAAACTCGAGAATCATGAATTGATATATGTTGTATAAGATAATAAATTTGAGCGTCTTGGTGGAAAATTTTTTATATACAATCCTAAATGGGACGTGATAAACCTTTACGACATGATTTATGATCAGAGAATAAAAACACCACAAGCGAGTGTGCTAACTATTAAATATTATTCGATATAGACATACCACATATTCACTTATGAAGCGAGAGTATAAAATATATACAAGATCCAAAAAGTTCAAAACATGTAGATAAGTTAACTAATATAAATAATAAAATAACTTCTCCGGCCAATTGGCCGGGTAGAAAACTAGTATTATATACAATATGTGAGCGGATTGAGAGGTTAGAACACATGTTATGGACAGATTATATAATATACGATTTATAATGTTTATATTGTGATACTCTAGAACATAGGGGTCGTTTGGAGAATATGAGCTTAAATCTATAGATTGTCAAAGATTCTAGAACTTAGGGGTCATTGGGAGAATATGAGCTTAAATCTATAGATTGTCAACAATCTAAAGATTCTAACTCTTCAGATTGTTGAAAATAGATTTTAAAATGTTTATTGTTTGGTAACTGTGATTATTAACATTTAATGAAAATAAAAATAAAAATTTTATATTAAATAACATGTTTATCCTTAATAAAAAATTAGAGTAGTTTGAGAAATATTAAAAACTTTGTTAGTAAATATATTTAATATGATAAACAAATAAAAGAAAGTGAAAATGTAAGAGAAAAAAAAATCTCACGAATCAAGATATAGAATCTCTCTGATTATGAGAGATTTGATATCCATAGATTTTAGAGATTTAAAATCTCTAAAGCTAAAATCCACAATACAAAAAGCAACAAAAAACATAACTTTCTACAAAATCTACGGATTCAATAAATCCACGCCCTAAATCCCATTCTCCAAACGACCCCTTAATACAATTTCTACCGATTTGGACAATTTGATTCGAGTGACGTTGGTGGTGGACCCACCCAGCCACCCTTTGTTCTAACTTCTAAATGTAACTCTTGACTTTTATTAGGGTTGATACTAGGGTGTGGTTTGGTCTAAATCATATTATATACGATCAGTGAGAGCGGATTGAGAGGCTAGAACATATATTATGGACAGATCATATAATATATGGTTTATAATGTTTATATTGTCATACTCTAGAACTTAACACAATTTCTATTGATTTGGACAATTTGGCTTGTAACTAGATCATTTGTCAATCATATTCTATACGACGCTATATTTTGCCTATATTTTTCAGAATTGTAGCATGTTAAGAAAAGATCTGTACCAAGTTTCTTAACATTTAGAGGTCGTTTTGAAGGATGGAAGATGGTGTACCCATATTAAATCACGACTTCCAAGATTAAAGATCAAATTTGATGATCATGGTCGAGAACTCACAGAAACCCAAACATAAACTGGAAAAGCATTAGTTATGAATATGGTCACGCTCGTTGCTTGTCTGCATTTTTATGTTTTTAACTAAAATAACAAAGCTAATCTGAAAGAATGTCAGTTGGCACCAAGGGTTCTACTTCAGTTAGCTCACAATCCTCCCATTATATTATGGAGGTTCTCTGACAGAAGGTACTCAATTCTAAAATTCGAGGCTTCTCAGTAATTTTAGGAAGGAGTCGTTTCAAATCAAATAATTATAAAAGAAATGTATATATTTTTGTCTTACAAAAAAGAAATAAGCAATGTGGTACAAATGTTTCTACTGCAAGGGGTTTCCCCATTAATTATTAATGAAAGCATCATTATTAATACTATTACAATGAGTTTGAACCAAAAAATATATTATCATAATGGTGGCAGAATAGGATTAGAATTGCATGTGATCAATTCCATATGGGTCGTTTGGACGGGACATTCTCAAAATGAGGTAATTTGAGACAAAATTCTCATTTTAGAAAATGAGCTAATTGTATGAGTAAATGTTTACATAATTGTCTTGTTACCCTTCTCTATCTTGGGAAATGAAGAAAGAAAAAGGAAATTAAATAAAAGGGGTCATATTGGGAAAAGTGACCCACAAAATGGAGCAATGTAGATTACCTCTCTCCCACCCAAGTAATTGACATTGACCCATAATGAAGCAATTTCAATTGCCTCATGTCCAATTGCCTCATTCTTACTTTTTGCATCCAAACGGGGTAATTTGATCAAATTGTCTCATTTTGAGTCAATTGGGGCACATTGACTCATCACTTTGATTCATCCAAACGACCCCATAATAGAGAGAGGATTTATAAATTTTTTGTATAAATGGATGCAGAGCATCTCAGCCTTCATTCATAACCAGACGGGGTTCGGAGAGCCCCAAAGTGTCATATAAATTCCAAGATACAAGGGTAGTGTCCGTTGTAGGAAACATGCTATAGCCCAACGGCAACTGATGACCCCGACTACCAATATAGTCAGCACACTTATTACCTTCTCTATAAATATGAGTGAGGGAAACTTCCCAGTCCCTCTGAATTAACTCCTGGAAGCGATGGGAGACTGCTGAATGGTGATGATCATGGCCCTGCTGCCGCTGAAGAATCTCCACTGCCCATCGCGAGTCAAGTTGAACATTGACCCTACGGTAGCCTAGCTCCCAGGCCAGCTAAAGTCCTTCCACAGCGCCTCTCAACTCTGCTCGAGTAATGGAACATACCCCGAGGTTCATGGCGAACGCCGCAAAGTAGCGTCCTAGATGATCTCTTATCAAGCCACCAGCAGTTGCATGGCCTGAATTAGGGAGGACGAAGCCGTCTGTGTTGAGAGTAACCCACTCGGCAGGAGGCGGCTTCCACGAGATCAGCTCCTCCGTTCTAGCAGGTAGACAATGCTGATGGATGGCCTTGTCATTGTCCATGGCTGTCTGCACTACATTAATCCACGCACGGACGCGCTGTAGGAAAGCTTCAGCTGAAACCACCTTGCCTGCAAAGACTCGGTCATTTCTGGTCCGCCACAGGGACCAGCATGTAATGCCAAACATGAGGCTGGTGTGACATATGCGAGTGTGGGTTCTACAAACCCGGATATGGTTTTCATTCTTGAACCTCGTATTAGCGGTGTAACCGCGCGTGATGTTATTGCCCGTTTGGGGTTTGATGGGGTACTAACTGTTGATGCTCGTGGCTTTGCAGGGCGAATCTGGGTGATTTGGCGGGAGAGAGAACTCATCATCTCGCCCATTTATGAGTGGGAGCAGATTATCCATATGCGAGTGTCGAGGAGGAAAGAGCCGCAACACGAAGTGCTGGTTTCAGCCATTTATGGGAGCCCAAATGCTTCCACTCGCCAGGACCTGTGGGATGAGTTGGTTTGCATAGCTCATGACACCAGGCTGCCTTGAGTCTTAGCAGGGGACTTCAACTCTGTTTTGGGGCCAACCGAGAGAATGGGAGGAGCGCCATATCGAGAGGCTCGTACTAGGTCGTTCCGGCGCTGCATGGATGAGGGAGAGTTTGTGGATTGGGATTCTCGGGGCCGCGATACACTTGGAGATGTGGCAATCTCTCCCAACGGCTTGACCGAGCTATTGGGAACCAAAGATGGTATTGAAATTTCCTAACACAGTAGTTCGACACCTGGAGCGTATAGGCTCGGATCATCGTCCAATCCTGGTGCAACCTGAGGTGAAGACTCCTCAACAAATCTGACCCTTTAGATTTCTGGCGGCTTGGATGGGGCACCAAGATTTCCCTCGGTTGCTAGAGGAGATGTGGAGCAAGGAAGCGGGTTTCACGCCGCAAACTGTCCTCCTGACGGAGGAGCTCCAGAAGTGGAACAAGACATATTCGGGCACATAATGAAGAGGAAGAAGAGGTTGATTGGGAAGCTGCGACGACTAGAAATAAGGAACGAAAGTCAGGCGTCGGAAGCGTCCCATGAGGAGGAAAACTCTGTCAGGAAGGAGTTGGAAACCACTCTCTGGCAGGAGCAACTCCTGTGGTTTCAGAAATCAAGAGCTAACTGGGTAGTGGAGGGCGATAGAAATACCCGGTATTTCCACTTATCAACCCTCAAGCGAAGGAAGTTCAACAGGGTAACCAGTTTACAAGATGAGAATGGTGAATGGCTCCATGATGATGTTCTTCTCCAAAATCATGCTCGGGACTATTTCATCGTGTTATACAGTGCAGATCAAGGGGGCATGGCCCCGCTGGTCGCGGACTTCACCAAAATCTCAACTACCACTGCTGATGCTCTTGCTCGACCAATCACGCAGGAGGAAGTTTGGAGTGCGGTGAAGGCGATGGGGGGTTTCAAGGCCTCGGGGAAGGACGGATTCCCTCCCATCTTTTACCAGAAGCAGTGGAGGGTTGTGGGGTCCTCCTTTGCAGAGTTTGTCATTAAGTGCTTCCAGGATCCGGAGCTTATACGGTTTATCAATGTGACACTCCTCACTCTCATTCCGAAGAAGGCGAGCCCGACGTCTATCAAACAATTCAGGCCGATAGGATTGTGCAACGTGATTTACAAGTCTTTGACGAAGTGCATAGTCAATCGAGTTAAACCGGAGATGCGAAGCCTGGTACATCCTACGCAAACAAGTTTTGTCCTTGGACGACATATTACGAGTAACATTATCATTCTCCAGGAGGTGATGCACTCCATGAATCCGAAGAGAGGACGGAAAGACCAGATGGTAATCAAGATTGACCTGGCAAAGGCGTACGATAGGATCAGCTGGCCCTTTGTTCAAGAAACTCTAAATGCTGCGGGTTTCTCTCAAAAGCTAGTGGACGTGATCATGGCTTGTATTACAACATCGACGATGCATGTTCTCTGGAATGGGAACTGCACGGAGGAGTTCACCACTTCCCGTGGATTGAGACAGGGATGCCCGTTATCTCCGTATTTGTTTACCCTCTACATGGAGCGCCTGAGTCATCTCATTGAGGAGGCGGTCCGCAGGAAAGACTGGAAGCCGATCAAAACTTCCCCAGGTGGCTAGACCCTCTCTCATTTGTTTTTTGCTGACGATCTTATTTTGTTTGCAAAAACTTCTGAGAAAAAGGGTCTCATCATCATGGAATGTCTGGATCGATTTTGCGAAGCGTCAGGGCAGGCGGTCAGCAAGGAGAAGTCTGTGGTGTTCTTCTCCCAGAACACTCCGCGATCTGAGAGTTCAGCCGTGTCTGGCATCCTGGGCATCCCGGCGACTCAGAACCTGGGCAGGTATTTGGGCGTTCCAGTTCTCCACGATCGAGTTACCAAGGAAACCTATCGCTACATCTTGGATCGTATGGACAATAAACTGGCAGGGTGGAAAGCAAAAAACGTGACTCTTGCCAGACGAGTAACTTTGGCAACATCGGTCCTGAATACTCTACCCTCCTATGCAATGCAGTCAACATACTTGCCCATATCCATTTGTGATGAGATCGATAAGCGCATCAGGAGCTTCATCTGGGGGTCAACGGCTGACTCAAAGAAAATTCACCTCGTCCATTGGGATGGAGTGTGTCGGCCTAAGGAGATGGGGGGGCTTGGTATCTGGAAAGCTCATGAGCTGAACATTGCTTTCTTGACCAAGCTCGCCTGGTCATTTGTCACAGAGCTAGAGGAGCTATGGGTGCGAGTCCTTCAGGCGAAGTACTTCAAGTCTGTGCAGGGGGGTATGCATCCAAAATCAAGAGAGGATTTATAATTGATCATATCTCATGTGTTGTTAATTGGAATTCAATTTTTTCTGTATAGAAAAATTGGATTAAGCTCTACAAGATGACATCCATTTTGATATATTTTTTGAGAAAAGAAATATTGCTCTAAGAGAATTAACCCTATGGGTAATTCATCAAGTTATATTTATTTTTAATCTATAAGTGATCCAGTTTTGTGTTAGCTGCTGAGATTGCTTAGTTTATTAATTTTTGTAGAGTATTTCAATTTGAGATGACTAATTAGAATAAAGAGTGATTCAGTAAAATATTTTTATAAATCAAATAACGAGTGTATGTCTTTCTACTAACATATGGAGTTTTTTTGCTATATTAATACGACACAATGAATGTGCATGATATTTGTTGTTGTTAAGAGTAATATTAACTCAAAAGTTATGTGTCATGCATAGCATATGTTTACTCAATTATTACTAAAGGAAAGGAGACTTAGTAGACAAATTTGTTTTCTGATTCTTACTTTATACTTGGTATATTATATGGCAAAACAATGCTCCAGTTCTTCACATAACCAATGAAAAAGATGGGATTTTGACGCATAATCTCCTTTAATTACAGCTGGTACAGATCTGAAGGGCTACCGTTAAAGTTTTTTTAATCTTCTAAAAATTCAATAGGTTATATCTCATTCGTTTCAACTATGATTTTAAAATAAATCGTGTTATAAAAATTATATTGATTGAAACATGTTAAAGAACCGTTGAATATGATCACTAGAATGAGTACTTATATAAGAATTATACAACAATATAAAAACACAACAGTAGCTAGGTTACAATCTATGTTTAGTATTCATTTCGTTTTAACTTCAAACAAATTTATTTAGAAAATAAATTATACCCACATAACATAAGTTTTTTACCAAATAGTGTATCTCAATTGTTTTCGTTTTAAAGATTTAGCAACCAGCTCCAATTTGTGGACAAATTTTTAAATATGACTTTATTGTTCTCGACTCGAGGACGCTAGGTTTTTTGGAACGCCTACTCGAAAACTATTCGAAGATAACGACAGATGAGATGACCTTTACCTCTTCACCCCCCTACAAACTGTTGAAGTTGGATTTTCACATAAAGCTCACTTAGTACAACATCATGAACATCCATATAAGGGAGTACACTATTTTGAAGATAATGAGGGATGGAGAAGAGCAAGCTTAGACGAAATTCATGACATGGAGTCATGGACGAGGTATATTGAACTTCTTGAAAATGTTATTTCACACTTCGAAAAATTTTACAATGAAATGTTTACTTTCAATGAGATGCAAGAGACAAAGAAAGAGTACGCTAATGGCAAAGATTTAGTGATGGAGATAATAGTGTTGTTGAGAATAATGAAGAGATTGTTGCTGGTGGTTTTTTTAATTCAATGATGAGAGAAAAAGGAGAATCATTTATATTATTTATTTTTTTGATGAGGTGCAAGCATGAAAATGATGTTTCAAATATCCTAGAATTTCACCACAAAAGTTTGGATTTTGGTGAAATAAAGAAGAAACTATTTATGATAAATATAAAGTTTTTTTATTAATAAAGATGAAGTCACATAGAGAAAATTATGATTTTGATGGACGAGGAATCACAAAGAAGTCTAAAAGAAAATTTATATTAGTTTAGGACAACAAAGAGTAAACTAAATATCGTTTCGATTAATTTTTTTAGGAATTGATTTCCTTGCATGGATTGTGTTTTCACTTTTGATAAGGACTTCTGTCTATGAATAATCAATATGTGAGAAAACAAAACGTATGATGCAAGTTCTTTTTTTATATTTTTAATGATTCGATAATTTGGATTCGATCATGATACTATATCAAACGTAACTTGATTAGAACAATTACTATTATTATTTTCACCAAAAATATTTTTATTGTTAATATTTTTTATTTAATTCATCCTGCCAAGCGGGTCCAAATCTAGTTCACAATATAGAGCATCTACCACGAAAATTAATCTTCACTTAAATAATCCGCGTCTCATAAATAATCCCGCCATATTGGTAGGCTTTCCCCTGCCAACTACTTATGGATGGATTAACTATTAAGGCCCACAAGTCCACAAAGAACCCCAATTGGGCAGGCCCACTTACTCAGCGACTTCCCGCGCAATCCGGTCCAGTAATATCCGGTCCCGTCTCCTATTTCCAATGATAAATTGACGTCATAAATTCGGCATTTAAAGAATTTCTAAACCCTAACAAAAACCGCGCCCCCAAAAAAAGGAGGCGAATCGTATTCTGTACGTTCATTCGTTTCCTTCCCCTTCTTCCCCTACAAATTGCACAAAACCGCGCCGGCGATTCCTCACTATGGACAGCAAGCGACCACGGAAAGAATCATTGACGATGAGCGAAGGCGGCGGGGGAAATGACGGCGGCAGAATCAGCACTGGGTACCCTCTCCCTCTCAAAATCGTCTCAGATATCCTCTCCAGGCTTCCAATCAAGTCCGTAGTCCGATTCGAAGCCGTCTCCAAACCCTTCGCCGCCCTAATCAAATCCCCCGACTTTGTCTCCGCCCACCTCCGCCGCCACTCCCCCACCGGCTCGTCGTTCCTGATCCGCCGCCTCGCGGACCCAACCGTCTGCGGTTTCCACTTCTCCCTGATCGACGGCCGGACCGCCGCGGTGGGCGATATTCCCATCCCGTTCATGGACAGCCTCAGTCGCTTCCCCAAAATTGTGGGCTCCTGCTGCGGCCTCGTCTGCCTCGACGTCTCCATGCTCCACGCCTCGGCGTTTCTTCTTTGGAACATCGCCACTAGGAAAGTGGGGAGCGTTCCTAGGTCAAGGATTTTCGTCGAGCGCCCGCCCTTTTGGATGGTTGCTGTCGGGTTCGGGTCGAATTGCGACAACAGCGACATCAAGCTGGTGAGAATCGTGTATTTCAAGCGGAGGATGGAGGAGTTGCCCCTTGTGAGGGCGGAAGTCTTTTCGTGGGGATTGGGTAGGTGGAGTTTGATTGACGCAGATGCGACCCAGGCGGCCCTGCAATCGTGCTCCATCACTGAGGGTCAGAAGGCTGTGGCTGCTAATGGGGCATTGCACTGGGTGGGCGTTGAAATTGAGAAACCTTCCATGAACAAGTACATTGTCTCACTTGATCTGGGTACTGAAGAGTTCAGCAGAGTTCCAACTCCTGATTATGGCAGTGAGTTACCAACGTGTGTGCAAGTTATGGGGTTTAAGGGTATGCTTGGATTGGCGGCTTACCCTGCCCAGTCTTTCAAACCATCACCCTACAAGTTCATCGATCTCTGGACGCTGGACGACGGTATTCGCTGGACTAAGATTACTAGTTTGAGGCCGGGAATTATAGGCATTGGGATTCCTGTGGGGATTCTGAATGATTCTGAGCTGATAATGAAGCGGGAAGAGGGGCACTATGTGCATATCAGCTCGTTTGATGGAAATGCCAGGGTTAAGTGGAACATTCCGGTCTTCTCCGTGCCCGAGTTTGCCTGTGAAGTTTATGGCTTTGTTGACAGCGTGTATCCAGTAGCTCCATTCGAGGAAGTTGATGCTGCAGAGGGTTGAGACAGATTAGCTTATGGACATGCTGTGCTATTGAATCTGAATTAGGTCTTTAGAGGTAGTAAAGTAGTATGATTTGAGGTTCCTCTCAGTCGGGTTTTAGGCTTCTTTAAGGTATGTTAACTATGTGCTCTCACTTGTGTAGTTTAGTCTATATGAACTAAACTAACAAACTAGAGCTGAAAAGAGTACATGAACTGAGCTATATGCTCTCTCTCTCTCTTTTGCTTCTGCTGTTGATGCTTCGCTGTAACATGCAAACGCTCATAAAGTTTGGATCTTTTTGTGATTGTGCTTTTGTAGCTATGTGCCAATTGCGATGATACATAAATAAACTTGAGTGGTTGGTCGATGGAACTAGTCACAATGGCTTGGCCTAGTCTGGCCGCCACTTGACTTGACTTTTTGGTGTTTCATGGGTTGAAGTCCTTGACCAAGTTCATGCATTGTCCTGTTCTGTCCTGTTTCTTTCTTAGGCATCGTTTGACTTCTGAGTAATTTAGAAAGCGAATAATGGAATGAATATAACGGGGAAATGTGGAGGTTCAACTTTCAAGTGCTGCTGGTTGTTGATTGTGTCTCTGTTTTAAGCGTTGCAGTGTGTTACAGCTTGTTTCTTGCTTTTGCTTCTCTGTGTCGTATCTCTGTTTCAGCAATTGGATCAAACCAATGTTTGGACCGGACCAAATCGAACATGCAGTATGGTCCTTAGTCCTGCATATCTTTCAGTATTTGATTACGAGTCTCTTGAATTTGGTCCGGTTCAGACCAGATCAGACCGTTGCACACCCCTACCAATATCCACTTCACCCTCTCCACCCTCATCTCAACCATAATGTCTCGATTGATTCATTCCTCATTTTTTCTAGACAATCAGATTGGCGCACACATGAGCTGAATTCATATGCTGGTTAAAGTTGTTGTTGCAGGAGACAAATCAAACCGAACAGTTGTTGCAACAAATCATGTGAAAATGGGTCCACGCAAATGTTAACTCAGGTGATCGATCTCTCCCACCGCCATGGAAAGAAAAAAAAAAAAAAAAAAAACAGCAGCACTGCACATGCTAGCTATTGCCGACTAATGCAGAAATAGGCAACAGTTCTTGGCCTTCTTTTCCCTCTTGTCCCTTCTCTCGTTGTCAATACTGTATGGATCCATTTTCCAGGACAAATCTGCATGTGTTGCTTAAGGTCCACAGCCATGGATTTTTCTACGGTTTTTCAAACCTATCCAATCACAGAGTGGCCTACTTGCACGAAGATGTGCCATTCATAGGTTCCTCGATCACATCTCATTCCGCTGGGGAGGAGGGGGAAAACAGCTAACGAAAAGATGAACCAAAGGGCTTGTAGATCAACAGTATCACAACGAAACTGTAGATTAACAGTATCGTTGCTTGGAAAATGTTTATATATGTATTTTATGTCACTACCTTATGGGATAGAATTAGGAACGAAAATGGATCGATTGATAGGGTAATTTCATCGAATTATCATGACTCATATGCATGTTTAATGATTTTCGCTTTGGATTGGATTTGAATTAAGTTCAACTTGGGTATCATCCGGTAAGAAAGAGGTTAAGTATCATACATGAATGGTACTTAAAGCACATGGTATGGGGAGGCCTATGCATATTTCATGCCCATGAGTTGCGCGCTATCGTTTGAGGGGGGCGTATCAGGAAGTGGTTAAGTAGCCATACATGACCCTCCCCCAACAACTGTGAGTGATTGAGACCAATTGGTTTATAACAGTACATTCAAATGGGTCTATTTTGATGGAGATGATTGTAAACACAAAAGACAATATCAACCATCTCATTAATTGTCTCCAACCCAATCACACCTTAATGTTGGTGTTTCCACTATCCATTTTTTCTCAGATATCCAATACGATGTGTCTAGTTTAAACTAAAACTAAAATATTGAGTATAGATATGTAAAAAAAAAAAAAATTACTCAAACCTGATTTGACCCAAACTAAAATGAGTTAGAGCAATACCCAAATATTGGATTTTTGTTTGTTGCTTACCAAAGATTGAACTATGTCGATTGAATCATGTCGATTACCAAAGATAAACCCTAATCTTTTTCTTCTCCTCTTGGTACTTTTGTGTTTCCTTTTGGTCGTTTGGTAAGTTATTAAGACGTAAGTGTTAGTCCTTCTTATATTCAAGTCAAGATGTTCATCCATGCCAATGAAGAATCTTCTGTTTACATTAATCCCACTATCTAGAATTTACCTTGTGCCGGTTGCAATTTTTCCAACCTACCGATAAGACATGATGATTTTTTTGCCATGATATCTTAACGGTAAAGTTAAATTAAGTGTGTTTAACTAAATTTACATCAATCAATCATCATATAAAACTAGATTAAATGAGTTGATAACATAAGCTAACCCAATTAATCAACGTACCCCCAATCATCTCGTTTAATATAATTTAGTTGAGATTCCTTTACAAAGAGGCAAAGTTCCCAATTACAGTCATCAGAAACCTTATATTTTGTTGAATTAAGGACAATCATAAGGGCTATCTATAGGACCTTAATTAATATAACCCTAATCCACAAAGACGGAAAACGACTTGTCCATGCTTTATGACGCAAGAGAAAATAGAATAAAATTGGTTTATCTTAAACGAAGGAAAATAAGAAGGTGGAAGATGACATTAGCAAGCCTTGAGTATTAATGTTTAAAAGAAAATTGTTTTTTTTTTGTCCAATTTCTTTAATTACGAATCTCCGCGAAAGATATATAGAGACAAATAAATAATTTTATTCTATTTTCAAGGCGAATGACCCATATTTCTAAAAACAGTCTACTTTTTGAGGTGCGATTATATTATGGTCGAAATTTACGTTCGTTTCGATGAAAGTATACCAGTCGAAAACAAGCGAGTAAAAGGAAATGAAAAGAGGGGATGAACATGCACAACAATAGAGCTTTTCACTATATACCACTGGCTGCCGGCCGGTCGTACGAAGGCGAGTCGAGGACAGCTAATTCCCTTTGACGGCGACTTCACAACCACCACCAATCTCTTGACTCTTCTCACTCTGCTCGCTTTTGCTCCATCCATTTGACAAATCTCTCTCTCTCCCCCATGACATAAGTATTGCTTAGCTCGAAAATGGTGGGTTGTGTGGCTGCTTCCAATTAAATGCCACATGCAATTACTTCAAATTGAAATACTTGGGGTGGTACTTGGATCTCCATGCCAAAAGGATGATTTGATATGTTTGGCTAAGACCCATTTTGATGCACTTCAGATGAAGAAGTTCTCGTTTACCGATAAATTTTTCTATCTCATATATACAACTCTCCAACGTATCACCCACTAAGTCGTTGTTATGGTTATCACTTCAAAACGATTACCTCCTATAGATCTAGGTAAACTGCATGCAGAGTCCACTATGCCATTTTAATTGCCCGAGAAATGCTTAGATAGGCCAATACGATCGATCCAACTCAAATTGAATAAGTAGGTTCCTTATCAGTCTTGGTTCAACCGTGTCCATATAGGTTGTCGACTAGAGATGACAATTTTGTGGAATCAGAGTGAAAAGAAAAGATCGAAATTTTATTTAATTCGAAAGTTTACACTTCGCAAAACAGGAACCCTAGTCAAGCCAAGAAGCTTGGCCCTTTGAAAATGAAAAGAAACACTCAAACCCCCACTTCCCAAGGATCAATCACCCGGTCAATACACCCTGTGATTGTCCTACTGAAGTTGGTACAATAACGGACCCATTGACGAACAAAGTAGATACCCAATCTCACTCGCTCTCAACATCCAAGTTTTAATAACTCGAGTGATTCCTATTTATATGGTTGGTCAAGAAGTGACCGTATGAGCAGACCTCAGACCCGTTTCCTATGCCTTGTAGAGATCATCATTTTGAGGAGTAGAGGAGGTGGTCATCGCCCAGGTTTCTTGTGAAGGGAGCATAGGTCTGCGAAAGTGAAAAGCTCGAGATGGAAGAAGACTTCGAAGGACGATTCCCAAGCCAGGTTGCTGCTTTGATGCTTTAGTGGTTCGACATCATTTTGGGCAAGCAAGAGACGGCACCGTTTTGAGAACCCGCTTCCTTTCACATCCCATGCAACAATTTCCCCCTTCGTCCGAGAAGTGTGAGGATCCCTGCAAAACAAAAGAAATGAACAGCAGACTTCGATTCTAAAAGGAAACATAGTTGCATTAATGAAAACATGGGTACAGTAGGAGCATCATGGGGAAATTAGATTTACAAAATAAAGGAATATCAAAAGATATTCCCCCTAAGCAAAAGCATCTAAACTACTTGAAACCTAATCTCATTCCCCCTTAACAAAAGCATCATCCTGAAACCAGGAGAGCAGTACAAAAGATTGCTCGACTACCTATGTAAACACAACAACAGAAGGTTAGGAGGGAGGTGCAGAGGCTGCAGAATCATCAGAGGAAGAGTTGCCTTCAGAAATGGTGAACACAAGGTCACCAGTCTTACTGGGTTCACCAGCAGACTTAGCCTTTTTAACAGAGGAAGGCTTAGGAGCAGGTCCAAGAAGGGAAGCAGAGGGACGAGGAGGAGGAGGAATGTCAGTAGGTAGATCAAGCACCATGAGCACATTTAGTGCACTGACATACATAGTGGAGGAGATACTCCGAAACTCAGATAAATCGACCCCCAGATTGATGAGTAGTCGGGTGATGATGGAAGCAAAGGGCAGGATCCCTTTGTAGTTTTCGTCAGCCACAGGAAGGAGCTGGCCGAACATAATACTGGCGAAATCGAGCTTTCGCCTGACAGTTGCACTGGAGATGATCCATAGATCCATATGAAGAACTCGGTCCTGGTTAAATGAGCGAGGGAAGAAGACGTGGGTGAGAAAATAATGGAAGATTCTCAGTCGAGGAGGTAACCAGGCAGCATGAATTGGAACATTAGAGCCACCAGTTGGCTCGGTGGAGAAGTTGTTGTATTCCACTTCGATTTTGAACTCGTGCTTCCAGAATTCAAAAGGATGGGCTATCCCAAGGCCTTGAGAGGGAAAACCGAGAATTGCATTCAGGGCATCAACTGGTATAGTCAACAAGTGACCATAAACCAGTGTGGTGAAGCTCCATGAGCTCACTCCTTGACTTTGAAGATTCAAAAAGAAGTACTTCACGGCTCCTGGACAGGCAGGGTGGAGGGGTTGACGAAGAAGGAAATCCCATCCAAGTCTTCGATTAGGGAAATAATGTCATATTTATAGACATTAAATTCATAGGGATCAAGCTTAGTAATATGGTGGATCCTCCTCTTATCAAAATGTTGAAGATACCGATGATGGTTCAACACCCTGGGTTCATGGAACATATATCCAGAGAAGGTGTGAACAAGTCCATCGAATCGAAAGGGACGAGGAATGCAATCGCTCATGGTTGGAAGAGCTCAAGGGTTTGCTGAGATTTTCAGGATAAGAAGGAGGTTTTTTGAGTTTAGAGGAGCGGTGAGAAGATTGAGGAGAAGGGGAGAGCCTTATATAGAAAGAAAGAAGGATGGATAGAGGAGAAGCAGAAGAGTCTCCTCAGGAGAAAAGTTGGGGAAAATGTAATGATTAGTGCATAGCATGCATGGCGCTGTCTTGGAACAACGCAAGCATGAGCCTAAAAAGAGAGATTTTTGTGTAACCCGAGACACGCTAAATACCCAGAGCAAAAAGGTCCAATGGAGTGTTAGTTTACAAGATATTTAATATGATTAAGAGATTTGAGTCCTATCTCTGTGCATAGTTGAAGGAAACGTTCACTGGAGAGGGGTTTCGTGAATAGGTCGGCTTACTAGGATTCGGTAGAGACGAATTGCAAACAGATGTGCCTGCGTGTACTAGGTCTCTAATAAAATGGTATTTTATCTCAATGTGTTTTGTCCTAGAGTGTTGAACAGGATTCTTGGTCATGCTAATTGTACTAGTGTTGTCACAGCATACCTGAATATAATTAAACTGAAAACCATAATCAGAGAGTTGAGCTTTCATCCACATGATCTGAGCACAGCAGCTTCCAGCTGCCATGTATTCAGCCTCAGCAGTCGAAAGAGCAACAGCTCCTTGTTTTTTACTAAACCACGATACCAGAGCAGGTCCAAGGAACTGTATAGTTCCTGATGTGCTTTTTCTATCAACCAAACTTCCTCCAAAATCTGAATCACTATAACCTACCAGCTCAAATGAATCAGAGATTGGATATCATAATCCTACACTTCTTGTTCCCTTTAGATACATGAATATTCTTTTTATTGCTTTGAGATGACTCTCCTTAGGATTTGATTGAAATCTTGCACATAGTCCTACACTAAACTGAATATCAGGTCTACTAGCTGTTAAATACAGGAGAGAACCGATCATACCTCTGTATTTCTTTTCACAGACTCCTATTCCTCCTTCAGAGTGAAAAGAAAATCTTGCACATACTGGCTGTTAAATTGTGGAATCATAGTGAAAAGAAAAGATCGAAATTTTATTTAATTCGAAAAGTTTACACTTCGCAAAACAGGAACCCTAGCCAAGCCAAGAAGCTTGGCCCTTTGAAAATGAAAAGAAACACTCAAACCCCCCACTTCCCAAGGATCAATCACCTGGTCAACACACCCTGTGATTGTCCTACTGAAGTTGGTACAATAACGGACCCATTGACGAACAAAGTAGATACCCAATCTCACTCGCTCTCAACATCCAAGTTTGAATAACTCGAGTGATTCCTATTTATATGGTTGGTCAAGAAGTGACCGTTTGAGCAGACCTCAGACCCGTTTCCTATGCCTTGTAGAGATCATCATTTTGAGGAGTAGAGGAGGTGGTCATCGCCCAGGTTTCTTGTGAAGGGAGCATAGGTCTGCGAAAGTGAAAAGCTCGAGATGGAAGAAGACTTCGAAGGACGATTCCCAAGCCAGGTTGCTGTTTTGTTGCTTTAGTGGTTCGACATCGTTTTGGGCAAGTAAGAGACGACACCGTTTTGAGAACCCGCTTCCTTTCACATCCCATGCAACAAATTTCGATCTGACCCAATTTTACATGACATGTATTGGGAAGGTAATGCGAGGCGGGATGGGGATGGGTACTCTCCTCGACCTAATATGCCATGATTCGCCACATTCTATACCTGTTTTTGCCTAAATTATAAATAATTTTACTCAAATTTTTACTTTAATCAAGTGGTATGTTAGTCGCAATAAAGCTCTAAGCATGTGAGAATCTCAATTTCTTAAATAATTTAACAACATTGACCATGTTATAGTTTGCTTCTTGATTTCTTTAATGAAAGATTGAACATTTTCTCATGCGTTTCTTTTAAATAACATATTTATATGAGTTTACTTGCCGACTCACATCCAATAATAAATCACTCCACCAGAACCCGACTCGCTACAAAACAAATATGAGTATCGAGATATCCGCTAAACTATTCATCTGTCATTCCTACGGGCTGACAACTATGGATGTAACCGGATAAGCCAGCTGGGCTAATGGTAAAGAAACATGCATGAGAGAGGGAGAGCATCAAATCACAACCTAAAAAGGTAATTAACCCAATAACCCAAATAATTAAAAACTTAAACAGTACCAGTAATACAAAGACGTATAAATACACACACTCATGAACCCAACGTAATCACCATCCTAAGCATTCCACCACTACTACTTCTACTCTCCCTTTGGCTCTCACTCCCACGCACCGACCCGAATCCCAACCCCCATTTTCTCTCTCTCTCACTCCCAATGGAGAGAGCTAAACTCGACTACGGCCGGCTCGGCGGCGCTGCCTCATCATCCTTCCGCGAAAACAACCCGCAGCCCACCGCCGCCGCACCCTCTTCCCGCAAGCGCAAGCTCATCATCCTCTCCCTCCTCTCCCTCACCCTGATCGTCGCCTCCGCGGTCTCCGCCGCCCTCCTCGTCGCCGCCCGCAACCGGGCCGCCGCTGGGCCCGACCCGACCCGGCACCGGCGCCCGACCCAGGCCATCTCCCGGGCCTGCGGCAAGACCCGGTACCCGCAGCTCTGCGTCAACTCGCTGGTGGAGTTCCCCGGGTCGCTCACCGCCGACGACCAGGACCTCGTCCACATTTCCTTCAACATGACGCTCCAGCGCCTCAGCCGGGCGCTCTACCTCTCGTCGACGGCGATGATGGCCAGCTACCTCCCCGCCGGCGGCCTCGATCGGGCCGCCTACGACGACTGCCTCGAGCTCCTGGACGACTCCGTCGACGCCCTCTCACGCTCCCTCTCCGCCGTCGCGCCGCCTTCCGGCGGCGGCATCGGCGGCGCGGTCGCCGCCTCCACCACCGACGTCGCCACGTGGCTGAGCGCCGCGCTGACGAACCAGGACACGTGCGCGGAGGGGCTGGCGGACGTGAAATCCGGCCCCGTGAAGGAGGAGATGGAGCGGAAATTGAAGGATCTGACTGAGCTCGTCAGCAATTGCCTCGCGATCTTCTCCGCCACCGACGACGGCGACTTCGCCGGAGTCCCGATTCAGAACCGGCGGAGGCTGTTGGAGGAATCGAATGTGGAATCGGAAGAGGAGTTCCCCGGCTGGATCGGGAGGAGGGAGAGGAGGCTTCTGGGGCTCCCGGTTTCGGCGATTCAGGCCGATATCGTGGTGTCGGCAGACGGCGCCAACGGGAGCTACAAGACGATCGGGGAAGCGATCAAGAAGGCGCCGGAGAAGAGCAGCCGGCGGACCATCATCTACGTCAGGGCAGGAAGGTAATTTACATCGTCCCGTCGGTGAGAATTTATCATAAATTATTTAAAAAAAAGGTGGGCCCGGGAAAAAGGTTTGTTTGCACTTTTTTTGTGTCACGTGTCAGCTGTGTTAAGTTCTTGCCCCGTAAAACAGATGCGGTTACATTCTTTTTTTCACCGGCCGAAAGGCCACTTAAACCCTTTTCTCTTTTCCGTCGATAAATTCACAAGAACGAACGATTCAAACTCGTGACGATGTTTTCATGTTCTTAAGCTCGAATTCTGTTTGTAATTTGGGCACGTGTCATTTAGTACCAGTTGTTATTCTTGCTGCTAGATCTTAATCAGTAGAAGAGTAATTATGACACCTTTTAATTGACATAATCGGATCACTTTAATTAATACCTGCTGCTACTTTCTTCAGCGTTTGTAGAAAGGCAGAAATGATGAATGGCAGAGAGCCTTTTCAATTTTTATTCCCTATAATTATTGCTCTCCTTTTTTTCCAGAGGAGATTTCCTGAAAAAGGAAAAGGAACAGTGACTTCACTTTTATTAATTTCAAGTCACTTTTGGGAATTATTCTCTTCTATTTCTTTTTCGCGGTGGGGAATATTTGTCATAATAATAATAATTAATTAATTTGGGGGAAACGGCAGGTATGAGGAGAACAACCTGAAAGTGGGGAGGAAGAAGTGGAACCTGATGTTCATCGGCGACGGCAAGGGCAAAACCGTCATCACCGGGAAAAGGAGCGTCTTTGACAACTTGACCACTTTCCACACCGCTTCCTTCGGTAAGTTTTTAATTTATTCTCTTCTTTCTCCTTCCTTTATTCCCGCCCCCGGTAAAAGTCAAATCGTGTGCGTTTTCCCTTTTATTCTCCTGTCGTTTCATCCCACTTGGTGTCGGCAGGAACCGTAAACCTGGCTCTATTATCCCAACACTAACCCGTAATCTGCATAGTAATGTATTCAGGATGTTAGATCATACACTCATAATCCAACGACGTAAACACGTGTTTCGCGACAGTAAACCAGTAACTAGTGAGAAAGTTAAAACATTAGTAGGGTTCTGGTTGTGGATTGGGGATGAGATTGCATGCACGTGGCTACCTATCCTTTTGTTAAGGCCACTCTGGCACTGCTATCAAATTCCCCACCCAACTAGTTGGTCCTTTTGCCTGTAAGACCATTTACTACCAATTCGGCTCCTTGTTGCGGTGGCATTAAATGTCCGATCTATTCAGCAAAAAAAACACAGATGTGAATCTTTCCCTTTAATCACCATTAAGAAAGTAAACCGTTTGGAGTGTGCAAAAAGTAACTCAACTGGGGAAAAGCGGGAGGGAGGAGGAGTTGCTTAAGGAAGAAGCAAAGGGTAGGTTTACAGAGAAAAAAAGTCAGTGGTCAGAATATTCCTTTCTGGACGGAAGTAGAAACTGCGAAAGCAAACTGTGTGTTTGATTCCCAGTTTCCATATATCTACTAGTCATCCACTGAACTGGGGCTCAGTCTTTAACAGGCACCATTGCCTTCCCGCAAAAAAGGTAAAGGAAACAGAGGTGACCAGTAGTCCAATACCAGCAGAAGTTCTCGAAATGGGTAGAAGAAAAACAAGAGTCTTTTTTAACTTGGTGCAACTAGGATAAGGAAAGCCACAACATCTAAAAGAAGAAATTGTACCTACCAGGGACAAAAGGAGAGCTAAAAAGAACATGTGATGTGGAATTTTGGCCACTGGTTTTGTTAGTGAAACAATAGGGACCAGTGGGAATTGCAAAGAGTGGGAAAGAAAAGAGCACATACTTACAAAAATGTTCTTGGAAAAGGGCTTATGGACAGTTACGGGTAATGTCAAAGTGGACAATATCACATGACGCTTTCATTATATAATACATGAACTCAATAATTATTATTAGGACTTTTGTTTCTATGGTGTGGTGGTGTAGGTGGTTACGAATTACGATGAGCGGATTGTTTTGAGTTTGTAAAATCGCAATCGTTAGATGCATGTGGCGATACTGTTTGCTATACTACGACATAGAATATGACAGCTAATTAGGATTGTGTGCTCTAACTCGACGTCAATGTTGGTCTGATGGCTTTCTCGACCAATCGACTAGCTAGGTTAATGTACTTATATCGTTGAATCGAACATTCTGCAATGAACAAGTGTTACATCCTCATGAATACAATTTCCTTAAATAAGTATCATCAGCATGCATGCTAAGTGAATTGTCATTATCTCAGTGGGGGAAAATCAGTAATTATAGTATATTATTATTATTATAATTATCATTACTACTTACCATGCTACTAATTACTGAGCTAATTGATCCAAAAACTACTTTTGCTGCAACAGCGGCCACCGGAGCAGGGTTCATAGCCCGGGACCTGACATTCGAGAACACCGCCGGTCCCGCGAAGCACCAGGCGGTGGCGCTCCGCGTCGGCGCCGACCACGCCGTCGTGTACCGCTGCAACGTGATCGGGTACCAGGACACCCTCTACGTCCACTCCAACCGGCAGTTCTTCCGCGAGTGCGACGTCTACGGCACCGTCGACTTCGTTTTCGGCAACGCCGCCGTGGTGCTCCAGAACTGCAGCTTCTACGCGCGGAAGCCCATGGACCTGCAGAAGAACACGGTGACGGCCCAGAACCGGAAGGACCCGAACCAGAACACGGGGATCTCGATCCACGCCTCCCGGTTCCTGGCCACCCCGGACCTGCAGGCCTCCAAGGCCCAGTTCCAGACCTACCTGGGCCGGCCCTGGAAGCTCTACTCGCGGACCGTCGTCATGATGACGTACATCGGGGACCACGTGCACCCCAGAGGTTGGTTGGAGTGGAACGCCACGTTTGCATTGGACACGCTGTACTACGGCGAGTACATGAACTACGGGCCGAGCGGGGCGGTCGGGCAGCGGGTCAAGTGGCCCGGTTACCGGGTGATTACGAACAAGGTGGAGGCGAACCGGTTCACCGTGAGTGAGTTTATATTCGGGTCGTCGTGGCTGCCGTCGACCGGGGTGGCCTTTCTGGCCGGTTTGAATACATAGTTTATTTTTATATATATAATAACTGAGATTATAAGTACAGGGCTAGCTGTTTCATAATTCGTTGTCATAAAAAAATGTCTTTAATTTTCGCCGTTAATCACAAAATCATATATAAAGGCGTATAATTATATATGTGGTGGGTATAGTTTTTTTTCCAGAAAGGGAACAAGAGGGGATTATGTTGCTGCTATAGGGTATAATTGTAATGCAAACACTGATGTTTTCAGGGTTGTAATTTTTTTTTCCTTCTTCCACATAACGTAATTGATAATAACGATTCTATGGAGACTAATGAACGTTGTACTTGACGAGTAGAGTCGAATCAAGTTTTATATGATAGAAACTCGACTCGTTTATTAGTTGTTTAACTTAACTTTGAGTCAATGTTGAACCATAGTAGGGCATAATATGATGCTATAGGTATAATTGTATTCAGACGTTTTTGTTTTAGGGTTATAATATTGTTCCCCACATAACCTAATCAATAATGGAGACTAATGAAGACGTTGTAATTCATGAGCATAGTCGTACCCGTTTTATATGATTCGAACTCGGCTCGTTTATTTGTTGTTCGATTTAAATTCGGGTTAAGCTTGAGTCGAGATAGGAAAAGGCAAGTTCAGCTCGACTTGAATTAAAATAGTTTTTAGTCAAACCGAATCGCCTTGACTCAGTAAGTGTTCACGAGGAGAATTTGTTAGTTGATCGAGCACAAATTCAACTCGAGGTAACTTTGGTTTGACCCATTTTCTTGTGCTGGGAAGATGATAACTAAATATATTTGAATTTTAATGTTAAACAAACATCAAACAGTAAGCATCCAACCTCTGAAAAAACGAGCAAGTTTAACGAACAAACTATAAAACCAGCTTACAGTCCTAACAAGTCAAACTTACCTCGTCAAGTAACAAACGAAACGTTACGGGCTTTTCAAAATTCAGATAATGAGTATGATTTTACCATGCCTCAGACAAACGGTGGTGGGGGCGTTTGATGACTTTGATGTCGTAATAGCTTGGTCGCCTGTACGCCAGTTGTGTTGTGCCGAATTATCCAATTAATGATATATTGATCATCTCAGAAAAATAAATAAGGACTATTGTGAAATTAATTGCGGTGTCGGTGGAGGGAGGGAAGGAAGATGGGATGGGTGAACGTGGGTTGAGTTAACACTTTAAAAAAAACAACAGTAAGAAAATCTGACCCACAAGATTTGGCCATTGATTGTCGAGCCCAACTGGCTGGCTGGACCCTGGCCCAGTTCATCACGAGCCAGGAGTTTCGGAGTAGGCCCACATCCACCCCGGCGGCTTCTACTTTGTTAGCTGGCTGGCAAGCAATGTCATAGAATTCTATGTGCAACCAGGTCCACGAATTCCTTTCATCCTTCACTTTCTTCTCCAACTCACATCTTCACTTTACCCCCAAATGATTTGAAGTGTGGTCCATGGCCTCGTGTCCTAGGCCATCCCATCCTTCAAACTATCTATCTCTATCCTGTTTTTCCTAGGGTCCCAATGAGTAATGGGAGTAATGGGTGTTCAACCTCCAGCAGTGTTGAGAGACTGACGAGGCTAGACCATCGAAAAGTATACGTCTACGTCTCAGTATCACGCAAAGACGTATTTTAATTATCGGATGCTTCCAACAGACAAAATAATTCTTATTCCTTGAGCTTTTATGATGATGTATGTGCCCCTTCCCGCAATCTTTGCATGAGTGCCCATGCCACAACAACCAGCTAGGTGTTTTTTTCGCGTAAGTTGGCACCTTGTGGATTACGGGTGCACAATGGTGCAGTTGAGCCGCTCTGACCTGCAGATAATCGTTTCTGGTCCAACCAAACCGTGCTGCAAACTTACAATTTGGTTATCATGCAGATGGTAGTTTGAATCATGTGAAATCGCTCGGTTGTTGTTCAATACCGCAAATCACTCAAACACCAAGAACTTCGAACATATGTGCAATTGTGACTCCGAACATAGGCTATGTCTTTTCTTATCTTAATCCATTAGCAATCAAACCGACTCAAATATTAAAAAAAACGATGAAGTTTGATATTTTGAGAATGAGTTCAATATTCGAATCGTGAGTGCTAGTTTGCATTGCTAATATATATATATATATATATATATATATATATATATATATATATATATATATATATATATATATATATAACCCAACCAGTTCAAGTACACACCCAGCACATAGATCACTTCGATTTGATTCGAGTTCCCCTTCCGTTTGAAGTTTGATTGAGAGGGAAAAGGGGGAAAAGGTATGTACATTATTCAAGTGAATAAGCAACACAAAGACTTATGATGTCCAGGCAAGTCATAAATTGCAGACCTCTAGAAGAAATAAGTCCAGGCAAGTCTATGATGTCCCGAACCTGAATCATGTAGTCACTTAAGAAAATCATGGTTGAACTCTTATGACAGCATCAGTGCAGAATTGGTTAAGTAGAATACTGAACTTGAAGCTGACAAGAACCCGCAGTTGTCTTAGATATCCTGCAAGGACAATATACTTTCAGATGGTAGATACAATATATTGTACTGTAAGAGAGGACAGCCTGAATGAATTAGAGATCAGGGCACAAGCACAGACGGGACACATTGACCTTCTGTTGTGGACTTAAGGGCAGATAAGAACAAGGACAACGTATCTAGAAAAGACTAAGCATCCATTCCAACAGCCAATTTCTTCAAATAAGCAGCCTAATACTATTCTACTGGGATATCAGCAATTACAACCTAGCACCTGTAAGAACATCCAAAGGGCCCTAATGCAAGAACATCCAAACATTCATCATTCAATCTGGCTTACCAAATACTGAAACCAACCGAGTTCTGAAACAAAAACCAGATGCAACTGCAAGTGCCAGATTCGACAGATCAAACTAAAGTTTCTGGTGCGTAAACAAAACCCCAACTAGCTATTAAAAGGATACTATCAGGACCTTTTCCAATCAGAAAGAACCATGGCCGAGCCAGAATTAACGTTCCAATTTGCAAGCATACCTAAGATCCTGAGCATCTAGATTCTGTGCCTAGTAGAGAAACTACTAATGGGCAGAGGGACTCATGGGAAGCTCACAACAAGAGGTGATAACAAACCCACTAACCCAGGAATCATGGCGAAAGAACAGCAATGTTAATCTAACAACGAATTTGGAATGCACGTATACGAATGCCTAAAACTCGATCTCAAAACCCTCTGCAGTTCTCCATTACAATGAATTCATTATGGATACAAAATGAGAGATGAAATCAATCGCCTCAAGACAAATATCAGTATCATGTGGAAAACTATGAACTTTTCGATACCAAATTCATAGGAGATTCATCAGACTATAAACATGAGATTCCAAACACGCCATATCATATATAAGGACAATGAACACGTTAATCCTTGATCCCCCGATCCAGTAGTATATCAATTATGAACCAAAATCAGGCCGAAAGTAATCGAATTTATCTTTTTCCTACACCCACCCCAGCAATGCGGTAGCCCAAATTCTTCATTTAAACTGGCCGTTGCTGGAAGAACAGCAGCCATCGGAGGAGGGATGATCGTGATGGCCGCCATGATTGCCATGGTGATGTTCGTCGTCGTCATCGCTGTCGTCCTCGTCGAAGGGCTTCTCCTTGTGGAAGATGCAGCACTTCTTGGAGCTCTTCTTCTGCATGAATTCGTTGTCAACGGTGCCTTCCTTCCATGAAACTTTCTTCTTCGGCCGATTCAGGCGCAAAACTAGGGTTTGCGATGGCGGTTGCCGTTGCTGCTGGGCTCGGTCTCCCAGGACTATGGTTGTGGTGGTCGTGGTGCCGGAGGAAGATGCGGCGGATGAATTCGTCGTTGGTCTCATTGTACAGACCGCCAGCGGAGGTGATACGACCGGGAAAATGAATTTTTTTAGCGGAATTTCGCGCGTCCGAACGAAGAGGAGACGAGGAGACAGAGATCAAGAAAGTTCGCAAGACGAAAAGTATGGGAGGCTGTTAAAGATTTTTATTATTTCTTAAACAAAAATTCTAAACCTTCAACGGGCCTTGTTGCATATTCGTTGCAGGCCCGCAGAGAAGAATGCTTCACTTTGGGCTCTGCATCTTTTTTGGGCCTCGCTTATGTATTTGTATGATGGGCCTTAGAGAGAGAAGGATAGAATCCGCGTCAAATCCACAATAGAAGACAAAGCTAATCATACAATAGCAATACAATCATTTCATCATCATCCAATTTAGGGGGTGTGCAATGATTCCATCCGGATCAAATAATTGCATACCCATAACCAGTCTTTTGTTGCCAATCTGCTTTGGCGTCGACTCTGTGTCTCCCACATGCTCCGAATATGTCGCTATTTCCGTCCTTCGCGCTCTGTGGTCTCTCTCCAGCGACAAAGAATTCCAACCCATCTCAAATAACACGTCTCTCTTGCTCTCACTGAGCAGAGTTGAGAAACCTCACATAGCTGCCTAATCAAAGTTATATCTCCTTTCCAGTAAGTTCCCTCATATTGGTTTCTTTGTATTTTGGCTTCTCGGAATTTGATGGGATTTTCGGGCCGCTTTTATTCCATGTAATTTTCCTTTTCTAATGAGTGTTCAATTCAATTGGTAACATTATGCGTAGCTGGTTTTGTTCTAAAGTGGCGTACTGATTTTCTATGCTTTGGACGGAATTTAGACCCAATTTTTGGATTGGGCTCGGAGCCACAGTTTGTTGAAGAATAAATTTCCCTGACTGATTTGTTAGCTTTGTTGCTGGGATTGTTCTTGGTGATCGATGCAGTAATGCCCGCAAGCGTTATCGCGGTGATACTTCTACTAGCCAGAATAAAATGTGGCATCTATTTCCAACACTCTCAGTCGATGTAATATTCTCATTCTGTATATCCCTTTGATGTTGTGTTAAGATTGTACGAAATATATGCAGGCACAACATTTTCAATTGCAAAAGCAAAGTAAGCTGATAACTTTATTTTGTTTTCCTGCAGTATGCAATTTTGTTGTTTCAATGTAATAGGAATCACAATATTAGTTAATATGGAGGAATAGGGATGCAGAATCATGACATTTTCAGTTTGACTCCATGTTGACTTTGGGTACAGAGTGAAACTCCATTTGAAAGTCTATTCTGGTGAAGCATATTTTGCAATTTGGTGTATGAAGGCCTGTGTTTCTTTGCGGTAATGGCTGATGTATTTTCAAAGTAAATCTGAGGAAGAAAGAACCCATTCTACTCCAAATCCAGCAGGTAGTGAACATGAGATTGAGATTACATGTTAAACTTACTCAATTTAACTTCTTAAACTCTCCAACTGAGTATTCTGTGGTTAATGTGGAGCATGATCTACTTGGGGTAAGTGATGAATATATCAGCATGCAGCAGCACATCCATTCATACGGTAGAAGAGGGTACCATATTGATCTCCATCATTTCAATTTATCTTATTGTTGTAATTTGATTTCAGCAATTGAGTGAGACAACAAGTCAACTCCACACGAGTGCAACTCCTATCTTGGAGGAAGCCAGCAAGACTAAGTCAAATCCTGAGGTTCTTGGAGAGACAACTTTTACAGGGCAGAAAAGAAAACAAGGAGGATGCATGACTGTGACCCCAAGGAAGTGTCGTAGTATTGTTGGGAAATTTGTGCAGTGGAGGGCCACGTTGTGATTCTTATTTTAAGTATTCTGTTTTCCATAATAGTATGTTTGTGAATGAGCAGCCGTTTAGAAGCTTAGCTGTTGTCATTAGTTTGTTGTCTTAAAGCAGAATGAATCTTAGGATTGCTACTTATACATTTCAGTTCTCTACAGAGCTTTATCAGTAGAGTATTTTTACTAAGATGGCATTGTGTAAAACTTTATTGGTAGGGTAAAGGGCCCCAAAAAAACATGATAATCAAACCTCTCTGCTAAATCATGATTCATGATAGAGATAAAAAGGGTCAATTAGTAGGAAGCTTTCTCAGCTTTTTATCCGCAAGTGCAAGATGCCCTTTAATCTGCACTAACTCTACACAGTTTGGTTTTTTTGTTTCAAACCTTTGGTTTATCAGTTAGAAGCCCTCTAACCTAGCCTAACTCTTCAGTAGGGTATTTTTCAAGATGCATCACGTAGAAAACTTTATCAGTAGGATGTTTTTAATATGAGGTGTATTGGGAAATAAAAGCAACGTTCTATACCATAGAATTTACTTGAAACAAGTTTTGTGAGTGGCTTCCTGGGGAATCCCCCAACAAAATCTACTCCATGTTTGGAAAGTGAAGTGGGATAGCATCCAAAGATGCTACTTCTAAAGGGCTATCAAGCATCCAACGATTGTACTTGGTGAGTTTATCCTAATCAGGTGGCTGCTATTTCCTGTTTCTTTTTATATTGCAGTTTGTTTAGTTTAATGGTTTTTCCTTCATACAATGTAATTATGCATCATGTTAAGCATAACTGTATACGATCATGTGGATAACAGGAAATGGTGCCGGTTGGTGGGTTCCCTTTAATTTGTAAGTTTTTTTTTACTGAACGTTAATTTAAAAGTTCAAAAGCCTTTCAAGGATTTCTCATGTCATTCTTAATTACTTATATATTATCTCTAATATCTAATCAGTACTTAATTACTACATCAAATGTTATGTTCCGATCTCAATCATAAGATCACACGAGTCATAAGATTGTAAGATTCGTTACAATTCATTATACGAGTGAAACATAGTACACGATGAAGTTTTATACTATACCGGCCAAAGGGCCGGACCCAATGCTAGGTAATATAATACACCGAGGGGAAAAACGGGAGCCCCATTTCAAATTTCCTGCAACGAGAATGAAAGTAGGAAGGACATTTTGGTCTTCACAATTACTTTTTTTTATTCATTAAAAAGACACGTACTGGGATTCGAACCATGTCCATTTTAAAGAACAGCATGGAACATACCCAATCACACTAAATACATTTGTTGCATCCTTTTAAATCAAAAACATATAATAGCAGGGAGGAAAAACCCCTTCCCCCATTTCAAATTCCCTGCTCCATGAGCGTTTGTAGGAAGGGTAGAATAGGTAGTGTTAATTTTTTTCTCTTTCCTCTGTGGAACGGGCAAACTTACCGTACACATGCGGATTTAAACGGGTTCAGGAGTGTCAATTTTTTTCTTTAACCCCTTGTATTTCTCCGTGGTGATAAAATATATATGAAAAGACAAAAGCAATACTTCTTTTTATGCTAAAAATAAAAAAATATTAACAATAAACTAATGCATGGTATCTAAAGGGCTAACCGCTAACCATAAAATAAAAGAGTTGAATGGGCCTGACCTACACCGGATTTGGCCATCAAGTAAAACAAATGAACATCATTGGTTTGACATTCTAAAACAAGCTATTTTCTCTAGCATAATATATATTATTATATTATTTTATATTTTAGTGGCTAAAATATAATGTAGTTTAAAGTTATTCAATGGTTCAATCTCGACCAACCCAATTAGTCCAATTTTTATCATTTCAAATATATATTATATAATTATTTGATATCATAATGATAAAATTATAGTGTATTTTATAGGGAATCGTTTGGTATTTGTTAGTAAAAAACTAAACAGAAAGATTTATTTGGTTATTTTAAACATTAAAACGATCCTAAACATTTTTAGTTTCTTTTGAATTTCTATGGTTTTATTCCCGAATAAGTGATGTGCAAATGGCGAATTGCAGTCATCTATTTTCTTTCACTATTTTTTATTTTCAAATAGAAAGTTTAAAAGTAACGAATAATTAGAATTTTGCATGGGTCGGTCAAACAGGCTGAATTTTAAGTTTTGGCCCTTTTTGATCAAGTCTAATTTATAATCACATGGTTCCCTGATACCCGATAAAAATCTCAATCCAAACCACTTTGGCAGGTGAGTCCGTGTTTACCACCATTCTCTAGGAATACGACAACGGTGGTTCCTTTCCCAAATCGTGTTGTTCGTTCTTGATTTCCTTAGATTTTATCATGGCCTGACAAAAACCAGAAAGCACAATGACGACAAGATGAAAGTTTTATAAATCAAATTAATGGTGTTCTCTTTCTGATCTCATGTAATTATATAATGAAGTTGAAGTTTTTCGATGCTATTCAATTTCATTGGTATGTTTTTAATGGTCTAACTTCATGGTTGTACCAACTTTTGATGTACTGTTTATGTTCCAATATATTCACTTTGGTATGATTATTAGGGATATGCTAGGCGGTACTCACCATTAGACCAATTTAGCTTAATGGTTGAATCTACGGGTTATCCCAATAATTCAATATTCGGCTCAGCTCCTCCGACCAACGGGTCGGGTTACAAGCTAGTACAATAGCAATACAATCATTTCATCATCATCCAATTTAGGGGTGTGCAATGATTCCATCCGGATCAAATAATTGCATACCCATAACCAAATCGAACTAATTTACACCTTGTAGGTCTAGATTTATCATTTCTTAGTATAATATTTCTATCGAGTTGCTTGATTATTCAAGATTTATCAATATAATTTGTCAATTTTAATAATTCTTTTCATACTTTTGAAGCGTAAGAAGCAAAATCAGATTTTTTTTCTTCAAATCTTCAACGAAAGACAGTATATCTTCCCATGTCCAATGGGGAGTGTATAAATTGTATGCCTATAGCGCCTTCTGGTCCAAATGAGAGTTTCTTGTCCGCGACCAAACATATTTACTCCGCTAATACCGATGCGGGATTGCAAAATATTATGCTTGTGATAATAATCATAAGGAACATATGGAGATCATGTGCATTTTCCATTGAGAATTATTCGTCGATTATATTCTGGCCTTCAATAAAATCAAATTATAAATCCAGGCAGACGAATCGATTTTGTTAGCCATCATTCCCAAATAACAAATTAATGCTTGGAAGTCGCCATCAATTTTTTCATGAAGCAAAAAAAGATTTCCAACCAAGAATGAATATGATAGCAGAGGCTGAAAAAGGGAAGACAATAGCGGCTAGCTCCCTCTCCGTTCTACGATCACACATGAACACAAATCACCAAACCGATCTCCAGAATTAAAAAAAAAAAAATCAAAGCAGCATAGTGCCGTTACTGTTATTACCGATTAAAAATCAATCAATTTGATCAATGTATAGGACTAATTTCAATAATAATAAAAAAAAAATGGCATCCAAAAAATTGTGCACATCACATCATCATCAGTATCATCATCCCTGGAACGATCGATAGACGACGCCGCCATCATACTCCGTCGAAACAGAACTCCGAGCAGTACCGTGGGTGGTGACGGGGGCTGGCAACGTCCCGCCGGTTACTCTCTTGTAGCTGCTGGGAGCCGTGACGGCGGATTTATTGTTAAACGTAGCGTAACGGAGGTGGGTGGTGATGAAATGCGGCGCCGTGACCATCGCCCCCAACTCCTTGGACACGGACTTGAACCGTAGGATCGACTTCACCGGCATCCGCGCCACGATGTCGACCATGATGTCCTCCGGAAGCGGCGATTCCGCCGCCGTCGTCGTCTTCTGCTTCTTGTTGGCCATCATCATCATCGTCGTCGTCAATGGTAAGATCGATGAATGATGATGATGATGATACACGGTAAGGAGGGAAGAGGGAGGAATGAATTAATAGACGTTGGTGTGTTTGTTTTCCAGCATTTGTTTTGGCGCGGGAGAGATGGAATCTGACCGGCCGTGGCCGGGGAGTGGCTGTTGGCGGGCCGGTGCCAGTGTAGGCGTCGTTGGGCCGGAGGCTTTTGTCGTCTTGTTGGGCCTTTGGAATCGCCAATCTTTGGGCATTAACGTGTTCCAATGCGGTAGACCAATCTCGGACCAGTTAATTTCGTGCTGGACATTTGCATCTGTTCTTTGTCATTTTAGTTGAAACCTAGGGGGCGTAATTTTTGCTTGGGGACAGGACAGCCGTCTTTGTCGCCATGCTCCACGACGGAGGGAGGAGTGAGCGACACCTTTGGGGGATTGCACTAAAGCACAAAACCAAACTTTTTCTTTGGGAGCTTATAGGAAAGAAAAAAAAAAGGGACTTTCTTGAAACTACTGTTAATGGCTTAGTCACAAGAGTCATCAACCACTAACGACATGATCAAATGACAGAGCTCGTGGAACGATCGCGACACATTCAATTATCGACTCAATTTGATGAATTGCACTTTGGAAATATACGTGAATTGGGAATGGAGAGAGAGGGGGAAAACTCGACAAATTTTAAATCTTGGTATTCTTTCAAATTTCTATCTTTTGTTATGTCTAGTGTTACGCTTATTCAGCAATGAGGATTAGATTACTTAGGACGGGGCTTCTTTTTGAAATGGTTCACTCAAGATGATAAGCTCATTGAACAAGGAACAACCACTCGAGTAATCTTATCGAGGCAGAATACAACTCTGTTGATAAGAGCGCTAGAACCTTAACCTTTTCCTCACTAATTGTTCAAACCATACCTCTATTAGAGAAAAATAATAACTATTCTTTTTCATTCATTTATTTGGTTCCACTCCTCACGTTTCCACTCCTCAACTCCCCTGTATATTCTCCTTCTATCTCTCAACAGACTCCCCTGTACCTCCTGTAACAGTGTATAAATATTGCTAGAAACGTAATTACAAATCAAGTCTTCTGATCACAATAAGATTCTATCTTCAACTGATTCTCCTTCTAATATGGTATCAGAGCACTAGCCAAGTTCAGCTAGTCGATCCAACTCAAACTCCTTCTTCCTCGGCATTCTCAAATTCACTTCCTCCCCAAGTAAATCTGCCCTCATCTTCCCTGTGTTCTCCCGTTCAATTTTTCGGCGGGGCCTAATACTTCTTCCCATCACCAGTTCACCCCATCCCCTATTTTTCCCTTCCTCCTCTCTGTCACCATGTCCGGCAGCTCCAACATTGACAACACGACCACTTCTGCCGAGGTTCCAGCCATTATCACATTCAATCCGGCTGCTCAGCTTCCCCTGAAGCTCACCTCCACCAACTTCGCCTCCTGGCGTTCTCAGCTCGACACGCTGCTCATGGGTCTTGACCTCTTTGGCTACATGGATGGCACCACTATCGCTCCTCCTCGCACAATTTCAATTGGCTCTGCAGAGATGCCCAATTCCCAATATCAGCACTGGTTCAGGCAAGACAAACTCATCCTCCCCGCCCTACGCTGTTCGATTTCCGAATCGATTTACTATTTTGTATCTGCTGCCTCTACATCGAGGGATGCGTGGTTAATTCTTGAAAAATTGTATGCGAGCAATGCTCAGTCTCGCGTAATTCACTTGAAAGGGAAGTTGGCCAAAACTTCAAAGGGGGATCGCGATATCCTCACCTTTGTAAATGACCTCAAGAGCACAGCTGAGGAGCTCGCTCTCATCGGCAAACCTGTCTCTGATCTCGATCTCGTCGTCTATTGTCTCCGCGGCCTGGGTGAGGAATATGCCGCCTTTGCTGCCGCCATTCGCGCTCGGGGCCCTGGTCTCTGCCTCGAGGATTTGGTTGACTCTCTAGTGGAATATGAAGCCGACCTCAATGCTCAGGTGCGCCAGTCGGTTCCGGCGGCGTTTTATTCACAGGGACGAAGCAGTTTCAGCGGCGGCGGCGGTGCTTCATCTAGAGGAGGCTCGCCCACTTCTCGCTCCCCGTGCGGGTTTCCATCCCAGCGGGCTTCCTCCCCGCGTCCAGCAGCTACTGCCCAGCGGGCCTTAGGCCCACCCGCCACCAACCTCCATTATGGGCCGCCTCCTGCAGTCTCCAGTCCCCGCAGGCCCACTGTGATTTGCCAGTTTTGTGAGCGCCCGGGGCACTCTGTACGCCAATGCTTCAGGCTGTTTCCCCAGGCCCGTCAGGCTCAAGACCATCACACGGCTGCTACTCGTGCCTCAACTTCCAGCCCATGGCTCCTTGACTCTGCCGCCTCCCATCATGTTACCTCCGAGCTAGGCAATTTATCTCTATATTCGGATTATACCGGCCCAGATGAGATACTCGTTGGCGACGGCACAGGTTTGCAAATAACACATATTGGGTCTACTACACTGCACAATTCCTCCTCTTACTTTCACCTAGATGATGTGTTATGTGCTCCTGCTATCAAACGAAAACTTATCTCTGTTGCCAAGCTTTGTCGTACTAATCCCATTTCGGTGGAATTTTTTGATGATTGTTTTGTTGTGAAGGATCTTCGCACGGGGGCGTCGTTACTGAAGGGGGCAAATAATGGGGACGTCTATGAGCTCCCTGGGGATGTGGAACCGTTCGTCTTGCTCTCATGACCACTCGCACCTCTTCCACATCCTGGCACGCTCGTCTCGGCCATCCCTCTACCTCTTCCCTCACCAGTCTGCTTCGCGCACATTCCTTGCCAGTATCATCCTCTCCCATCAGTAGTCATTTTCATTCTTGTCTTTCCAATAAAAGTCACAAACTACCTTTTGCTCATTCTTCATTATCCAGTACTAGACCATTTGATTTATTGTATACGGATGTTTGGGGGCCGGCTCCGGTCACTTCCATTGATGGCTTTAGTTATTATTTAATCATCGTCGATCATTTTCCCCGTTATACTGGGTATTATCCTCTAAAACGCAAGTCTGATGTTTTTCCAGTGTTTCTTGCGTTTCAAAAGATGGTTGAAAACTATTTCTCCACCACCATTAGTCGTCTCTACTCCGATGGTGGTGGTGAGTTCCAAAAGTTGTGCTCCACGCTGGCCGATCATGGCATCAGTCATCTTCTTACTCCACCTCATACACCTGAGCATAATGGCTTGGCCGAGCGTAAACATCGCCATCTTGTTGAAACGGGTATCACTCTCTTGCATCATGCTCGTTTACCTACATCATTTTGGTCTTTTGCATTTTCTACTGCTATCTATCTCATTAATCGCCTCCCTTCCTCTGCCCTGCATGGATAAATTCCATACACTTCCCTTTTTTATCTTGCCCCCAATTACCACAAGCTGCATGTGTTTGGCTGTTTGTGTTATCCTTGGTTACGTCCATACTCGTCTCACAAACTTGATCCTCGTTCCCGTCCATGCATCTTTATTGGTTACTGCCCTCAACGCAGTGGCTATAGGTGCTTTGATCCCGACACTCATCGTATATTTCTCTCTCGTCATGTTCGTTTTGTCGAAAATTCCTTTCCTGGTTATTCTACTAACCCTTCTGCAGACCCCCCCACTGTTGCCTCATGGCTGTTTGATCTCGGCCCACCAATCATACGAATTCCCCTGTCTGGGCCTCGGCCCACCATGGCGTCCCCGCCACCTTCAGCCCTCGGCCCCTCTCCTGCGTCGGCTCCCTTGCACAGAACATCAGCGCCATCGTCTGGGCCGCCGCCAGATACGAGGCCCGAGCCTCCCTCTTCGGCCATCCCTGGCCCATCATCATCTCCTGGGCCGACCCAGCTGGCTGGGCTTGAGACTTCCTCGCCCAGCCCCTCCACCACTCAGCCCACTGCTCCGCCTCCGCTCCTCCGTACACATCACATGACCACCAGAGCTCAAGATGGTATTTACAAACCCAAAAAGCTGTTCACGGTGGATTATACTACCCGTTCACCTCCGCTTCAACCCCGCTCTGTTCGTGAGGCCATGCAATACTCTGAGTGGGATGCGGCCCTCCGCAAAGAGCACTCCGCTCTTCTCCAGAATCACACATGGGATCTTGTTCCTCGGCAGCCACACTTCAATGTACTGGGCAATAAATGGGTCTATCGCATCAAGCATCACTCCGATGGTTCCCTAAATCTCTTCAAATGTAGGCTGGTTGCGAAAGGCTTTCACCAGCGTCCCGATATTGATTTCACGGACACCTTCTGTCCTGTGATCAAGCATGTCACCGTTGGCACAATTTTCACCATTGCCCTATCTCATCACTGGCCGATTAAGCAGTTCGACGTCAACAATGCATTTCTGCAAGGGCCGCTGGATGATGAAGTATATATGGAACAGCCTCCCGGCTTTGTTGACCCAGATCATCCCACCCATGTCTGGCGTCTTCGCCGTGCCATTTATGGACTCCGCCAAGCCCCGCGTGCGTGGTACACTGCACTCAGCTCCTTCCTTGTTGAGTTTGGGTTCCGGAAGTCTCAGTCTGATGAATCCCTCTTTGTTTATCATCGTTCTGGGGTTACACTCTATTTTTTGGTATATGTCGACGATCTCTTGCTCACTGGGGATGATCCAGCCACTCTCTCTGCCTTTCAACTGACATTGGCTACCAAGTTCTCCCTCAAGGAACTCGGTGACGTGAACTATTTTTTGGGCATTAAGATACTTCCTACCACCTCTGGCTATGTTCTATCTCAACATCGCTACATGATTGATATTCTCACCCGGTTTCATATGCTGGATGCCACTCCTGTGTCTACCCCTCTGGCCGCCTCTGCACAGCTCACACTCTCTGATGGCACTCCTCCCACTGATGCCACTCGATATCGGCAGGTTCTGGGGGCGCTGCAATATCTCGTCTACACTCGCCCTGACATAGCCTACGCAGTCAACAAACTCTCACAGTATATGCATGCTCCTACAATCAACCATTGGCAATGCCTCAAACGTCTCTTACGATACATTTGTGGGACCCTCTCCTATGGCCTAGCTATTCGCCACACCACTGTCCCTCTACGCCTCACTGCATTCGCTGATTCCGACTGGGCGGGTGACAAGGATGATCGGACATCCACTTCAGCGTATCTTGTCTACTTGGGTTCTACTCTCATATCTTGGAAATCACAAAAGCAACGAACAGTGGCTCGCTCAAGTACCGAGGCTGAATACATGGCCATTGCTCATGCTACAGCCGAATTGGAATGGGTGCAGAATCTCTTAAAGGAACTCCATCATCCGTTCCTCTCTTCCCCAACGCTCTTCTCTGACAATTTGGGCGCCACCAGTTTCAGCTCCAATCCCCGCTTTCACTCACGCATGAAGCACCTGGCCCTCGACTATCACTTTGTCCGCCAATTAGTGCAAGCCGGTCGTCTCCACGTAACATATGTCCCCACTACTCAGCAACTGGCCGACATGCTCACCAAGCCGCTGCCTGCACCGCGCCTCGATCTACTCCGATCCAAGATTGGCGTCGTTGATACCTCCTCCATCTTGCGGGGGCGTATTAGAGAAAAAGAATAATCATTTATTTGGTTCCACTCCTCACGTTTCCACTCCTCAACTCCCCTGTATATTCTCCTTCTATCTCTCAACAGACTCCCCTGTACCTCCTGTAACAGTGTATAAATATTGCTAGAAACGTAAATACAAATCAAGTCTTCTGATCACAATAAGATTCTATCTTCAACTGATTCTCCTTCTAATACTCTATTATTCTCGATCGACTCCTTTATAGTTGTTCCGTTCTTCAGGCTTCAACTTTGGCTCGAACTCTTTCCCTGTTTTTACCAACATATACACAAGAAAACTATTCTACCAAAATATAGAAACCAGCCTAGCCGTTCTAGTTAAGATGCGAAATCACAATCATTCAAAGGAGGTTAGAAAGTTTATCATGATATTCTTCGAACAAATTTCATTCTTGATTATGATATCGGTCTTCTCGAGCTTTCGAGTTGAAATATGTATATGTAAATCTTTGTTTTCATTTTATTTTTAAATGTTTATTTTTCAAAAGGCCATTGTACTTTCCAAAAATATCGTGCGTTTGGCTTATATTGATCGGGGTCAAGAGACTAACTACGACAAGGTGTGTTTGAGGACATATACCAAATCAGGCTGAAATGAAGCTCTAAAGCTGACGAAGACAAGAAACATAGCTATTAAGGCATTGTGTGAACCTAGCCATGTTGACTAAATGTGGTGTTGTATTGAGGAACCTAACGATAAATCCTAACTTTGGTGTTCATACAAAATTCTATTTCATTTATAATATCTTTAAAAGATGTCACAAAGTTGGAGGAAATGAAAAATATAATCTTCAAATGAGTGCACAAACTTTTTTATATTTTTAAATTTTCCTACACCAACAAAATATGATCTTAAACATGAAATAATCAACCAAACCAAACTGAATCCTTATTATCAAGATTAACAACCTGAATGATGAAAATTGAAACCCTACTAAAAAATTAGCTATAAGCCTATGATCATCACAACTCAACACCATTGTTCACACCTCGAACCGGAACAAGACTATGCACAAAACTGCCAACTCCAAACACAATACCCACGAGATCATCAAACCGACGAATCACTCTGCTTCCCGGATCAAACAAGTACAGTTGATCCCTACTCCCTCCTCGCATCAGTCTAAAAATCTGAAGCCCCTTCCACAACCCCTCACAACAACTTTCAACCGTTTCTCGATCAGTAGAACTATCAAACCATCTGTATCGACACATAAACTCCCACGTCTCCCCTCTCATGTCCACTCCATTCTCCCCAATCACCAACACCTCCAACTCATCATCATCGTACAACCTCAATTCCAGGCAGCTCCTGAACGCCGCGATCCTCGCCACGATGTCGAGCGTCAGCAATCCACCATCATCAGGCCGAGCCTCGGGCAAATCGACAATCCGAAATGAATCCGCCACGAGATCGAACGTCAGCACGAAATCCCTCATCCCGTCCCCTCCCCCGATCCAGTACAGATGCCCGTTTGCAGCCACCGCATGGCCATAAGAAGCAGCCGGAATTCGCGCACCTCTCAGTTCCTTCCACGACCAGCTCTTCCACGAGAACACCGCCGCCTTCACTTCCAAACTTTCCCATATCGCTTCATCTTCGCTCCTCCAGTCCCTGTAGTAAAATCCGGCGAATTTCACCCACCTGTAATCCTCAATCTCGCCGTTGAACCCGAACCCGTAGCTCTCCGCGATGGCGACGAACCTCGTCACGTGGCGGAAAGGGGATCGGAGGTCCAGTTCCGGGATCCAGGCGAACTGCTTGGTGGCAGGGTTCCAGAGCGCTGTTCTGGTGGTTCTGTACTCGAGACAGAGCAGGCCGTTGCAGGAACCGACGATCGAGGCGGAGAAATCGTCGTATCTTGGGACGGGAACCGGCAAATCGCGGTGGACGGTTGCCAGGTTTGAGTCGAGCACGGAGATTCTGAGGTCCCCTGTAGTTTGGCCGTGGCGGATGATGAGCAGGGGATTGTCGGAGGCAGAGCAGTGGAGGTGGGCGGCGATGAATTGGGGTGTTGTGAGGAGAGTTGACCATCGTTTGGAGACGGATTTGGATCGGAGGATGGATTTTACCTGTAATCGAGTGAGGATTTCGATTAGGAGGTCTTCGGGGAGGGATTTCAGGGGAGAGGCAGAGGAAGCCATTGTGGTCATTGTCGATTTGGTTTCATTTGATACATCTCCTTGCAAATAGTTGAGACTTGAGATGATACAAATTTACGCGTTGGTTGGTGGTTGTTTTGTCATTTTAGCGGCCGGCCGGGAAATGATCGGCTTTTTGTCACGTCGTTGTTGGCATTGTCGCAAACTACTCTGTAAAATATAAAGCGAGAAGTAACGAACGCGAACACGGGATTTACGTGGTTCTTCTCATTCAGTGTGAATGAGCTTACTCCACGGAGAAATAGAGCTTTCTCTTGCTTTTCTTATTAGTCGGCAGCTGATTACAAGGAGATGAATATATACCCTATTCCTCAAGTGCAACTAGGGTTACGTTACGTAAAGGAAGAAAGGACTCCTATACCCTTCCATGCAATCCCGACTAATAATAAATAACTCCTATACTCCCCCGCAAGCTGAGGCATGCAAATTGCAAATGCCCAGCTTGGACAACAACTCCTGAAATCGATCACCACCGAGCCCTTTAGTGAACAAATCCGCCAGCTGATGATGAGTGGAGATTTTCTGAGGGAGGATCTCACCGGAAGTCACATGATCCCGAACAAAGTAACAGTCCATTTCAACGTGCTTTGTGCGCTCATGAAAGACTGGGTTCGCTGCGATGTGTAGAGCAGCCTGATTATCGCAGTAAAGAACAGTAGGAGCAGCAGATGGGATGCCCAAATCACGGAGCAGTGCACGTAGCCATATAACTTCGCTCACTGCGCCCGCCATTGAGCGGTACTCAGCTTCTGCAGAAGACCGGGCTACAACCGACTGCTTTTTAGTACGCCATGAGATGGGAGCAGTGCCAAGGGTGACAAAATAGCCAGAAGTGGAATGCCGAGAGGACTGACAACCCCCCCCAATCGGCATCGCAGTAAGCTGTGAGGCGCAAATCGCCAGTAGATGGAAGCAAAATGCCCTGTCCCGGAGCACTCTTCAAGTACCGCAGAACACGGTCAGCTGCGGCTACATGTTCCAAGGTAGGGGCATGCACATATCGGCTCAAAATGTTGACGGCATAAACAATGTCTGGCCGTGTGACTGTAAGGTATTGAAGGCGTCCGATCAAGCGACGATACGCAGCAGCATCTTCCGCCGAGACACGAGTAGAGTCATCATCGGGGGGCCTGGTAAGTTGATGCTGTTGCTCAATCGGAAACAAGCTAGGGCGCCTAGCGGAAAGGCCACTATCCTGCAAAAGATCAAGGGTATACTTCCGCTGACAAAGCGCAATCCCAGCACGAGACCTGGCCACTTCAATTCCCAGAAAATATTTAAGAGGGCCAAGGTTCTTGATTCCAAACTGGCGATGAAGGGCGTCTTTAACATGCTGGATAAACTCCATATCATCCCCGGCAAGAATTACGTCATCGACATAGATCAAGGCAACAACGTAGGTGTCTCGATGTCGGCGAACAAACATTGAGTAATCTGCCCGGGATCTTTGAAAACCAAGTTCAGTTAGAGTAGTGGTGAACTTGGCATACCAGTTCCTAGATGCTTGCTTCAATCCATAAATGGATTTGTGCAATCGGCAAACACGCGTATCACCTGGTGCTGCAAAGCCGGGAGGTATCTGCATGTAAACTTCTTCCTGAAGATCTCCATGTAGAAACGCATTGTCAACATCGAGTTGGTGAACTGCCCATCCGCGAATCGCAGCCACCGCAAGAAGACATCGAACACTGACAAGCTTGGCCACAGGCGCAAAAGTGTCATGATAGTCTATCCCCTCTGTTTGAGTGAAACCTTTGGCGACCAAACGAGCTTTGTAACGCTCAATGGTACCGTCTTGTTTGTACTTAATCTTAAAAACCCACTTGGAAGAGACAACTTTCTTTCCCGGAGGTAGTTCAACCAAAGACCAGGTACCATTAGCAACGAGCGCATCTATTTCCCGCTGCATAGCCTCCCGCCATTCACGATAACGTACAGCATCTTTGAAAAATGTGGGTTCAGTCTTGCTAGATACTGCTGCTAGGAAACTTTTGTGTCCCGAAGAGAATTTCTCATACCTCACAAAATTGGACATGGGATATGGAACATTTGACGGAGGGAGCTCAACCTCGAAGTGATCAAAAGAACGAGGAACTTGCCGACTTCTCAGGCTGCGTCGAGGGCCTTCCCCCGGTTTCTCATGTGGAGGTAATGTAGTACTTGGCGCACATGCGGAAGGCGACGAACCAGAATGTAGTGGTTCAGATGCCGAAGAGTCATTCGGCAAAGTACAATCCCCGTCATCTGGTACTGGCGGGGTTGTCGTCATCACTGGGTCATCATCATCTTCGACGAGCGCTGGAAAGGAAGGGAGGGAAGTTGCTGGTTGAGGAGAGCTAGTTGACTGTTCGTGGAAGGGAAAAGTCCCTTCAACAAAATGCACGTCTCGGCAAGTATAAAATGTGTGGGTGTTCAAGTCATAAAGGCGATAGCCTTTTTGAAAGGCAGGATACCCCATAAAGACAGATCGACGACCCCGTTCCCCAAACTTCGAAACACCCTTGTGCGTATCCTTTCCATAAGCTAAGCAACCAAAAACCCGAAGATGCTTATAGGACGGCAGCTTACCCAGTAGGATTTCATAAGGTGTTCGATTCTGCAAAACCTTGGAAGGGAGTCGATTAATTAAGTAGACAGCAGTAAGTATACATTCCCCCCAGAAACGCAATGGCAGATTAGCCCGAAACCTCAAGGCACGAGCTGTCTCTAGCAAGTGGCGATGCTTTCTCTCGACGACTCCATTCTGTTGAGGAGTATCCGTGCACGTCGTCTGCAATACAATTCCACGGTCTTCATAGAAAGAACGTAAGCTGTTCGTCTGAAACTCCAATCCATTGTCAGCCTGAACTCTACTTACCTTCTTATCAAATTGCGTCTCGGCCATATTGATGAACATCTTTAAATATCCCTCAACATCAGATTTATAACTCAACAAATATACCCAGGTAGCCCTGCTGAAATCATCAACGATGGTAAGGAAATATCTAGCTGAATTTTGAGTTGGAACCTTGAAACCACCCCAAATATCCACATGAACAAGTTCAAAACATCGATTTGTTCTTATCGAACTCCGAGGAAAAGGTAGTCGTGTCTGTTTAGCACGAATACAAGAATCGCAGGCATCAACCTTGCATTTATTCTGAATTGAACTAAATAAGAACGAAGCTTTCTCCGGTGACGGGTGGCCCAGACGCGAATGCCAAAGCTCCCCCGTTCCATCATCACCACTGGCTGTTAAGGCATGCGACACAGGTCCTCCTAGCAACCGAAGATAGTACAATCCATCACGTAGTTGTCCCGTTCCAATCGTCGTCCTGGAGTGTAAGTCCTGGATGACGCAAAAATCGCGTAAGAATGTCAAAGCGACATCAAAATCTTGTGTCAGCCTGCTGACCGAGAGAAGGTTACACTTAAATAATGGTATGCTGAGAACACGACTGAGTTTCATTCCATTTGACAAACTGACATCACCAACTCGTTTAACTGCCACTTTATCCCCATTCGGAATACTAACCGGCAAATACCCTTGAACAGCACCCGAATTTTCTAGCAACTTTTCATCGTTGGTGATATATTCATTGCACCCCGAATCAATAACCCATTCAGAACTGTCAGAGAACTTACCAGCCATGTGCACTTGTGACTCTGTATTCTGAGATTGCGACGTGTTGCTCTGGTTGAGAAACTGCAACAGTTGCTGAACTTGGTCAGAGCTTAGTCCAGGAATAGACACACCTGCCGCTGATGACGACTGCGCTGCCCTTGATTTGTTCGGCCTCGAGTCCCTTTGCCGCTCCTCTCTATCTCCTGAACGTGGCTTCCTCTCGACCCATCCAGCTGGATATCCAATCAACTCAAAGCAACTTTCCTTTTGGTGGCCACGCTTTTGGCAGTGACTACAACGAAGTACACTCTTGCCATCTGCGTTGCGTCCTCTCTCACTACCACGACCAGCGTCCATCGCATCTTGGCCACGAGAAGTTTGAAGTGCTTCTGCCTCAACATGAGGCCTCCTATTTGCAGAAATTTGCTTGTGCTGTTCCTCGGTGGCAACAAGCCGATAAGCCTCACCCAAGGTCGGTGTAGGTCTCATAGATAATATTTGAGTTTTCACCGTAGCAAAAGCATCTCCTAGTCCCATTAGAAAGTCAAAAAGACGATCACTTTCTAGATTTTCCATGACTTGTTTCCCTACATCGCATGTGCATTGCCCGCACGTGCAACGCGGAATCGGCTTTATCGTCTGCATCTCTTCCCAATAACCCCGCAGCTTGGTGAAGAAGGTAGAGACGCTGAGTTTCTCTTGCCTCAAGGAGCTAATCAGCTGTCGGAGTTCATATGCGCGAGGAGCCGATCCTTTTCCAAACCTGGCCTCGAGATCGACCCACATCTCTCGCGTCGTCTTCGCATAACGAATCGAGCTGCGAACTTCTTTGTCCATGGCAGTCTTGAGCCATCCCTTCACGAGTGCATCGCATTGCAGCCATGCCTCCCGGAGCTCTCCCGCCGCTTCGGGCTTCACAACAGATCCATCCACAATACCAAGTTTATTCTTGGCGATTAGGGCTTCCGTCATATCGGTTACCCATTCTCCATAATTCGAGTCGTTCAGCAACTCCCCCACAAACAGCTGGCCAGGATTGTCTGATGCTTGGATCTTCAACGTCGCAGGAATGACCGGAGGAACCATACCGCCTCCGCCGCCGCCGTTGGTAACCATCGCACCGTCAGTTCCACCCTCTGTTGTCGTAGCCATTCTGATCTATATGACCAGCTCTGATACCATGTAAAATATAAAGCGAGAAGTAACGAACGCGAACACGGGATTTACGTGGTTCTTCTCATTCAGTGTGAATGAGCTTACTCCACGGAGAAATAGAGCTTTCTCTTGCTTTTCTTATTAGTCGGCAGCTGATTACAAGGAGATGAATATATACCCTATTCCTCAAGTGCAACTAGGGTTACGTTACGTAAAGGAAGAAAGGACTCCTATACCCTTCCATGCAATCCCGACTAATAATAAATAACTCCTATATACTCCGGTGAGGGTTTTTGGATGGGTGGGTTTAAATCATTGGACTATGCGTTTTGAGCATATGATCATTGGATAGTTTTGTAAAAAATTGTATTATGCACATTCAATTTATTTAAACATCGGATGTTTAAATTAGGGTTGACAACAGGTCGGTTTGAGGATGGCTAAACAGTTCAAGTTTTATTCATACTCATATCCGTACAAGATTTGAATAGTAAATCAAATCATATTCATACTATTTCGATTATCCATTAATATCCATTTTTTATAGTTTTTTTTATCATAAATAGATTTTTTAACCGAAAAGAATTGAATTTAGTTGTAGAATACCTATCTAGAATTTTTTGTAGCTCAGTTGAAGTTTTAAGAAATGAACTAAAAAATGATAAACAATCCCGATGTTTGGCCTGGCTTTTAGAAGTGATTTTCGGGTTCAAAAGCTGAAGCATGGCCAAACACATGTAAAAGCTCGGCTTTTGAAAAGCCGAAAAGCGCTTTTGTATAACATAAAAGCAAAAGCTCCGATTTGGAGCTTTTGCGAAAAGCTGTTTTGAAAAATACAAGATTATCCTTACCATATTTAAATTTTATTTTAGAAAATATAATTTTCCTTCATTTATATCATTTTAAAAATAAAATAAATTATAAAATCATATTATTTAATATAAAAGAAATCTAACAAGATCCATTTTGACTACTTTTTATTGTTTAGAAATTTTATTCATATTTTATATTATAAGTCCTTTATAGTCATTTTACATAACCTCTTATATTAAAAATCATTTTTAATAGTTTTACAGCCAAACACTCAACTGTTTTTTTTAAAATACTTATCTAAAAGCTCCGGCCAGAAGCTGCTTCTGCAACAGCTACAGCAGGGCCAAACTAAGCTAATATTAGGGGTGTGTAACGGTTCGGCCTGGTCCGGACCATACTTATGAGAACTGCGGTCCTTTAGTGAAAGAGATATTAGGATAGGACCAAGGACTGGACCATCATTGCGTTCGATCCATTTGGTTCGGTCCAAATATCAATTCGGTCCATCATTTCTTCAATAATTGTAAAATTCATTTGAACCAAAAACCGGACCGCATTATACTTAATCCGGTGCGGTGCGATCCGGTCCAAAATTTGGTCCGGTCTGCACACCCCTCAACAATATGTTACAAGAACTTAGCTCCTCGAAAATCAGATATTGTAAAAGAAAGTTAGAAATAACATCCACTCGAAGCAAAAAATTGAACTAAAAACGATCAAGTCGATAAGACTTCAAAAGGACCATCGGGCGGGAGTCATAATGGTTCGACAATGATGTTCGTTTCCACGAACCGGAACAAGACTATGCACAAAACTGCAAACATCGTACACACGAATCATAAGGCCATCAAACTGACGAATCGCTCCGCTCTCCGGATCGAACAAGTAGAGATCATCCATGTTCCTCCCTCGCCGTCTCATAACTTGAACCCCATTATTCCAATACCCTCGGCAATAATGCTCAGTTTCACGATCCTCATTCTTCCCATCAAACCAACCATGGCGACATATATACTCCCACAACGTCCCCTTCATGTCTTCCCCATTTTCACCAATCACCACCACATCCAGGTCATCTCCTCCGTACAACGTCCGATGATGCCTGGTCAGGCAACTTCTGAACACTGCGACCGACGATCTGGCCGGCGGCGGTGTGTGAGGATTATGATCGGGCAAGTCTATTGTCCAAAACGAATCACTAGCGAGATCGAATGCGAGCACGAAGTCCTTTTTCCCTTTGCCGGTGCCGAGCCAGTACAAATGGCCGTTTGCAGCAACTTGGTGGCCGTAAGAGGCGACTGGGATCCGGGCATCTCTCAGTTCCTTCCATGACCAAGACTTCCACGAGAACACCACAGCCTTCACTTCCAAGTTCTCCCAGATCACCTGAATCATTTGTTACCCAAATCAAAATTTTATGTAGAATTGAAAAATATGCTAGAGTATGGCTGTTAAATGGATATCCTATTAGCGGTGTAACCGATAATCGAATCGGTAACGGGAACTAAATAATTATATCGATAAACGATATAGTTAAGTAGTAGTAGTATGTTATCGATAGTCAAATTTAGCTAATCAATAACCGACGGTTAAACGGTTAGTAACCAACGGTTAAATGATTAATCGACTAACCGATTACGACCATCTTCACAGTTAGTGCCGAAAATAATAGGCTTGATAAGCCGCATGCATATGCCAAAAATAATGAAATGTTTGAATGCCTACAAGATCCCTTGCCTATCCTAGTTGTAACTGTGGCTTAACCTCAAAATGAGAATAATTTCAGAGAAGAGCTCTAGAAGAACCACAATAGAAATGTGAACTTGTGCATAATAGTTCGACAACGATCAACAACATTTAGGTTTCCATGGTGGGGTTTATGAGTGGAGTAATTGTTGTTGATCCCTTATTCTTGACAGCAAAATGGTGTTATTATTTGTGTTGGATTGAGTTGATTATAAATTAGTATCTATGTTAAATTATTTTTTATTCAACGATAAAAACTTTTAAAAAAGAACACTTACGTATGCAGAGAAAAAAAAAAGCTACAAAAATGCACAATTGAAAGGATAAGTTCTTTAGTTGTTTACTTGTTTAGTTACTTAAGTTACTGATCGGTTATTTTGGTCCAAGGTTATCGAATCACTTGCTTACTGGTCATCCGATAATTGACTATAGGGTTAAGGTTGACATATTAATATAAAGTATACGGTTAACGATAATTAAAATTTTCTTAAATTTTTAACTGATACCAGATTAAACGTTACGGCTATAACCGAACCGACTAACAGCGCCATATTTAGGATTGAATAGTGAATTGAGATTTTTACTGCATCGCACCTGATCCTCCCTTTTCCAGTCCTCGTCGAAGAAACTGGCGAACTTCACCACCTTGTAATCCTCGACACGGCCACTGAACCCAAACCCAAAACTCTCACAAATAGCCACAAACCTCGTCTCGCGAGATCTGTACGGTGACCGAAGATCCACCACCGGCAGCCACGCGTGCTGCCTCATCGCCGGGTTCCACAGCAGGAACCCGGTGGTGTCGAACTCGATACAGACCAAACCGTTGCACGACCCGACGACCGACGGTGAGAACTCGTTGAAACTTTCCACAGGAAACTTCAAATCGGGATGGAGGGTGGTTGCCAATTCGGCGTCGTACACGGAGAGTCTGAGGTTGCCCAGAGTGAAGCCGTGGTGGACGATGAGGAGAGGGTTGTCGGCGGAAGACCGGCGGAGGTGGGCGGCGACGAATTGGGGCGTCGTCGGGAGGGTGGACCAGTGTTTGGAGACGGATTTGAACCGGAGGATGGATTTTACCGGCAGCCTGGTGAGGATGTCAATTAGGACGTCTCCGGGAAGGGATTTCATTGGAGTAGAAGCCATTTTTAGGATCGACGCTGATGTATTTCATTTCGTAGTATGTTACGGTTTCTTTCTATGGTTTAGATGTTAACGTGTACAAAGTATACGTGTTGGTGCGTATTATGGATGGTTGTGTTTGGCTGTTGGTTATTTGTCTTTGTTGTTGTCGTTGGTGAAAACGAGTGGTGTTAAAAAGAGTTGTTTGAGCTGTCACCTCTAATCTTGTTGTTTTTTTTTTAATTTACCGTGTTCCTCGAAATTGGACGATGATCTAAATACTTAAATATTAATTAGAGACTAGAGTTATCAGTATACCAGCTAATTGTCAATTCACCATTGTTTAATAGAGAACTTGAAGAAGAAGTCTAAGTGAAACCACCAATTAAAAGTAAAAAAAATTTTAGGTACCAAAAGGTGGCTATTGTCCACCGATGATGAAGTGAATTAATCGCCGATTTGGGCGAAAAATGTTCCGGGGGCATTTTCGTAATTTTACGCGCGCTTTTTCGGGAGGCATTTTTCCTTGGATTTTGAAGGCCTCGGAACACGGATTCGGCCTGAGGCTATCCTTCAACGATGACTAAGTCGATTAGGCACCAATTCGGGCTTATTTGTTCCGGGCCCATTTTTGGCATTTTCCAAAGGGGTACCATCACAGATTTCGGGTGATTTTATGGAATGGTCATTTTTGTTGGATTTCGGAGGCTACAGATCGCGGATTCGGCCTGAGGCGATCTGGGGCTATTGTCCACCGATGATGAAGTGAATTAATCGCCGATTTGGGCGAAAAATGTTCCGGGGGGCATTTTCGTAATTTTCCGCGCGCTTTTTCGGGAGACATTTTCCTTGGATTTTGAAGGCCTCGGAACACGGATTCGACCTGAGGCTATCCTTCAACGATGACTAAGTCGATTAGGCACCGATTCGGGCTTATTTGTTTCGGGCCCATTTTTGGCATTTTCCAAAGGGGTACCATCACAGATTTCGGGCGATTTTATGGAATGGTCATTTTTATGGATTTCGGAGGCAACAGATCGCGGATTCGGCCTGAGGCGATCTGGGGCTATTGTCCACCGATGATGAAGTGAATTAATCGCCGATTTGGGCGAAAAATGTTCCGGGGCATTTTCGTAATTTTACGCGCGCTTTTTCGGGAGGCCATTTTCCTTGGATTTTGAAGGCCTCGGAACACGGATTCGGCCTGAGGCTATCCTTCAACGATGACTAAGTCGATTAGGCACCGATTCGGGCTTATTTGTTCCGGGCCCATTTTTGGCATTTTCCAAAGGGGTACTCATCACAGATTTCGGGTGATTTTATGGAATGGTCATTTTTGTTGGATTTCGGAGGCTACAGATCGCGGATTCGGCCTGAGGCGATCTGGGGCTATTGTCCACCGATGATTAAGTGAATTAATCGCCGATTTGGGCGAAAAATGTTCCGGGGGGCATTTTCGTAATTTTCCGCGCGCTTTTTCGGGAGACATTTTCCTTGGATTTTGAGGCCTCGGAACACGGATTCGACCTGAGGCTATCCTTCAACGATGACTAAGTCGATTAGGCACCGATTCGGGCTTATTTGTTTCGGGCCCATTTTTGGCATTTTCCAAAGGGGTACCATCACAGATTTCGGGCGATTTTATGGAATGGTCATTTTTTATGGATTTCGGAGGCTACAGATCGCGGATTCGGCCTGAGGCGATCTGGGGCTATTGTCCACCGATGATGAAGTGAATTAATCGCCGATTTGGGCGAAAAATGTTCCGGGGGGCATTTTCGTAATTTTACGCGCGCTTTTTCGGGAGGCCATTTTTCCTTGGATTTTGAAGGCCTCGGAACACGGATTCGGCCTGAGGCTATCCTTCAACGATGACTAAGTCGATTAGGCACCAATTCGGGCTTATTTGTTCCGGGCCCATTTTTGGCATTTTCCAAAGGGGTACCATCACAGATTTCGGGTGATTTTATGGAATGGTCATTTTTGTTGGATTTCGGAGGCTACAGATCGCGGATTCGGTCTAAGGCGATCTGGGGCTATTGTCCACCGATGATGAAGTGAATTAATCGCCAATTTGGGCGAAAAATGTTCCGGGGGGCATTTTCGTAATTTTCCGCGCGCTTTTTCGGGAGACATTTTCCTTGGATTTTGAGGCCTCGGAACACGGATTCGACCTGAGGCTATCCTTCAACGATGACTAAGTCGATTAGGCACCGATTCGGGCTTATTTGTTTCGGGCCCATTTTTGGCATTTTCCAAAGGGGTACCATCACAGATTTCGGGCGATTTTATGGAATGGTCATTTTTTATGGATTTCGGAGGCTACAGATCGCGGATTCGGCCTGAGGCGATCTGGGGCTATTGTCCACCGATGATGAAGTGAATTAATCGCCGATTTGGGCGAAAAATGTTCCGGGGCATTTTCGTAATTTTATGCGCGCTTTTTCGGGAGGCCATTTTCCTTGGATTTTGAAGGCCTCGGAACACGGATTCGGCCTGAGGCTATCCTTCAACGATGACTAACTCGATTAGGCACCGATTCGGGCTTATTTGTTCCGGGCCCATTTTTGGCATTTTCCAAAGGGGTCCCATCACAGATTTCGGGTGATTTTATGGAATGGTCATTTTTGTTGGATTTCGGAGGCTATAGACCGCGGATTCGGCCTGAGGCGATCTCGGGCTATTGTCCACCGATGATTAAGTGAATTAATCGCCGATTTGGGCGAAAAATGTTCCGGGGGGCATTTTCGTAATTTTCCGCGCGCTTTTACGGGAGGCCATTTTCCTTGGATTTTGAATGCCTCGGAACACGGATTCGACCTGAGGCTATCCTTCAACGATGACTAAGTCGATTAGGCACCGATTCGGGCTTATTTGTTTCGGGCCCATTTTTGGCATTTTCCAAAGGGGTACCATCACAGATTTCGGGCGATTTTATGGAATGGTCATTTTTGTTGGATTTCGGAGGTTACAGATCGCGGATTCGGCCTGAGGCGATCTGGGGCTATTGTCCACCGATGATGAAGTGAATTAATCGCCGATTTGGGCGAAAAATGTTCCGGGGGGCATTTTCGTAATTTTTCGCGCGCTTTTTCGGGAGACATTTTCCTTGGATTTTGAAGGCCTCGGAACACGGATTCGACCTAAGGCTATCCTTCAACGATGACTAAGTCGATTAGGCACCGATTCGGGCTTATTTGTTTCGGGCCCATTTTTGGCATTTTCCAAAGGGGTACCATCACAGATTTCGGGCGATTTTATGGAATGGTCATTTTTTATGGATTTCGGAGGCAACAGATCGCGGATTCGGCCTGAGGCGATCTGGGGCTATTGTCCACCGATGATGAAGTGAATTAATCGCCGATTTGGGCGAAAAATGTTCCGGGGCATTTTCGTAATTTTACGCGCGCTTTTTCGGGAGGCCATTTTCCTTGGATTTTGAAGGCCTCGGAACACGGATTCGGCCTGAGGCTATCCTTCAACGATGACTAAGTCGATTAGGCACCGATTCGGGCTTATTTGTTCCGGGCCCATTTTTGGCATTTTCCAAAGGGGTACCATCACAGATTTCGGGTGATTTTATGGAATGGTCATTTTTGTTGGATTTCGGAGGCTACAGATCGCGGATTCGGCCTGAGGCGATCTGGGGCTATTGTCCACCGATGATGAAGTGAATTAATCGCCGATTTGGGCGAAAAATGTTCCGGGGGGCATTTTCGTAATTTTCCGCGCGCTTTTTCGGGAGACATTTTCCTTGGATTTTGATGCCTCGGAACACGGATTCGACCTGAGGCTATCCTTCAACGATGACTAAGTCGATTAGGCACCGATTCGGGCTTATTTGTTTCGGGCCCATTTTTGGCATTTTCCAAAGGGGTACTATCACAGATTTCGGGCGATTTTATGGAATGGTCATTTTTTATGGATTTCGGAGGCTACAGATCGCGGATTCGGCCTGAGGCGATCTGGGGCTATTGTCCACCGATGATGAAGTGAATTAATCGACGATTTGGGCGAAAAATGTTCCAGGGCATTTTCGTAATTTTATGCGCGCTTTTTCGGGAGGCCATTTTCCTTGGATTTTGAAGGCCTCGGAACACAGATCCGGCCTGAGGCTATCCTTCAACGATGACTAAGTCGATTAGGCACCGATTCGGGCTTATTTGTTCCGGGCCCATTTTTGGCATTTTCCAAAGGGGTCCCATCACAGATTTCGGGTGATTTTATGGAATGGTCATTTTTTATGGATTTCGGAGGCTACAGATCGCGGATTCGGACTCAGGCGATCTCGGGCTATTGTCCACCGATGATTAAGTGAATTAATCGCCGATTTGGGCGAAAAATGTTCCGGGGCATTTTCGTAATTTTCCGCGCGCTTTTTCGGGAGGCCATTTTCCTTGGATTTTGAAGGCCTCGGAACACGGATTCGACCTGAGGCTATCCTTCAACGATGACTAAGTCGATTAGGCACCAATTCGGGCTTATTTGTTCCGGGCCCATTTTTGGCATTTTCCAAAGGGGTACCATCACAGATTTCGGGTGATTTTATGGAATGGTCATTTTTGTTGGATTTCGGAGGCTACAGATCGCGGATTCGGCCTGAGGCGATCTGGGGCTATTGTCCACCGATGATGAAGTGAAATAATCGCCAATTTGGGCGAAAAATGTTCCGGGGGGCATTTTCGTAATTTTCCGCGCGCTTTTTCGGGAGACATTTTCCTTGGATTTTGAGGCCTCGGAACACGGATTCGACCTGAGGCTATCCTTCAACGATGACTAAGTCGATTAGGCACCGATTCGGGCTTATTTGTTTCGGGCCCATTTTTGGCATTTTCCAAAGGGGTACCATCACAGATTTCGGGCGATTTTATGGAATGGTCATTTTTTATGGATTTCGGAGGCTACAGATCGCGGATTCGGCCTGAGGCGATCTGGGGCTATTGTCCACCGATGATGAAGTGAATTAATCGCCGATTTGGGCGAAAAATGTTCCGGGGCATTTTCATAATTTTACGCGCGCTTTTTCGGGAGGCCATTTTCCATGGATTTTGAAGGCCTCGGAACACGGATTCGACCTGAGGCTATCCTTCAACGATGACTGAGTCGATTAGGCACCGATTCGGGCTTATTTGTTTCGGGCCCATTTTTGGCATTTTCCAAAGGGGTACCATCACAGATTTCGGGCGATTTTATGGAATGGTCATTTTTTATGGATTTCGGAGGCAACAGATCGCGGATTCGGCCTGAGGCGATCTGGGGCTATTGTCCACCGATGATGAAGTGAATTAATCGCCGATTTGGGCGAAAAATGTTCCGGGGCATTTTCGTAATTTTACGCGCGCTTTTTCGGGAGGCCATTTTCCTTGGATTTTGAAGGCCTCGGAACACGGATTCGGCCTGAGGCTATCCTTCAACGATGACTAACTCGATTAGGCACCGATTCGGGCTTATTTGTTCCGGGCCCATTTTTGGCATTTTCCAAAGGGGTACCATCACAGATTTCGGGTGATTTTATGGAATGGTCATTTTTGTTGGATTTCGGAGGCTACAGATCGCGGATTCGGCCTGAGGCGATCTCGGGCTATTGTCCACCGATGATTAAGTGAATTAATCGCCGATTTGGGCGAAAAATGTTCCGGGGGGGCATTTTCGTAATTTTCCGCGAGCTTTTTCGGGAGACATTTTCCTTGGATTTTGAGGCCTCGGAACACGGATTCGACCTGAGGCTATCCTTCAACGATGACTAAGTCGATTAGGCACCGATTCGGGCTTATTTGTTTCGGGCCCATTTTTGGCATTTTCCAAAGGGGTACCATCACAGATTTCGGGAGATTTTATGGAATGGTCATTTTTTATGGATTTCGGAGGCTACAGATCGCGGATTCGGCCTCAGGCGATCTGGGGCTATTGTCCACCGATGATGAAGTGAATTAATCGCCGATTTGGGCGAAAAATGTTCCGGGGCATTTTCGTAATTTTACGCGCGCTTTTTCGGGAGGCATTTTTCCTTGGATTTTGAAGGCCTCGGAACACGGATTCGGCCTGAGGCTATCCTTCAACGATGACTAAGTCGATTAGGCACCGATTCGGGCTTATTTGTTTCGGGCCCATTTTTGGCATTTTCCAAAGGGGTACCATCACAGATTTCGGGCGATTTTATGGAATGGTCATTTTTTATGGATTTCGGAGGCTACAGATCGCCGATTCGGCCTGAGGCGATCTGGGGCTATTGTCCACCGATGTTTAAGTGAATTAATCGCCGATTTGGGCGAAAAATGTTCCAGGGGGGCATTTTCGTAATTTTCCGCACGCTTTTTTGGGAGGCCATTTTCCTTGGATTTTGAAGGCCTCAGAACACGGATTCGACCTGAGACTATCCTTCAACGATGACTAAGTCGATTATGCACCGATTCGGGCTTATTTGTTCCAGGCCCATTTTTGGCATTTTCCAAAGGGGTACCATCACAGATTTCGGGTGATTTTATGGAATGGTCATTTTTGTTGGATTTCGGAGGCTACAGATCGCGGATTCGGCCTGAGGCGATCTGGGGCTATTGTCCACCGATGATGAAGTGAATTAATCGCCGATTTGGTCGAAAAATATTCCGGGGGGCATTTTCGTAATTTTCGGCGCGCTTTTTCGGGAGGCCATTTTCCTTGGATTTTGAAGGCCTCGGAACACGGATTCGACCTGAGGCTATCCTTCAACGATGACTAAGTCGATTAGGCACCGATTCGGGCTTATTTGTTTCGGGCCCATTTTTGGCATTTTCCAAAGGGGTACCATCACAGATTTCGGGCGATTTTATGAAATGGTCATTTTTTATGGATTTCGGAGGCTACAAATCGCGGATTCGGCCTAAGGCGATCTGGGGGCTATTGTCCACTGATGATGAAGTGAATTAATCGCCGATTTGGGCGAAAAATGTTCCAGGGGGGCATTTTCGTAATTTTCCGCGCGCTTTTTGGGGAGGCCATTTTCCTTTGATTTTGAAGGCCTCGGAACACGGATTCACCCTGAGGCTATCCTTCAACGAAGACTAAGTCGATTAGGAACCGATTCGGGCTTATTTGTTCCGGGCCCATTTTTGGCATTTTCCAAAGGGGTACCATCACAGATTTCGGGCGATTTTATGGAATGGTCATTTTTGTTGGATTTCGGAGGCTACAGATCGCGGATTCGGCCTGAGGCGATCTGGGGCTATTGTCAACCGATGATGAAGTGAATTAATCGCCGATTTGGGAGAAAAATGTTCCGCGGGGCATTTTCGTAATTTTCCGCGCGCTTTTCGGGAGGCCATTTTCCTTGGATTTTGAAGGCCTCGGAACACGGATTCGACCTGAGGCTATCCTTCAACGATGACTAAGTCGATTAGGCACCGATTCGGGCTTATTTGTTCCGGGCCCATTTTTGGCATTTTCCAAAGGGGTACCATCACAGATTTCGGGCGATTTTATGGAATGGTCATTTTTTATGGATTTCGGAGGCTACAGATCGCGGATTCGGCCTGAGGCGATCTGGGGCTATTGTCCACCGATGATGAAGTGAATTAATCGCCGATTTGGGCGAAAAATGTTCCGCGGGGCATTTTCGTAATTTTCCGCGCGCTTTTTCGGGAGGCCATTTTCCTTGGATTTTGAAGGCCTCGGAACACGGATTCGGCCTGAGGCTATCCTTCAACGATGACTAAGTCGATTAGGCACCGATTCGGGCTTATTTGTTCCGGGCCCATTTTTGGCATTTTCCAAAGGGGTACCATCACAGATTTCGGGCGATTTTATGGAATGGTCATTTTTTATGGATTTCGGAGGCTACAGATCGCGGATTCGGCCTGAGGCGATCTGGGGCTATTGTCAACCGATGATGAAGTGAATTAATCGCCGATTTGGGCGAAAAATGTTCCGGGGGGCATTTTCGTAATTTTCCGCGCGCTTTTTCGGGAGGCCATTTTCCTTGGATTTTGAAGGCCTCGGAACACGGATTCGACCTGAGGCTATCCTTCAACGATGACTAAGTCGATTAGGCACCGATTCGGGCTTATTTGTTCCGGGCCCATTTTTGGCATTTTCCAAAGGGGTACCATCACAGTTTTCGGGCGATTTTATGGAATGGTCATTTTTGTTGTATATTGGATGCTACAGATCGCGGATTCGGCCTGAGGCGATCTGGGGCTTTTGTCCACCGATGATAAAGTCAATTGATCGCCGATGTGATCGAAAAATGTTATGGGCGGAATTTTAATAATTTTCCGCACATTTTTTCGTTAGGCCATTTTCCTTGGATTTTGAAGGCCTTGGAACACGGAATCGGTCTGAGGCTATCCTTCAATGATGATTAAGTCAATTAGGCACCGATTCGGTCTTATTAGTTCCGGGCCCATTTTTGGCATTTTCCAAAGGGGTACCATCATAGATTTCTGGCGATTTTATTGAATGATCATATTTGTTGGATTTTGGAGGCTACAGATCTCGGATTCATCCTGAGGCGATCTGGGGCTATTGTCCACCGATGATGAAGTCAATTAATCGCCGATTTGAACGAAAAATCTTCCGGGGGGATTTTCGTAATTTTCCGCGCGCTTTTTCTGGAGGCCATTTTCCTTGGATTTTGAAGCCCTCGGAACACGGATTCGGCCTGAGGCTATCCTTCAACGATGATTAAGTCGATTAGGCACCGATTCGGGCTTATTTGTTCCTGGCCCATTTTTGGCATTTTCCAAAGGGGTACCATCACAGATTTCGAGCAATTTTATGGAATGATCATTTTTGTTGGATTTTGGAGGCTAAAGATCGCGGATTCGGCCCGAGGCGATCTAGGGCTATCGTCCACCGATGATGAAGTCAATTAATCGCCGATTTGTCCACCGATGATCGAAAAATGTTCAGTGGGCATTTTCATAATTTTCTGCGCGCTTTTTTCGGAGGCCATTTTCCTTGGATTTTGAAGGCCTCGGAACACAGATTAGGCCTGAGGCTATCCTTCAACGATGATTAAGTCGATCAGGCACCGATTCGGGCTTATTTGTTCCAGGCCCATTTTAGGCATTTTCCAAAGGGGTACCATCACATATTTCGGGCGATTTTATTGAATGATCATTTTTGTTGGATTTTGGAGGCTACAGATCGCGGATTCGGCCTGAGGCGATCTGGGGCTATTGTCCACCGATGATGAAGTCCATTAATCGCGATTTGGGCGAAAAATGTTCCGGGGCCTTTTTCGTAATTTCAGCCCGCTTTTCGGAAGGCCATTTTCCTTGGATTTTGCATGTTTTGGATCACGGATTCGGCCTGAGTTTATCCTTCACCGATGATTAAGTCTATTAGGCACCGATTCGGGATTATTTGTTCCGGACCCATTTTTGGCATTTTCCAAAGGGGTACCATCACAGATTTCCTGCGATTTTATGGAATTGTCATTTTTGTTATATTTTGGATGCTACCGATCGCGAATTCGGCCTAAGGCGATCTGGGGCTATTGTCCACCGATGATGAAGTTAATTAATCGTCGATTTGGGCGAAAACATTTCCAGGGGGCATTTTCGTAAATTTTTGCACGCTTTTTTGGAAGGTAAATTTCCTTAGATTTTGAAGGCTTCGGATCACGGATTCGGCCTAAGGCTATCCTTCACCGATGATTATGTCTATTAAGCATCGATTTAGGCGTATGTGTTCCGGGTCCATTTTTGGCAGATTCCATAGGGGTATATACCTTCACAGATTTCAGGCTATTTTTTGGCATGACCATTTTCGTTGGATTTTGGAGGCCACAGATAGAGGATTCGGCCTAAGGCGAACTGGAGCTATTCTCCACCAATGATGAAGTCAATAAAAATTGATTTGGGCGAATTTTTTTCATTGGGCACTTTCGTAATTTTTCGTGTGCTTTTTTCGAGAGGCCATTTTTCATTAAATTTGAAGGTTACGAATCAAGGATTCTGCATGAGGCTATCCTTCACCGATGATTAAGTCTATTAAGCACCTATTTGGGCGTATTTGTTTAGGGTCCATTTTTGGCATATTCCAAACCATCACAGATTTCAGGCGATTTTTTGGAAAGAGCATTTTCGTATGATTTTGGAGGCTACAGATCACGGATTTGACCTGATGTGAACGAGGGCTATTCACCTCCAATGTTGAAGTCAATTAATAGCCAATTTGTGCGAATTTTTTTGTAGGGCATTTTCGTAATTTTTAGTGCATTTTTTTCGAAAAGCCATTTTCATTTGAAGGCTGCGGATTAAGGATTTGGTCTGAATCTATCCTTCACCTATTAGTAATGTAATAATAATGTTCTTTAGACCGGAATTCATGTTTTAGATTTGTAAACTATTCCATTGAAACAATGGTACCATTCAATAAATGATAATCTACATGTATTTGGGTTAGATTGTGATAAGAAGAAATGATTAAAACATTTTATTATTTAATAAAAAGTTAAAATATAAATTAATACTAGTTGATCTGACTCTAAGTAATAGTGCTATCGTTACTTGTTCTTTTAATAATAATAATAATTCGTGAATATTGGGTTCAACTCGTTTTGACCTGATTGAATTAGGTTAAATATATATGGATTTGAGTTTGATTGTGATAAGAGGAAATGATTAAAACATTTGATTATTTAAGGGTAAATTACACATTTGGTCACTGAGATTACTAAATCGTGTCATGTTTAGTCACTAGAAAAAACTTAATATCAATTTTGGTCACTCGAATTACTGAAACATGTCACATTTAGTCACTCTCCCATTAGCTTCCGTCCAACTCCGGTCACTCGAATTACTGAAACATGTCACATTTAGTCACTCGAATTACTGAAACAGTTCACATAGTCACTCTCCCGTTAGTTTCCGTCCAACTCCATTAATGAAGTTGGACGGAAACTAACGGGAGAGTGACTAAATGTGACTTGTTTCAGTAATTTGAGTGACCAAAATTGATATTGAATTTTTCTAGTGACTAAACATGACACAATTTAATAATCTCAGTGACCAAATGTGGTATTTACCTGATTATTTCATAAAACAATAAAATAATCCTAGTTGATGTGACTCTGAGTAATAGTACTATTGTTACTTGTTTTTTAATAAGATAAAATAAAATAGTAGATGGAGTTTGACGGAAACTAACGGGAGAGTGACTAAATGTGACTTGTTTCAGTAATTTGAGTGACCAAAATTGATATTAAATTTTTCTAATGACTAAACATGACACAATTTAATAATCTTAGTGACCAAATGTGGCATTTACCTGATTATTTAATAAAAAGTTAAACAATAAAATAATCCTAGTTGATGTGACTCTAAGTAATAGTACAATTGTTACTTGTTTTTTAATAAGATAAAATAAAATAGTAGTAATAATAATAATAATAAAATAATAATAATATATACAATAATAATAATAAAATAATGTAAATTATTTTTGCTTTGGTCATGTCATTATTGGAGTTTAGTCCAAAACAGCCTGATACAAGAGAATTACATGGCAGAGACCATCCCCGTGTTGCCGTGTAGAAAACAAAATCAAACAGAGAACCGTTCATTGCAGTAAAAAATAAAATAAAAAACAATGAAATCACTCCCAGAGGACATCGTGATCGACATCCTCACTCGGTTACCGGTGAAATCCATTCTCCGATTCAGATCCGTCTCAAAGCCCTGGTCCAATCTCCCCACCACACCCCATTTCATAGCCGCCCACCTCCGCCGGTCATCCGCCGGCAACCCTCTCCTCATCGTCCACCACGGCCGTACCTTCGGCCGGAATCTCCGCGTTTCAGTAATCGACAGCACCTTCCGAACCCTCCACCGCGATTTCCCGCTGCCGGCCACTGTATTCGACTCCCGTCTGCATTCCCCTTCTATCCTGGGCTCCTGCAACGGCCTGCTCTGCATCAAGTTCACCGCCAATTTCATCCTCTGCAATCCCGCCACCAAGCAATTCGCCATGCTACCCAACTTCAACAACCTCACATCTCCGTTAACCCGTTGTCACGGGCCGAAAGCCCAATTAATTTGCGAGAGTTTCGGGTTCGGATCCACCCTGGAGCCCGATTACAAGCTGGTAAGATTCGTCAGCGTTTTCCGCGGAAAACAGGAGAGCGCCGACGAATCGGTGTGGCAGAGCTTAGAAGTCAAAGCTGCGGTGTTTTCGTGGAAGACATGGTCGTGGAAGCAACTCACGAGAGACAATTCGCAAATCCCCCTGGCGTATTACAGCAACCCGGTGGCGGCCAACGGGAATTTGTATTGGACCGGAGACAGGGGAGGGAGGAGGAATTTCGTGCTCGAATTCGATCTCGCGGGGGACTCGTTTCGAGCAATTGAGCTGCCGGAGTCTTTCGAGGGGTTTAGGATCGAGTCGAGGATTCATGTTCGTAAGAGCGATGCGTTCGAGGCGATTGTGATGGGCGAGAACGGGAGAGGGGTGAAAGGGATGTTGTGGGAGTCGTTAAGGAGATGTGGATGCTTCGATGGCGGCGGCGACTACAGAGGGTATTGGAATGGGGTTCGAGTTGTGTTGCGGCGGCGGGTGTACGGCGATGTGTTGGGATTTTCCGATCCGACCGACGGCGAGGAGGGAACTGTTTATTGTGTTGACGGTATCGTAGACCGGGTTTATGGTGTTTGCTGTTTTGTGGAGAGCTTGGTTGCGGTTCGTGGAGCCGATGAGTAAGTAGGCCGGCCGCCGGGCTTCGGTTCATATCGTCTCCACGAACCGGTTCGTTAATGGTGTTGTCAAGTTTAACAAGTAGCGTGATCTATCATTGAAATATTAGCTTGATATAAAATTTGGTCACACGTAAATAGTTCCGTATTCACCTATTTTTGTGTTTATTCATGTAAATAATGTTTATTATATTGGTGTTTATTCGTGTTATAGTAGTGGTTATTCACGTAAATAGTAATGGTTATTTACACAATTGTATTTATTTGCACATTTTTGTTATTTATTGACATAGTAAAACTAATTTTTAAGTTTTGTAATAATATAAAAATGAATATTTTTTGTGTAGATTATTGATCAATGCAACTCATGTTTACATAAGAATGAAAAATCCAAATGTAATTCGTATAATATGGTCAATACAAATTATTAGGAGGGAAAAAAAAAAGAGATAGTTTGGAATTTCATTTGCCTGGATAATCATAACTCTTGCGTGAATTGCGTGAATAACCAAATTATGAGAACAATCAGCAAAATAACATATACAACAATGCATCATGGATTAGGTGTTGGCGACACCAAACTGTATCGAACAATTATTTGGTGAATTTTGAGATATATTATAAAAAATTGGCATTAATTTGGCTCAGAAATTAGAATAAAACGGAATAGATATGTGAAGAAAAACGAAAACTTAGCCTTTATTTTTCTTGGCTTTTGAGAGTCTACACCTCTTCTCTACACTACTTATAATACATTTTAAAGAGTTTGATTTGCTCCATTTCAAATTTCCTGCAACGAGAGTAAAAGTAGGAAGGGTATTTTCGTCTACACAATCAATTTTTTATTTTATATAAAATAATATATCAATGCTAGGATTTGAACAATGGTCTCTTCCATCAAAGACAAGAATTGTAACCAATCAGACTAGACACATTTGTTGTACTTTATTAATACAAAACATAGAGGAAGTTAAAATTATGAAAAACATAGTACTTTTCTATCACGGTTAATTAGCCTGCTAAGTCTCCTGTAAGTATTTTGTGGTGTTTGGTAATTCTATTTTCATATTTTAATAATTAATTTAGAATTTTTCTAACTTATAAATGAAGGATAATCTTAAAATCTTAACACAAATATCATTGGTTGGAATATTGCGCATTGAATTGAAGTGTTCAATGACGACATAAAAGCATTGGTACAATACATTTCAAGAAAAATAAACATGACAAACACCGATACCAATTATCTCGACAGTCTATGCTAAATTCGAATTTGTTTAATCATTCAATTTGAGTGATAGTTTAGTCAAAGCAAGCAATAATTCACGATTGTGTATGAACAAAAATAAAAACATATGTATTGTATTATGAAAAATATATTTATTTTAACAATCTAAAAAACAATCAAGACTATACAACCCTTATTTTAGCATTGTAATTAATGAAACAATTTTTATCAACATGATGCAATGTTCAAGCTAAGGTCCAATTATTAATCACCAGTATATAATATTCAGCTTAGTAAACTATTTCAATATCCACAGCTAACTATTAACGATTACTTTTTTTCATGTATAATCTATTGACTATGAATGTTGCTTATTACTTAAATTCAACGGTGTCCATGTTAGGTTTGATGTCTCCAACATATTCTCACAATTTATCGAAAAAGCATCATATCTTGCGATTGATATCATAGTTTTGTTAGGTAAAGTTCAACAAACTCAATCAACATTCGAACTCTTTCAAGTAGCTATCTACATGTGAATATGAAGTACCGAGTAGCTAAAACTCTACTTGAGTTAGTACGATCTTTTGCGCTATCAAATAAAATTCAATACATGATTATCTTATTACAATTTAGTCATACTAATTGTGCAGTAGGGGACATCTTATCAAAATGGTATCGAAATACTCCTTTATTTGATCAGTTTCAGGATGTAATCAATTATACCAAACAGAAGTGATCGAATTTATAAGATGCTCTCAAAGTTTGCTATAATTATTGAGGTTCAACAACACATTAATCGTAAGGTGGTAATTGGGCATTTTTCTATCTCCTAGCTCGCCTAGACACGCTTAGATGTTGTAATAAAAATAGTAATTTTTAATAATGATGAATGAAGTAACAATTTGAAGCACTTTCATACTTCAGTTCAAATGATTTAACAACAAGCAAAATAACTCTCAATTTTATAAATTTTTTATACCAAATGGTATAATTAATTCATTTATGAGCTGAAATAGCTAATTATAAGCACTTAAATTTTTAAGTTAAAACTCATATGATACAATTGTTTGACGAAATGGTTTTTATCATAGAGTGGTTCTATCGAGAGAGGTCTCTAAGAAACATGGCTTACTTTATTATTTCTTAGGTAGATATAATATATATCTTCATCGTTACTTTTATATTGGATTCAATTTAGTATACTTTTTCTTTATATAGATTTTTTTAATGATTTTTTGGGATATAATATATCATTATTGTTTGATGGTGTAGGATATTAGTTCCTCTCATTTTAGGTTCAAATTGATGCGTTTTACCCTTTATCGTTCCCTTTTATCAGTAAATAATTTTTATGATATTTTTCACTATGAAATTTCGTGAGCAGAATCAATACACAACAATTTGTGTTTTTTTTTCCGCTTCCTCTTCTCTTGATTAGATATTGTGTCCATATTGATTCTTATATTGATTATTGAATTACTACTTTTTTGTTCTGGAGTTTATGAAACTAAGATGCATTTTTTTGAGAAACATGAAACTAAGATGCATATTGATAAAGAATGTAAAGTGTCATCTTCACTCTTAAGGCTTAAGCACTACATACCATTGTTTACCTACTGTTAAATCAAAGTCTTTCTAACTTGAGTACGAGTTACAATGACTTTTATTGTTGTCCATTTGTCCCAAAATATTAGGTAAGTTGCTTTTAGTTCTCGCATTCTTTTCAGTTTGATTTAGCTTTTTATGTGTTGCTCTATTAGTTGAACTTGCCAGTTGGAGATCTGCATGCTTCGACTACATTAATGTCATAGTGACTTCTATATGAAATGCCACTCGAAACATGAGTGTGTGATTTAGTTTGTTTCTTATTAAGGACACTCTAAACATATACTTTGTTCCATTATATCATTGAATACACTAAATTCAATGAAAAAGTCGAAACATTTTATCGTATATTGAAGATTGATTATGCATGTATGATGTAAAACAACTCTTACCATTGTTCTTTTTAGACATTTTTATATCAATACGACTTCGTTTGAAAATATGTATTTATGTTAGTGTAGTTGGACGTTGTTCGTCATTTTTAAAACTTCGTTAGTCAAATACATCAAATACTTTCCTATATTATTAATGGAGAACTTACCAAACTAAATAGTTACTTCAAACCCCAACAACATGAACCATAACAAAAATATATACATACACTTATACATGACAACATGAGAATCAAACTCTCCCGGCCAAGAGGACGGGCCATAATCTAGTAGTATATATATAGTAGAAGCCAGGATACAAGTCAAATCCAACTTTGTCAACATAGTTAACAACGAACCAACAAGATAAATAAAATGGGAAAATTTATTGTGTGGAATGTGCGCGGGATTGGGAGCTGTGATAAGAGAGCTAAGATCAAGAGACTTCTACAGATCAAACGGCCTTCTATTGTTGGATTGACGGAAACAAAATGGGAAAATTGTGATAAGGGGATGGTGGTTTCAGTTAGTGGGAGCAGAAGTGTCGACTGGGTGGCGAAGAACTCTATTAACTCTAGTGGAGGCATTCTGATTTACTGGTTTACTCACCTTTTCAGGAAAGTTTCTATCTGGGAGGGAAGATTTTGTCTCTCTGTTACACTTGAAGACGTCAGGAGTAACCTCCAGTTCTCGGTCTTGGTCGTGTACGGCCCGCAGGACAAAGAAAATAAACTGTTGTTCCTTGATGAAATTACTGGGTTTTGCTCCTCTGCCCTTAACCCATCTGTATTGCAGGAGATTTCAACATGGTGAGAAGTTAGGATGACTACACCGAGGCTACCAGAAGCAGTAAGATGATGCTTGCCTTCAATGAGGCTATCTCAGAAGCTGCCCTTCTTGAGCTTCCTCTTAGGGGAGCGCGTTTCACCTACAACAACTTACATTATTGCCCGACCCTCTCTAGAATTGACAAAGCTTTTATTTGCACTGAATTCGATTCTACTTTCAGGCTTCAGCAATTGTAGGCTCTCTACTTTGGAGCGGGCCAAATTTGATCACTGCCCAATTTTGATTGAGTGGGGGTGTGAAGAGAGGATTCACCGTTATTGGAAATTTGAGAATATGTGGTTCCTCTATGTGAATTTTATAGCTAAGACTGGCAAATGGTGGAACTGTCAGCCGAGAGGGGTTGGAGATCTCTTTCTTTTTGGCCAAAAATTAAGGATGCTCAAAGACAAAATTCGAACATGGAATAAGGAGGAGTTCCAAAGGTTGATACTCGTATTGCTGAGATTCTGGCTGAAATTAAGCTGCTGGATGGATTGGAGGAAGAAAACGGTTCTCTTTCGGAAGAGGAAAAGAATCGGAGGACTCTTCTCAAGTGTGAATTGGATAAGGTGCTGATCATGGAAGAGGTGGCATGGAGGCAAAAGTCTAGGGAAACTTGGCTTAAGGTCGGAGATAAAAATTCAAGCTTCTTTCATCGGGTGGCCAACTTCAACAGAAGAAGAAACTTTATTTTCTCTCTTACCTTTAATCAGACTGTTGTGGAGGGTCAGTCGGATCTTAAAGTGGCCTTTGTTGACCACCACTCTATGTTGTACAAGGAAGAAAAACAATTCAGGCCTTTCCCAGAAAAACAATTCAGGCCTCTCCGACCGATTAGCCTGATTGGTAGTATCAACAAGATTATCTCGAAGGTGCTCACAGAAAGGTTGAGGCCGATTATGAGTAAGCTTATTTCTGGGAATCAATTTTATGGAATACGTGGGAGACAAGTTCATGAAGCTTCGTTGATCGCCAATGAATTGGTGGACAACAGGAGGAAAAGTGGGAAAACGAGACTTATCTTCAAGCTTGACATTGAAAAGGCATTCGACAATGTGAATTAGGAATGCCTCTTCAGGATTCTGGATAGTTTTGGTTTCCCTGTGGTCTTTCAGAAGTGGATCCGTGTGAGAAACATAATTATTGGGGTCTATTTGTTATTTGCGTATTATTCGGATATTATGTTAAGATAGGAATTATGAGGGTTTATTCGGTTAGGTTAATTATTCGGGTAGTAAACAGGAAATAGTCGGTTTATATATAAGTCATGTTATGTTAGGTCAAGGGCAAGCAATAATACAGAATTGTTCCCAAACTCTCTCTCTTTCCTCTCACCTTGGCCGAACCTTCTTCCCTCTCCTCACCATCAGCGACTTCCCACCCCGGGAACCCGACTCTGTCTTCTTTCTCATCCAATTCCCCCAATTCTTTCTCACCTAAATTCCCAATCCCTAGTTCGTTCAATCCTTAAATCGCACGCCTAGATCCGTGGTTCTCATAGTGGTATCAGAGCCTGGCTGGCGTGTTGATTGCTGAATTCTGCAGAAGTTGAGGAGGTCGAACATGGACAAACCGCAGCAGCAGAAGCAGGGTAAGGAGATCGTGACCGTGAAGGACATAACGACAAACTAATATGACACGATCGTCACGACGCTGGAAAGTCTAACGGAGTCCACAGAGAGGGCAGCGCCTGCCTCACGGGACTCGATCGGGGGAGGGGGGGGGGGACGATCACCACCTCGATTGAGGAGATGGGCAAGGCAATGACGGAGAAGCTGTGCCAGGCCCTAGCAGACACAATGAAGGAGGTCTTGATCGGCATTCTGCAGGGACGTGAGCCAAACTCTGAGAACCGCCCCACGGCGGTGAAGATGATGGCGGAGGCGGTGTTGGGAGCGGCCGCGACATCGGAGGCCAGCCCGCCAGGAGCTGCAGCGGGTGCGAAGGGCGAAGCAGCGGCAGGCACGACCGGCGGTGAGGCGGGGGGCTCGACCGGAGCCTCGGGGGTGGCTGGGGGCGCGGGCGGCGCCTCGGCGACGGCGGCGGCCAGGCCGCAGGGGGCGGTAGTCGGCAGGGGAGCCGCGGTGCAGGGGAGTGTGGCCAGCGGTGGGGCCGGGGCGGCGGTCGCCGGGTCAGTAGGGCACAGGGAAGGCCGAGCCCTTGGGCCGAGGGCGGCTGGGGGAACGGATGGAGGAGAGCGGTCCGCGCCAGCCTTTAGTGGGCCGGGCCTGCTGCCAGCTCCAACGACCCAGGAGATTGCGGAGGCCCGCGGGAAGAAGAAGGTGGTCGAGTTTGAAGAATTGGGCCCGGACTATGAGGAGATGAGTTTCGCGGACCAAGAAGAGTGGGAGATGGACCCTGGGCCCGACCAGGATTGGGTGGCTGACCCAAGGATGGACCAAGACGGTCGGCCGGTTGGGTCAATGGCCGGTCGGACCGGAATCAGTCGGACCGAGATGGGCCGAACCGGGGCGCTTTCCGCGGGGCAGCGGCTGGAATGGGTCAAGTGGCGGGCCCAGACGCGAGAGACCAGGTCCAGAGTCAGGCTATCTGCCGTGGGGCACTCCACGAGCGGATTACGGGCGCCGGGGGCACAGGATGGAAGAGCAACAAGGATCCGAAATCAAGCAAGAGAGGAAGACTATCAGCATGAGATGGCCGACGGGGCCTATTCGGAGAGGCGGAACACGGACTCCGAGTACCGACACTATGGGCCGGGTTGCCCAATGCAACCTTCATATGGCAACAGGTATGGATACAGCAACCCACTGTATGATTATGATGATGAGCTGGTGTTTAGAGCTAAACCTCCGGTGATTGAATTTCCGAAATTTGATGGTAAGGGTGATGTTGGGTTATGGCTGTATGCGGCAGAGAGGTGGTTTAAGAACCACCCGATCAGGGCAGAAAGAAAGGCGCATCTGGCGTCCTTCCATTTGGAAGGGGATGCCCTCCAGTGGTGGGAATGGACTGAGCGAGCATATGCGGCATCATGCGAGGGCATCTCTTAGGCTCGGTTTCAGGAGGAGCTCCGGTACCAGTTTGGCAGGGCAGAGGGATGGGCACCGGAGCAGTTGGCCAAGCTGAAGTAGACAGGGTCTGTGGCAGAGTACAGGGCCGAGTTCTTGAAGCTAGGAAATCAGTGCAAGGAGATGACCGAGGAGACACTGGTGGGGCTGTGCATGGCCGGATTCCGACCAGAGCTGGCCACCGCAGTCAAGGTTTTTTAACCTAACTCTCTTCGTGTGGCTTTTAGACTTGCAGGTCGGAAGGAGGAGGAGCTGGCCGGTTGGAGATCATCCGTGGGCAAGATGCAGAAGGCCAGTGGTGGAGAAAATAGCGGCGCAAGTGCTAGGACGGTGATACCGTCGGCTGCGACGTCGAGCCCGCCCGCCGCAGGGGCCGCAGTCGGGACCCGATTCCTGGCTAGGGCGCCGCCGCGCGGGTTCGTGAGGCTGACTCAGGCGGAGATGGATCAGAAGCGCAGGGATGGGCGTTGTTTCAACTGTGATGAGAGGTATACCGTGGGACATCACTGCGCCAAGGGGCACTTAATGCCGCTGGTCGGGAATTGGGAAGATGAAGGCGAGGAAATGGAGCTCGAAGCAGAATGAGGAGAAATGAAGGAGGACGACAAGAAAGATGGCCCACCTTGAGGGCAAGGTGGGTTTCAAGGGGGATGGATTGTGAGAAACATAATTATCGGGGTCTATTTGTTATTTGCGTATTATTCGGATGTTATGTTAAGATAGGAATTATGAGGGTTTATTCGGCTAGGTTAATTATTCGGGTAGTAAATAGGAAATAGTCGGTTTATATATAAGTCATGTTATGTTAGGTCAAGGGCAAGCAATAATACAGAATTGTTCCCAAACTCTCTCTCTTTCCTCTCACCTTGGCCGAACCTTCTTCCCTCTCCTCACCATCGGCGGCTTCCCACCCCGGGAACCCGACTCTGTCTTCTTCTCATCCAATTCCCAATTCTTTCTCACCTAAATTCCCCAATCCCTAGTTCGTTCAATCCCTAAATCGCACGCCTAGATCCGTGGTTCTCACAATCCGCGGCTTGGTTTCTTCGGCCCATATCTCGTTCCTGGTGAACGAAGAAGCCGCTGGTTACTTCAAGCCGGGCAAAGGCCTTCGGCAGGGTGATCCTTTGCCCCCTTTTCTTTTTAACCTCATTATGGACGTTCTCTCTATGATGTTGGAACAGTTGAGAGCGGCAGGTCTTATTTCTGGTTTCTGTATGGATGAGGGCTCTGGGAGGGGTGAAGTCACCCATCTGTTATATGTGGATGATACCATTATTTTTTGTGACGCGGATGAAGATTAAGTGATGCATATTCTTGCTACCATTGTCTGCTTTCAAAAAGTGACTGGGCTCAGAATCAATGTGGAAAAGAGTAAAATGCACCCGATTGGCTACATGGAGAATCCGGAAAGGTTTGCCGCTCTGTTTGGCTGTGGTTGGAACCATCTCCCGACTATCTACTTGGGACTTCCACTTGGCGCAAGTCCCAATTCTGTTTCGATTTGGAATCCGGTGTTGACGAGGTTTCAGTCCAGATTAGAGGGTTGGAGAGGCAAATTTCTTTCTTTTGGGGGAAGACTTACTCTTGTTAGTAGTGTCTTGTCCAGCCAGCCCCTCTTCCTTGGATCTCCTTGGATCTCTTATAGTAAAAGTCTAAAAGGCCCTGCCGAGGATTGCGCAGAAGCAAGGAAAACTGGAATGAAGGGGTTCCAGAGGAGAATCTCCTTATAGTTATTGTTTGATTTCGTTTTATTGAGTTTCGGGGTTGGTTAACCATTTCATTATGGAAAATGTTAAAGTTGATAGTCCTATTGACAAATAGTAACAACAAACTAAATCAAAGTGTTACATGTATTAGTACCTGGGAATTAGTGGCAGAGCCACCTTAAACTCAGGAGAGGCTATAAGCCCCCCTCAACTATAGTAAAATCCCATAAAATTTAATGTAAATTTGGTAATAAATTTGAAAAATATAGTAGTTGGTAAGGTCTTAGCTATTTCCCCATCGTCAGTTCAAATTTTCTGGGTGCAGATTTTTAGACCCTCCTCGTTTAGATTTCTGGCTTCGTCACTATTGGGGACAAGGTTGAATGTATTAATGCAAAACTTAAAGGGTAAACACTAATTATTAGCCAAACATTTCCCGTGTTCTTTTTTATTAGCAAAACCTATTGAATTATTAATAATAAGCCAAATGTTAACTTTCAATTAACAGTTTTGTTAATAATATTGAATTTTCAACATGACACTAACTTATAAGAGACACATGGAAGTCAACATCTCAAAAATTTAGTATTTTAAGTAAGAAAAGAGTTACAAAATTATTAACTATTACGTAAAACTGAATAATATCTTGATGTTTTTCAAAAAATTTAAATAATTATTAGTAACTCAATAGATTTGGCTAATAAAAAAAAATTCTGAGAAAGGTTTTGCTAATCCAACACAAACAATATTTGCTTTACAACTACGATCGTCGAGTGTAAAGTACTCGAAATTTCAATTTAACTTTTTTTAAAATACATCATTCAATCTCCACCAAAATCCTCTCGCCAACTTGTAGTCTGTTTGATTGTGCAAAAACCTGATACAACTCTGGATTTTAACACTATGTTTGGGAAGGGGTGTAAATGGAAGGGGGTGCAAGTTTGGAGGGGTAAACACAAGTTCCAAGGTGTTTACCCCCGTTTGGTTATTTTGTAACAGTAGGGGGGTGCAAAACGTGAGCGTAAATTCACTGTTTCGGCTTACCCCCCAAATTGGGGTGCAAGGGAAGGAAGGAAGGGAGGGGGAAGGGGGAGGAGGGGAATTATGAATTTTTAATTAGATTATAATTACATAATAATTAATATTATTAATTTTTTCTTATATCTATATTAGTGTAGAAGTTGTTTGGGGTTGACCGTTTGACTCAGAGAGCAAGTTTGTCAATGTTCGCCTCGTCAAATCGATATCTCTTAGTTGACCCGAATTTGCATTGAAAATTAGAGATAAGAAGCATTTGTTGAAAAGATAGAGAGGAACAGTTTAGTTAACTCGATTTACTTTAATAAGTAGTTAAAACTTACAGATTCGAACGTGTTTGACTAAGTTTGACCATATTCAATTTAAAGTTAGGCACGAGAACCCCCTTAGGATGACCAGTTACGAGTTGGATTTCGAGTTTCGAGGTTGCTCGACCAATGATTATTATTGTTGCTATAAATAATTATATTTGAGCATTATTATATAATAATTATTTTTATTAAAATTATTTTTATTTATTATTTTTATTTATTATTTTTATTATTATATATTGAATTTTCATGTTATTATTTTGTGATAATATTTTATAAATTGATAAATCTATTTTATAATAATATAATTACTTACTTTTTACTCTATTTGCACCCCCCCTACTTTTTCATCCAAACAACAATTTACCCCTCCACTTACACCCTCCACCAAGTTGCACCCCCCAACAATTTACCCCTCAACTTGTACCCCCTCGAACTTGCACCCCTTGTTGCCAAACATAGTGTAAGTTATCCTCTCCCGTATCGTTTGGAACGCAGAGAAAAGTGAATGTGATGTGTCGGCACTCGGCAGGAAAGCAAATTTACGTGCAGAAAAGAGTGATAAAGAACATATCATACAAATAAATACAAAAAGCATAATGAAAAAACCAACCGCACTCATAAAACATCAACATGAAAATTATTAATTACCACCAACATTAATGAGGAGATCAATGATTCCCAAAACCACATCGCAAATCCGCCTCAACCCATCCTCCCTCCGTCCCAGCTCCGGCGGGTATACCAACAACCCATTATACCTCCGGAACGCGTTGTGACACGCGCTCGGGTAATCTGCCGCCGCCATCACATGCATGGAGGCGTAATCGTACTCTTCCATCCCGACGTCGTCCACCGCGCCCTGAAGCGCGGCCCCGGCGTACGTGTACTTGTCCGCGCACTCCTTCAGCACGGCCCTCTTCAGAACGGCGGCGTTTCTGGACCCGTTTTTGGTCGCGGTCGTGGCGGCGGCGGCGGGAAGCTGTGAGGTTAAGTAGGAGGAGGTGGCGGTGGCGTTGGCCGTCCCGATGCCAATCATGATGAGGGCGAGTCCCTTGACGTCGGCGGTGGAGCTGGTGGTGTTGGATTTGAGGGAGGAGAGGCAGAGGTCGTAGTGTTTGGTGGTTTTGCAGGTGGTTTCGATCAGGGTTGGGTCGGCGCCGGCGAGGGTTAGAGGGTGGTGGCGGCGGTGGGGGAAAGGGGTGAGGGAGAGGAGGAGGAGGAAGAACAGGTTGGCGAAATCCATTGATGAGTGGAGAGTTATAAAAAAAGGTGGAACTCTTGGCAATGTATGCTTTGAGTAGTGAACTTCTTTTTTATACGTAGGAAAAAGTAATAGATGGTTCAGGTTGAGACGAATATTTATATGTAATGACACATGTTTTAAGTTAATAAAAAATTAAATATTGTCTATTTTTTATCCAGACATTTTTTAGATTCTTTTATTTTAACCAAACCTATTAAAATGCTTTTAATTATTCAAATCTTTCGTAATACATCAAAATATTAGTCATTTATAAGTTATCGTTAATAATTTTGTAACTCTTTTCTTAATTAAATACTGCAATTCTGGAATGTTGACATTCATACGTCCCTTCCAAGTCAGTATCATGTTGCCAAGTCAATATTACTAACAAAATTGCTAACTGAAAGTTAACATTTGGCTAATACTTAGTATTTCAATAGGTTTGGCTAATAAAAAAGAATTCGAAAAGGATTTGGATAAAAAATAGACATTACCCAATTAAATATTATATAAATAAAAAGATAATTTATAGAATACATACATAATGAGCAAAAATTTTAAATACATTATCGTTTCTTTTGTAAGTAAAATATTTTTCAATCCATACAAGTTACGACTCTACAATCACTGGTAAATTGGTCAATAATATGATTTCGAATATTATTTTTTTATCAACTTAATTCATAGCAAAAAAAAGTCATATAGTTGTTTACAATTACAACATATATGTCAATTACAACTTTTAAAAGTGTGAGAGAGATCTTTATCAAATTTTTATAATGACCAAACATAAAATTTTCATCGAAATCTTGAATGGAGGCCGTATGCTAATTGAGACACAGCTCCTTAACCTAGATCGACTCCTGCTAATACCTGTTCCGATCCATCTACAAACGAATATTACCCGTCCAAAAACAAACCAAACAAATTGAGTAACACGACTCACGAGTCATGTCCTCCTACACTCATTGCCGTGAAAGTCAAAAAGGGAGAAGAATTAATGGAGTGTACTTGGGAATCCAAATAATGTTGTTTCTTTGGTTTCTGTCTTTGTTTAGGGGCAGATAATGCCAATAATCTCAATTCGGGTCTTGTGAGTTGCCGCTGCCCGCTGCAAATTCATTGAGATGAGAAGCGTCGTTTTTTGTTGTTTGAGCTGGGCGCCACATGCAGCATTGAAAAGAGCCTATAATGAGTAGATCAGTACGGGCCTACTGGGCTGCTGCTATAGCATTACTGTCTGTCTGGTCGTGGGTGGAAGTTGCCAAAACGACAAATGCAAAAAGGGTCACGGGTTCTGCCAATGCCATCACGACAATTATTTGATCCGTTTGTTGGATTTTTGTGGACCAGCAACCAGCTTGGATCTTCATTCTATGGGGACCAAAAGCCCATAAGCCCAACCAGTTATTTCTCTCTCTCGGATCTCTCTCCTCTCTATCCATGAAAATCTTCAAACTATATCTTCAAAATCTCAATCACAGCTTTACATTCTGTTCTACGATATGGTGAGCTTCCTAAAGTTCGTTGTCACACACAGATAATAATTATTTAATTTCTTCGAGATAAGACTGATTGAGGTGAGGACCGAGGAGCGACCATTGTTGTGCAAGTCAAGATGCAGGTTGTTAGTGCAGGTTAGTAACACTAAATAATCGAATTTATTGCACCGGTGGTGAGGATCTAAAACAAATCTAACAAAACGAGGACATCAACGAGACTCTAAAAATTCTAGAAAATCAACTTCTTCATTGAATCACCCACAAAACTATGCGCCGTGGAGATTCCATGGAAACTGAGGATTTTGCTTAATGGAGTGTGTTGGGAAGTCGCTTTGAAATTGAAGTTAGTGATCATGGGCTGGGCTCCATATGAATCTCAATCATAGAGTAGTTTTAAGCACACGTACATCCAACGGACAAATACTGCTGGATCACCTAATCTAACCATATCAGGCCCACATTTGGGCCCATCAACGTGCAAATGAACCGGACTATACAATATGGCCCAAAAGTATTTCTCTTTTAGAGAATAGAATAGTTTGCGGTGTATTATGGCGGACCAAACACGGGCCACGGCAATCTCCATGCTTTGTTGTGATGACGACGATGACTTTGCTTGTTCAGTTGTTCCTCTTCCTCGGCAATGACACTGAACCAGCAACCGCGTGATCACTAGATGACTTCTTCCTGAACGCAGGACGTCATTTGTTGAGATGTTGGATTAGTTTACTCAGTCCAGGTGAATGGCAACGACGTTTCCACATCAACTATTGAGAGTCAAATCAAAACCAACTCAAGAAAGGTGGCAATAACATCTCTAAGTCTCTGGCCGGCCGATTATATATATAAATTAGATCTGGGGCTGTTGTTGTACCAAATTAAACCAAAGCAAAAGAGGATATGGCTGTTATTCCCATCGGAAATGCTTCGTCGACCTTGGTATGTCGAGCTCTGCTGCAGCTGTTCCTTACTATAGCCATGGCGATGCTTCTGCTGCTGCCGTTCACAGTGAACGCCGATCGGACCTCCACGTTGTCAGGTGTGTGTTCATTCTCTGAATTACTCTTACGATCGAATCCTCCCCGCCAAAAACCAGCCTTTTGCCTTCTCGATCTCTTATCCGATTTGGTTGGTGCTCTGTTATTCTGAATGCAGAGGACAACTGCAGTATTGGAGTATGTGGAAACCCGTCGGCGCCTGGACACCATGGATGATCATGTTCAGTTCCATCGTTCCATGATTTCCATCTCTGCAATTGATCAACCCTAGTTGGTTGGGGTTTTCTCTTTTGAGCTTCTTGTAGTAATTAGCGTTAAATATGTGGTTTAGGTTTATGTAGTTGAACCCAGTTGTACGCATAGCTACCTGAAGTCCAGAGGGATTGCGTCCTCCTCAAATCTTTTTATTTATTTATTTAAGTGTATGTTCTTATATTGAAAAAACACCAGCTTATACGCGACCTGTTGGTCGGATGCTTGGAATTATTCACACACAAATGATTCGAGTTTGGTTGTCTTATATCCGCCATCGGGCCTTTCGGACGTTCAGCTTCCTGTGTTTCCGGAACCATTTCCACTGTTTCAGCTTCCTGAACCGCGCGACGGGTTCCTTATATGAGCATCTTGACTTCGGTTTCCCATATTGTCCACAGCCTGTGCATATATTTTTAACTCCCTCATACTGAATGAGATACTCAATCCCTTCCACTTTCTACTGGGCTAGTAGTGGTTTTGTTAAATCAACTTCAACACATACTCGCGCAAACTTTCCTCTCGCTCTCAACTCGGTGGCACGATCCACACGGATTGCTTTTCCGACGAGCGAACCGATCTTCATAGCCGCCTCCTTATTTATGAATTATATCGGTAGGTCTGGTAACTGTAGCCATACAAGGGTGGAAGACACTTATGACTTCCACGGATTAAATCCTTTATACCACCTCATCACCGTCAGATATGTGTCTCCCAGCATCCATGGTCCATCGTTTATTGCGATTTCATAATCTTCCTTCCTACGGAATCTGACTAGGAAACAACAGTTCTTCATGTCCGATATTTACAAATCGCCATGTCTGCCCCATAGAAAATTCAACCTTCGAGATAATGGTAGGAAAGAAACCCTTCTACCAAGACCTTGAACTACGAGGGCTGATCTCCACTCCCTTCTCCATCGGATTTTCTCAGCAGCCGTAAATAGAGCAGTTTGGCATAAATGATCGTTCTCCATCTCATCAGTATCCTCATCCTCTTCTTTCTCCGCCTGTGCCACGTCTTCCGAATCCAATTCCTCTATGTACCAGTTATCTTGTTGAAGGATCTCACTAAACCTCTTACGAGTTCCATCCGCCCATCCACTCATACCCGCCATCCTCTCTTCATGCTGCGTTGGGTCCGGGATTGTGTCAGTCGTGTCCTCCGTTGTCATGTTCTCCAACTCCTAGTTCTCTCCATCCAAATTAAGGCCTCAGACTTTCTTTTTTGGCTAGACAGTTTCCTCCTCCCCGAATTATTCGGGGAGGAGGAAACCTACGCAGGTCGCCGAGTGCCACCCGAAGGATCTGGGGGCTTCATAGTCACGTCCGGCGCCCCTTTCGGCGTTGTCGCCGCCATGAAAAGCCCTAGCACTCTACGCCGGAAACTTGTGTTTTTTCCTCCGCTCCGAAGTTTTCGGAACTAGGTTTTAGTTTCGCATGGTTGAAACTAATGTTAGTATGTATACTAGCCACAAACATTGAATTATAGTGGAAAAGTGGTTAACAGATAAAATACTTTTTTATATACCGTTAATTATTTACATCTTAGTAATTTAAATTTTAAATATATTTTACAAACTTTTCAATATATATTAAAATACATTGTAAGCAATTACAAAAATGGTTATAATTTTTTTTATTTTAAATCCTAAACCATATGAAATCCTTGCTATGCCATTAAATCATCACTTAGTTAAGCACATAAATTAACCCTTTCTCCTCAACCGGAATGCGGCCAGAAGAATTTTCCAGGTGAGTCATGTAGATATTCCAAACCAAAGCACAACGCTTCTCACGTACGTACACAGAACGGAAAACCGCGTCATCTCTGGTTTCTGTTTTTATTTTATGGACGTCACGTGAGATATTTTTGCTTACTCGGTCTTGCGCCGGTAACCTTTCAAAGACCCTACTTCGTACTAGTGCTACTGTTATACGATGACAATGACCCAGACAAAAACAAAATCTGATGAATGAATAAAACAGAGAGAGCAAATGTCAAACCCATAGAATCAATGGCAGGTAATTTCGATACTGTATTTAACTCCGGCCGGCCGGCCGATAAGATTCGGATCTGGGTTGAAGCAAACGAGAGAGGATGGCTACATGCAATTCCCACAGGAAGTAGTGCTGCGTCTTCCTCCTCCTCCTCTCTATGTCATGCTCTGCATCTGCTCCTTCCTCTGGTTTTGTCGATGCTTTATTTTCATAATATAAATAAGCATTTAATGCACAGGGTGAGTTTTTTTCTATGTTTTGATTTATACGAGAAAAACTCGATCGCTATCGCTTCGCGTATCACAAAGATAAATATTTCAAAAAATGAAAATTTTAATGTTGATAAAAAAGTGGAAGTCATCTTATTTCATTGCTAATCATTCTTTTCATAGGTTTGTATTTACAATAGTACAATAGCATATGGTCGATGAACTTGCATAAGGTAAATGGGTCGTTGAATAGATTATTAATTTTTAAACTTCTTTCATGATGCTAATGTTTCAATTTGTATGATTTTTTTTTTTTTTTTGGTTTGAGGTAATCGTGGTTCTCATTTATGAAAATTTTTAACTGATTGCTGGTTTGAGAAGGTTCAACTCGCATTGATCAGGTCAAATTAGGTTAGATACCCATGGATTTGGGTTCAATTGTCTTTCTCAAACAAAAGGAAAAAGCGAAATAAAAAACACTACAACTAAAACTCGCTACCGACTCAAAACTCGCTACCGACTCAAAACTCATCAACACCGGGTTCAACTCGCTTTGACCTGATTGGACCGAGTTTTGGACAAACTCACACCTGACACAACACGACCATTACAAAAACAAATAAAACTTGCTCGCACCGAGAACCTGTAAAATCGGGTTCAAGTCGCTTTGGTCGGGTCGAATTAGGTTGTATACCCATGCGTTTGAACTCAATTGTCATTCTCGACCAAAAGGAAAATTATAAAAAAAAAATACTAAAGCGAATAAAACTCGCTCATGACCCAAAACTCTCAACAATGCGTTCAACTCGCTTTGACCGGGTCGACCCAGTTTTAAAAAATTCACAATTTACCCAACCTGTCAATTACAAAAGTGGATAAAACTCGCTCACGATACAAAACTTGTCAACGATGGGTCAGAGTTCAATTGTCATTCACAATGAAAAGGAAAATGAGAAATAAAAAAAATTAAAGCATACAAAACTCGCTTTCGATCTAAAACTGGTCAACAACGTGTTCAACTCGCATTGAATAATTTTTTAACAAATTAACACTTGGTCCAACTTGCCAACTACAAAAGCGGATAAAGCTCGCTCACAATACAACACTCGTCAAAATCTTAGATTCAGATTCAATTGTCTTCCCAACCAAAAGAAAAAAGGAAAAAGAAATTTTTAAATGCTAAAGTTGGTTTGAAGTCGCTTTGACTGGACTGAATTAGGTTGTATACCCATGGATCTGGGTTCAATTGTGATCGTGCTCAATAAAAGGAAAAAAAGAAAGAAAAAACACTAAAGAGGATGAAACTCGGTCATGATACAAAACTTGTGGTAGCGGGATTGGGAAAGGATGGTGGAGAACAACTAAGGATTCCGCCGACAGTATTTCGAGATGAGCTGCAAAATGGTGGGCAAATGCGATGATTTGTGCAAAAAGCAATAGACGAAAACCTAGCGAACAATAACAAAACACTAAAGATGATGAAACTCGATCCAGATACAAAACTCGTGGTAGAGGCCTTGGGAAACGATGATGGGGAACAACTTATGATTCCGTCGATAGTATTTTGAGATGGGTTGCAAAATGGTGGGCTAAGGCAGTAATTTGTGTTCAAGTTAAGATACACATGTGTTTGGATTCAATTGTGATCATGCTCAACAAAAAGGAAATAAATAAAGAAAAAAACACTAAAGAGGATGAAACTCGGTCCCAATATAAAAATCGTGGTAGCGGGCTTCGAAAATGGTTGTGGGGAACAACTTAGGATTCCGCCGACAGTATTTCGAGATCGGTTGCAAAATGGTGGGCAAAGGCGATGATTTGTGCAAAAAGCCATAGATGAAAACCTAGCAAACAATAACTAAACACAAAGCCGATGATTGTGCAAAAAACAATATACGAAGACCTAATGAACAATAACAAAACACAAACGCGATGATTTGTGCAAAAAACCATAGACGAAAACCTAGCAAACAATAACTAAACACAAAGGTTATAGAATAGAGAGTAGAGTAAAAGAAGGATTTGGAACTTCCACACTCACACTTGAAGGAGTGTGAGAGCCACTAATGAATAGTAACTCAAATCTAAACTTTATATATTAATGATTAATTAATATCATATTTGGAGACGAGTCGATCTAAGTAGCTAGCAAAGGAGACTGAATTTTGTTATGAGTTTAGTGTGTCTCCTAGCCGTCAAGCAAGCTCCTCGTTTCACCCTGCAAATCTCGGTGTTTCGGAGATGTTTGGCCATGATTGGGACTCGGCTTGAAGATCTCGAACACATAAATTTCCTCCATTGGTTATGTCACCTCACCGGCCGCCCTTTCAACCTGAAGTCTCTCTTGTAGTTTTATGACATAGGAGGAGCTGATGGAGTTTGGTCCGACGAGGAATGGTCGTAGGCGGCTCCTTTTGCCTTCGTTGTTTCCCTCCATCTGGGTAGCTAGGTTGGCTCCAACTCTCTCCTCTTGGTGGTTGTTTGGACCATCGCCCATGGCTTTTGTTGGTGGTAGGGAGCGTTGCCAGAAGCTTCCAACGGCGGTCATTGTGCGGCTTAGGCCGGGTTTTGATTAACTCTTGTTGTGCTCCTTGTTTATGCCTTAATTGGGTTTCTAATAAGTTGTGTGGGCTTTGGGTTTTTGTTGTCCATGGCCATGGTTGTAGAATGTTTGTAAAGCCAATTTTTAAAAAAATGGACTAAACAACTCACGTTTCATGACCATCAAACAAACTACACTGCGGGGGACGATGTAGATGTAGATGCAAAATGGCTGAAACGAATTTTGTTATGAAGTTCTCATTAACTAAAGTTATGTGACGGCTTCTTATGCGTTTAATTGCAATTTTGTTACTGTGTGCTAATATGGAGTCTGTGAGAACGTGGTCAGGGCGTTACGCGAAATCGGACGCTTCACTATCGTCTGATGCCTTCGATGGTTGCAAAGAGTGTATCCCTGATCCAACGAATGTGGAACGCTGAGCACATTCTCACAGACGCTCAGTGGGCATCAAAGTCGGATGCATTGATAACTTTCTTTGACTAACATAAAATATCAAATTAGAAACTTCTTCAACTAACCTTCTGGCCGTTGAATCAAACATAAGAATGCGATTGAGGGGGGGTACAATGACATTGGCAAGGACACCCATATGATCTTAATAATTGTATGAAGAAATTACCTAAATTGGGTCATATTGCCGTACACAATCCCCCCAAAACTTGCTCTAGTTCCTTCATTTAGATAGTAGTGCACTATTGCTATTGAGTATTGTTTTGAAAATAAAAGTGGACAATAGAGAGAGAAAATGAGGAGGAGGTCAGAATGATGATACATCAATATCTACAAAGGACCTCTCATCCCCTCCCCAAGGTCAATATAAAAAGAGACCCATCATTGCTTCCCTCCATCAGTGTGGCCATCGTTTGATAATTGTCTGGTCCCATATATGCCCTACCATTTTTTTTTGTTGCAAAGTATTTTAATCATGATTTAATCGTTGTTCAACGATTTAATATCTCTAAACAATAAACATCATTCATAGGTTTAGACTTTGATATGATGTTTATACGGTTGGATTGCCCGTACAGTATGGTTTCACAAACATTGTGTAAATATTTGCTCTGAAGTACTGAAGTGTGTATTTATAAGTTGGGAAAACAATGGGACTAATAGATAAGGGTTATTCTGCAGGTAGGGCTGGCATTTCGGTTAGTTCGGTTATAACCGATAAACGAAATGTCGGTTACCGGTTAACCGAGACAGGGTATGTGGCTACCGCCAACCGACCGAAGAAAGCCTTCGGTTAGCCGGCAACCGATCGGTCGGTTACCGGTTAGTTGGCCGTTTAACCGAAGTAACCGCTGCATCTAACCAGGCCATCAATCAAACGGTTTTACTCATTTCCATAGCAATGAATAAATAAAAACTAGTACTCCATTTCGCAATAGAAAACAGAGCCGAGAGATTGCTCTGTTTTTGGGAGGTAGGAGCTCACGAGGTCAGCGGCGGAAGAGGTGATCTTTTTGAGAGGGATCAGCGATTTCAGCCATTTCCCTGAACCGCCCATTGCTTGGAAACGGATTGGCTTCCCGACGAATTGGCAATCAAACCGGGGAGGAGAAGAGAAAGCTTTTTTTTTTTTTTTTTTTTTTTGATGGGAGAGAAGAGAAAGCTTGTAGGCGTGGGGTTATGGGGAGAAGACAGAGAGAGAGAGAGAAACAGAGACGCGTGTATGTTTGTGGGGATTCGAGACAAAAAAGGAAACGAGGATGGTTTACGTCTTTTGGGTTTCCTCATCTTCGGCGCAGAGATGCTTGCATGAGCGATACAGGCGAATAAGAAGGAGAAGAGAGGAGGAGGGAGGCATTCGAAGGGAAAACCAAACTTGGCTTTCGAAGTCCGGGGGCTGACGGTGGAGCCAAGCCAACGATGAGAAATGGCTGCTGCCGTTGAGAACCCTAGAAGAAGCGCCGACCACCATTGACGGAAGATCGAAAAGAAAGGGATAGATGGCTCGAGTTCAAGATCAATAGTATATCGCCCATCATCCGAATCATTTTTATTGGGTGAATGCTTCTAGGTTTAATTTTATCATTAAAATTGTCACGGTGGGAAGTTGAGATGCGAAAAGTCTAATAAAAAACTAATCAAAAGTCCCCCCAAAGAATATTGAAGAAGGACAGAGATTGTGGACTATATTTAATTAACTCTATTTTTTTTAATAGTTCATTATATCTTGATTTCAATTTCGCAATTTCAAATCCTGAATAACCCCCCAAAATTAAACTCGATACTTTCTTAACTGATCCCAACCTAATTATCTGATATATTTTTCTCAATATCTAGATCCATTCCTGAAAATCTTGCGAATGAGGCCGTTGTCGAGAATCATCCTCTGATTTTCAACCTGTGAAGCCTCTATATTCGAATCTCAGAAATAAACGCTCGTTTCCCTTCCCCCACCCCTCTCTAATAACATTCATGACGAATACGTCCTTATAATTTCTTATACTTCACCCATATCGCGACTCTAAATTCTAGTTTCGCCTCTACTCGGTCAAGCGTTAATCCATTGAAAAAAAAAGGTAAAACAAGAACCCAAGGAATGAATATGCACACGTAGGTTAACATGATCCCATCACAAAACAAAATCAATAAAAAGACCCCATCAGAATTCGTGCCCCCTTTTTCTTTCTTTTCTCCTCCCCCACACTCAACCAACACTCTACACTCTCAAGTCTCAATCCTACGTACCAACAGATTCAGCTACAGACTTGCCCTAAAAATATTAAAACTGATCAGCCATATAGGTAAGCTAGCCGTTGATGATGCTGCTGAAGATCTGATGCACAGCTGCTGCCACCTCATCTGCTGATCCCAGCTTGCATTCTTCCTCTATCTGCATCATCCAAACAACATATCTTCCATTAACACGGACGAACTCGACGAAGAAGATAATGCGCTATCGCGCGCGTCTTATCGAACACGTTACAACCACTCGATCAAACGAACGAAAAAAAAATGATGAGAAAATTGTTGAACAGTGGAATCTCCCATGGAAAAAAGAACAGTAAAATGGCTGAAACTTTACAGACTAGAGACAAGCCGCAGGCTTTTGTTGGAGTTTGGGATTGAAAAGAAAGGGAATCAAGTCAAACCTCCAGAACAATAAAATACGGTTTGACAATCAAAATTCAAAAAAAGAGGGAATTTTTGTTTTTTCATTAATTGAATTGAATTTTTTATTTTTAATTACCTTGAGATTGAAGGAGTAGAAGGCGGTGGAAGCGGAGGAAGAGATGTTGAGGTGCAAGACGGTGAGGCAGAGCTCCTCCAGCGCGACGATGGCTCTCACCAGCTGCCGCCCTCTTGTTCCTCCTCTCCCTCTCCTCTCGCACTTCACCTTCAAGTTCACGTGGTTCTGTATCGCCGTCACCTCTATCTCCGCCGCCTCCGATGACGGCGCTGCTGCTGCTGCCCTGAACTCCTCCTCGCACACGGCGGCGGCGTCATCTCGTCGAATTCTCTTCTGCGCTTCCAGGCACTGCAGCAGCTGCTCCAGTTCCTTCACGAAATCGATTGCGCCTCCGATGATTGACGCTTGATCCCCCTTTTGAAAAAAAAAATCCCAAAATCTCGTCAGTGCAATTGCGTTACATAATCATCGGAGAGAGATGAGAGCATTCGAAACTAGGGATTGAGAAACTACCCTTTGGACGTAGGAGGGAGGCATGAGGGAGCGGAGGGAGTTGAGGTGCTCGTTCATCTGACGCCGCCGGTTGCGCTCCACCGTAATGTGGGTCATCCGTTGGCTCTCCACTTCCTCCTTGTTCTTCGCCGCTCTCGTTCTCTTCCTCTTCCTTCTCTCCTTCTTCGTCGCCGTCGAGGAACCATCGGCGGCCGGTTTCGCGGAGTTTCTGGTGGCTTCTTCGGTGTTGGTAGCACTCCAGGGAAGAAGAGGAGCGGAGCTGGGATCTGGTGGGTCGACGGTTCGGTCTTGCCCGGCTGCTCGCTCGCCGCCGGCGGGGCTTACTCCTTCTGGGCAGGAGCTGGAGTGATGGTGCGGAAGTTCTCGGGTTTCGGATTTGACGGGAGAGTCGACGAAGCTGGGGTAGTCGTGAGTGACATTGCAGCTCTCTAGCTCTATCATTTGAGATTGGGGAACTAATTGGGGTTGTTGTTGGTCGATTTCAGAAGAATCGAAACAGCCAAAGGAGGAAGAGGAGAAATTGTTGTTGACATCCCATGGCAGCTTCTTGAGGTGCTGGAGTTTGAGGAGCGTTTGGAAATTGGGTTCTCGGAAGCTGAAGAAAGGGAATGGTGGCCGCCCCGGCGAAGTTGTTGCATAATTATCGACGGTTTGAAGCATTTGAAGGAACGGCATTGTGTCGTCGTCTAAGCTGGGGGAGCTTGCTGGGTACAACTGTCTTTCTTCTTCCTCTTCCTCGGCGGTTTGAACTAGTACTGCTTCCGGCTCTTCTCCCCGCTCTTGGAATCTGAAACTTGCTGCAGTGGTTGCAATCTGCTGCTCTAAGCACTCGAGATACGGGTCGCCTGCAAACTGTATGAAAAAATGTCTCAGAGAAACAAAGCAGGTGAAAAGAAGGAAATATGTGCATGTTTATGAGCTGGGTTTTGCAGGCATTGGAACCCAGGTGAGGAAAACGGGAAAAGGGAAAAGCTTGACTGACATGGGATGGAATGGGATTTATACTTAGCATTTCCAGAAAAACAACAACAGAAGATTCAATAAATGCAGGAGGTGGAGGAGGATGGAAGGAGCCAGAGAAGCAAAAAATTAAATGAGGTACTCTTAGCTAGTTTAAGGAATGTTGATGAAATTTCCCTAGTTAAGGAACTGTTGCAAGGAAGAGAAAAGTGCAGAGGGGAAGACAGGTAGCTAAAACCAGCAAAGTAACATACACATGGAGGATTATCATTATGACTGATGGGGCCTTGGTGGAGATGGAGGAGCCTCTCCATTTCCTCTTCTTTTATTTGGTTTTTCTTTTTTGCAGCAGCAGCTATCCACCCACCCAACCAGCAAAGCCTTAAATTTCAAGGACTATGCAGCAAGCAAACATTCCCATTGTGATGCTAACAGAAGAAGAGGTGCAGCAATAAATGCAACCCCATTAGGAGAAGCTCTGAAGACCCCATTTCAGCTCACAAGCACTCCCGCTACTTGGAGATATAAATGCACAAATATTCCTTAGATTGTGGTGTGGATTCCCCGCCAGGTGGGGAGGAGGTTGGGGGTTTCAAAACTGCAAGTATTAAATGCTGTTGAAGAAGAACTACTGAATGCAGCAGTACTCTTAATACTTGTACAGCTAGCTCTCTGGAGCCCAGGAACAGGAAGGAGGAGACTATTGTTACAGTGTTACTATCTACTTCGCCAGGTAGAAGGGAGAGAAAGGGTGAAAAGGAAAATGTGGAACCAAGGATAAGAACTAAGGAAGATTGCTGTTGAAGAAGAGGAAGAGAAGTAGAAATGGAGGGGATGAGGAGGTTTTGAGTTTGTGGTGGGTTTGGGGTTTGTTCGCATTGCATTTTACATTCATAGTTACAGAGGTCCACTGTAGAATTATTGGCGGTGGTGGCAGTTTTGTCCGGCAGCGCGGACAAAAAGTTGTGGGGACGACTGACCGCAGAAAACCTCCGTCTTTTTACCATTTTTCTTTTGTTTCTTCTTCTGCTTCTCCCTCAGCAGTACACCCAAAAGGCCATGGAAAGTCCTTGTATGTATTGTATGGAATCTCTCTCACTCTCTCTCTAAGTAGGCCAGGCAGGCAGGCAGAGCCTACTTCTCTGTGAATGTGCCATTGCCTCTCTTGTCCTCGGTTCCCGAGGTGTCCTCCATCTTCTCTCACCAGTCGCTGCCTCCTCTGCAGCCCTCTTTTGTTTTCTCCTTTTCCTTCTGTACAAAATAAAACAGGAGGTTTTACCGTTTTAGCAAGGATTTGTAGTGATCCACAGCCCCTAAGAGCAGCAATTTCGTCCAATCTAGAGGATTGGAAACTTACCAAGCAGATGGAGATATAGCAAGATTAATTTCCAGAACCAGCTTCCTCTTGCTAGAATGTGATATTGTGGTGAGACTGACTCTTGTGATAGCCTCCAAACAAGCGGAGGCAACCTCAAATCCTCTGCTTGTAAGGTGGTGGGTTTAGCAGGTTTGCTTACCATTTGGAAAAAGGAGAATACAAGTAGTAAGTCATGTCTCTGCTGATAATCAATCCCATGTGAATTCTATTTGCTATGTGAAGATTTGATATTTGGAATTCAAAGTACACTATTAGTTGGCCATCAAAACTGTGTGATTATTGGAGGGGCATGTGAATTCTTCGTTGCTATGTGAAGATTTGATCTTTGGGCTGGTTGATGAAATACTTGGAGTGGGAGTTCATTGGATCAACGTCAACAGGTTTTGATGCTGGTGCAAGTAGAAGGATTCTTGAGGGTGCTCAGCTCCGTGGAGTAGCAGAGCAAGCATTATACTTGTCAATCTAAATGTTGATTACTAACATATCGATCTTTGTTCAGATAAAAGAACTTACTTTCAATGTATGTGTGTTTGAATCTATTCTCCATTATGTCCTGTGGCTCTTGTGGATATTACAATATTGCTTTATTCAATGCTCAACAGCATGCTTCCCTTGTAGATATTGTCGTCCAGCAGCCATGACGCCCATTTAGACCTACCATGATTCCCCATGTCAATATCATATTATGAGGTACTCGTGCTTAAACGTTCTTCTGATTTTCGCAGTAATTAGTTGACTTTCTAGTCTAATATATATCCAAGTTTCTTTCTTCCCTGTTGTAGAATGATTCTGAAGCAAACGACAACCCCTTAATGGATTACATATGATTTCAAGTCCCCAGGGAGTCCCTTTCCATGGAAGGAAATTATATAGGCACAGTTCATGGTTTATGGATGAGCAGAGGAATCTTAAGAGGGGCCATAAGACATCACAAGTTGTACTGCCAACTGGTTACAATTGTGCTGATCTGTAGTTATCCAAGGTTTAGCCCTGAACCCTCCATGAACTAGTTAGTTCATTCGTTTCGTTCATTTTCATGCTGGTTTAAAATTGCACTGCTCTGTAAGTTCAATGCTTCAAGTTGAGATGCATTTCAGATACTATGTTTTAGGTTTGTTCTATTAACATGGTTGTGCAGAGAGCATCTGGACCACATTAGAGAAGAAATTGCTGAGCTGAGAAAGGCATCAGAATCTGTTACAGCATAACAGAACTACCTAAGTACACAAGAAAACAAACACCGACATAGTAAGCCGCTCTCTTGCTTATATATTATTTGGTTCCCAATGCCTCAACTTGGCTACCTCTTTCAAGTACGGTCGTCCTTTCTTGACTACTTCTATCTTCTTCTGCTTGCAGATCACTGGAACAAAGTTATCACAGCAAGTTGGAATCTTTTCACCACCACAAGTAAGGATGCAGAGGAGCCACCACAACTCCACAAGTAAGGATACGAAGAGAAGAACCTGTTAACTAAACTTGGCCATGGTTCATGGGTTCTCCTAAAAATCATCTGTCATTCTAATCCTAGGCTCTAGTTGCTTAATAGCTGCCATTTTGTGTCTGTATGTTAGGTAGAGTTATGTCATTCCTGTTAAAAAATGGCTTCCGCGCTTCTGAGTGACTTGACCTGTGTCTTTTCCAGTTTTCTTTCTCTGCCTTCATGTGCTGCACTACAGTGCCTTGAACACTTCACGTATTTTATGAGAAGATATTTTGTTTCATAACATGTTATTATCGTCAGTCTTAGAAATATAATCAATCTTAGAAGAACCCAAGTCGAAAAGCAAATTACTCGACTCTGTAGCACTTCTTTAGTGATATGATTCAATTCCAAGAGAGAGATTTGTGATTCCAACACCAAGAAGCTGAGTTGCATCATGCATGCTTTACAATAATGCACAAGAACCACAAATCTAATTTCATCTTGGTTGGTGCTTGCATTCTTGCTGTATATATTAAGAAGACTAGGAATCAAATTCCATCTTGGTTTTGAATGTCTTGAATTATTGAGAGCCGATATGTACGTCCGGTTACTGAGTCATTATCAAACTCATATTTTTCGGTTTGTTTAGGATGAAAAAGTGCAGAGGTGAAGATATGTAGCTAAAAGCCTAAAACCAGCGAAGTAACATACACATGGATGAAGGATTATCATCATGACTGCGACTGATGGGGCCTTGGTGGAGGAAGAGGGTGGAAAAGATGATGTGAAACCAAGGATAAGAACTCAGGAGGCTTGTTGGCTGAAGAAGAAGAAGAAGAAGAAGATATGGATGATGAGGTTTTGAGATTGTGGCTGGTTTGGTGTTTGTTCACATTACACTTACACCCACAAGTCCAGAGGTCCACTGACTCTAGAATTATTGGCGGTGTCCGGCAGTTTTGTCCGGCACCGGCAGGCGGCAGCACGCACGGACAAATGGTGGTGGGGACGCCTGAAACAAGCTTTATCTTTTACAATTTTCTTCGGTTTCTTCTTCTTCCTCAGTAGTACACCAAAAACACCATGGAAAGTTCTTGTATGTATTGTCTGGAAACTCTCTCTCTCTCTATCTATCTAACTAAGCTAGGCAGGCAGAGCCTACTTCTCTGTGAATGTGCCTTTGCCTCTTTTCTCCTCGGTTCCCTATGTAACCTGCCTCTTCTACAGCCTCTATTGTTTTCTCTTTTTCCTTCAATACTGTTGTATTGAGCTTTTCTTGTCTTCTGTTCTATGAGCTCTCTTTTCTTTTCTTTTTCCTGGGATCATAAAAAGGGACATGAACCCTTTTTTTTTTTTTTTTTGTTAAGTATAGTTAGTAATTCAACATGGCAAAGAGCTAAGCAAATCACTAGACCAAGGTTGTCAACTTGATTTAGTCTGTTAACCTAGTCGAGTAAGTGGATTGAGGGTTTATGATCTGATCGCTTTAGTCATATAAAAAAAGTATTATATTATTCATACATTTATAAATTATATAAATTACATCTAACAAACAAACGACGTCGTGCAATCTCCAACTCGGGAACCTTAATTCAAATTAACCCGCATTATGACACTCGTTTTTTCCCCCACCAGGTTTGGGTCAATCCACGAGTCGACCAGCGGGTTGACAACCACGCTTGATGGACCCACCACTTGATAACATCAGACAGGACCAATTCATTCCAACCCCACCACCATAATCGTAGTAACAAGTAATCCTTTAGCATTCCATGACAGTGAAAACCCTTGGATTAAATTTTACTGCAGCAACTATCATAGTTGTCTTTTGGGCACCACAACAACACAAAGAAAAATTGGTTTCTTGCTCCAAATACTGAAATAGGTACAACAAGTCAACAATAACAAAGGGGTGCTTGAAAACAAATACCCAGAAAAGCCAGTGAACAACATACTACATGGAACGGTCTTGCAAGCTGTTCCTGAGTGTCTGCTACCTTTAGCAATCGAGTAAATTCACTCCAGATCAGGCAGCAACAACAGTAAGAGGTATGATCAAAGAGAGAAATGTTAATACATGTGAGTAATTTAGCAACTCCTTTACTGACCTTACAACACCACTCAGCTATAAACAGGTTGCAGGCGATAAGTAATTAATGTCACAGACACCTCTCCATGAACTCCCAGATTCTATTCTCCATGTACACACGGTCCTTGTGTCTTCTCGGCATGTGTCTTTCATCCGGGAATATCAACAGTTCATAAGGTTTCCCTGCTTCTATTAACCCATTCACCAGCCTCGCCGTGTGCCTGAAATGAACGTTCTCATCGATCATCCCATGCACCAACAACAACTTTCCTTTCAGGTTGTAAACGTGATGCATCACCGAGCCATATTCATAGGCTCTAGGGTTTTCCAGAGGCAACCCCATGTACTTCTCTGTGTAAAATGTGTCGTAACCATCCCACGAGGTTACAGGAGCACCTGCAACAGCGCAGCAGAAAGTGTCGGGAAACCTGGCTAAGATCATAGCCGACATGTAACCTCCATAGCTCCATCCATACAACCCGATATGGCCAGCTTGTGCTAGCCCTTGTTTGATGAGCCACTCAGCTCCTGTTAGTTGATCGTCTGCATCAACTTTTCCAGCATTGCATTTGAGAGCGCCTTCAAACTTGAGCCCTCGTCGAGCGCTTCCTCTGTTATCCAACTGTGAGAAGGGAGCAAGCAAATTCCATTATTAGTATTGGTGTCTGAATTTTCGCTCAAGTGACTTGATAAAACAAGTTCACTTACTAAGTAAGACAAACAATGTTTTTTCTTCTTCTTCTTCTTCTTCTTAAAACTGACTTTATTAACAACTATTCGCCCTAAATCCCACAAATTGATTAAATCTGAATGGAAAAAATGACTCTGCCTATCAATTGGATTGGAAGAACAAATTTAATGCATATTCAGGTAGTATGACCGAAAAGAAAACTGAGTAAACCAATTTTGAGCAATCAAGTTAGAACTCACAGACCTTCCACACTAGGATGCCTTTACTCCGAAAGTATTGTGCTCTCATATCAACTGTATTTATCCAAGAATCATAGACACACTGCACACCAGGACCACCGTACACACTAATTACAGTTCTGTATGGTGGCGGTCCAAATTTCACTGGGTCAGGCTTATACAAAGCCCCATACAATAAAGTCCCGTCATTTGTCTGAATCTGAACGATCTCTGGATGATCGAATTCAAGCTTCTTTAATCTTGGAATGGCGACTGACTGTTCATAAAGAGGCGCTATCAAACTTCCATCCAGCAAGGAACAAAGTAGAACCCTAGGTGGAGAATCAATGGAATCATGAACATCAATAAAATTCCTCATATGGTGATCAAGAACAACCACATGTTTCCCCTTACCATGGGTTAATCTCAAAGGACCCTCTGAGATTCTGGTGCCATGATCCGGGTACAATTTAGCACGATAAAGATTCGATTCCAGAGGACTATCTAGGGTTGCTGTAAAATATATGAAACCTGCAGCCTCATCAACACCAGCAAGTTGCTCAACCATCCATTGGCCTTCTGTGATTGGTCCCAAGCATGTTCCAGTTTCGTCATGCAGATAAAGGTGTTTGAACCCGGTTTTCTCACTAGCCCATAAGAAACCTCCAGAGTATTGACTGAGACCCTTGTCCAGGGGAGTGAAGCAGTCGTGTAAATTGATCCAGGGTTCTTGTTCTTCCACTAAAATCACTTCTCTCTTCCCTGTCCTGATTTCAAACTTCAGGATCTTTAGTTTTGTGTGTGACCTGTTCAAAACCTGAGCTACGAGAACATTTCCATGCATCCAATTCACCCTGGCCAAATATTCCTCATTATCTGTTCCACCGCATAGAAGATCCATCCAAGTGATGGGACCACCAGCAACAGAAACTACCCCAAGACGAACTTTCACATTTGAAGCACCTACAAAGGGATAAGCATGGTCTTCCTCTGCCTCTGAAGAACCAACAGCACTTTTCCCTTGGTGCATAATTCTAAAAAGAGGTATCTCAGATGAATCGACCTGAGTGAACGCGATGAATTTGCCATCAAGGGACCACCAGTATCCATTTTTCCTGTCCATTTCCTCCTGTAGTCATTTAAACCCAACAACCTCAGCAAAATGTTGTCCAAACTTGCAGAAGTGATCGGTTAAGAGATATAAAAGCAAGGATGGGATGATTCCTTACCTGGGCAATATATTCTGCAAGAGCATTAGTCTGAAGAAAACATAGAAACGTCAGTTCAACAATAAAAAGAATCTCAACAGTAATTTATCCTGCATCTAGAAATAGATGACTAGTGGTGTTTAACTTTAACCTCATAAAAAACAAGGACAATGTGAACTTACCACTTGATGGCCCTTGGAATCAGAAGTTAGCTGTATAGATTCATTATGCGAGACATTTAGAACATGTAGCTCACTATCTCTAACGTAAGCTAACATGGAACCATCTGGAGAGAGATGAGGATCAATGATGGGAGAAGTTGGTGAGCTTGGAAGCTTCAGTTGAGGCTTCGAAGAAGAAAATTCTTGGAAATAAATCTGCCACCAATGGAAGATGTATACCATTAGCAGGCTTAAACCCCCAATTTACAGCATTAGCAACCTGAAAAGAAAGCCAACCCACCCCAGCAGGCAATGGCACCATAATCTTCTTCTTCTTCGAGCTAGACTTGGCCCACTCATACCGAGTCACTCCAAGACCTCTCTCCCTCGAACGCTCCCTTCTCAATTTTTCTTCTGGTGAAATGCTGCTCTCATCAAGTCCGCCATCAGGGGGACGAAACAGCAATTCCTGCTTACCAGTCTTGAGATCCAAAGTAAAGACGTTTCTATTGAGAGAATGATCAGGACTAAACAAGAAAGTTATCAATGAATCATCCGGACTAAAGCTGATCGCGCTTGGTGCAACATATCCAGGCAAAGGCGATTGAACAATCTCTTCCACCGGAAAGAAGATAGAGTCGTCCATGTTTTGTGGATTGGTACTCTCAGTTACAGGCATGTCGTTTGATCGCTTCAACTTCTTGTTCTCACTCTCATCAGCTGATTGCATTACAGCATCCACGAAGCCACAAAACTCTCGTTTAATCTGCACCAGATTAACATGAGAGTAGTTGATCAAATGAGCAAACTTACAAACCTTTGATCAGTATAGCCAATGTCAATTACAGTGTTGCTTCTGAAATGGATTTCAAAAAAGACATTATTCACAATATCAATGACCATCGACCAAGTTCAATAAATTGAAGTATAAACATGGAGCCACATTTCCAGAGATTTCAGAACCAGAAACGAAGGAAGATAGATCACAGAAGCAATAAAGATAACATCACGCCAAGGAAACCCCACTTCTAAGACAAACTTACCCGCTAAGCAGCCTGGTGAGTGGCGAACTAGTTTGCTATCTGGCGGTCAAAGGAGAGCATAACTCCATGGATCCGATCACAGTCAGACAACGAAGCAAACCAGGAAGAAGACAAGATCGCAACTTTTCGCTTTCCCAACTGATGGATTAGAAGACCCTTTTTAAAGAAATGGATTCCGAGTACCTCTATTCCACCTGAAAAGCTAATCATATGAATCGATCAGCGGCCATGAAAGCGGAATAGCTCAAAAGGCAGAAGAAATGTGTAAAGAAAAGAAAGAGATGGGATATGGCAGATTACGGGATTCCTGGGAAAGAGTAATGTAAAAGTGCAATGGATTGAGGAGGAAGTGAGGGAACTGGATTCTGTCACTGTAAGCGATCAATCGGAAATGCTATGGATCTCTGATTCGGTCTTCTTCTCTGTTTCTTTTTTCCATACCGTTGAATTATAGATGGATTATCCGATCGGTGGGAAATTCTGTTTTGGCAGCTCAATTACGTCACTGAACTTTGAGATTAGTGATACATCAGTCACTGAACTTTGGTTTTCTTTCAATAGTCACCACCACTTTGGTTTTTTTACCACATTAGCATGTCAGTCACTCAAGTTAATCAGATGACATGGAAATCATTGTAATCCATTCATCATCTAAGATGATACATAATTACAGGGACAAGTAATTCGAGAGAGTTCGCTGCAAATATGCATCATTTTCACGAAAAGTTTCGTTAAGATGAACAAAATGATTGCTATGTTAGTTATATTTATATTTTGATGACAAACTTAGTTAGAAATAAAATCTAATAATTATCGATTTGTTAGATATCCCTAATCGAGTGAATGTTTGTATAATGAACGACACACAAAATTAGTTCTTATTTGCAACATTTTCCACATATCCATTCACTTGGACGAATCGAACTAACCCAATTATTTTGGATTGGGACGAGGACGATGCATCAATACCATATCAATTGGCTTGGGTTCTATTGGTAAGATGCAATAGGGAGTGTATTTTGCTGGATTTGTTATACTTCATTATAGGCGGGTGATAATCGGCGTTAACATATTGAATTCTGGGACTTTATGTGATTATTCGTGGTATGTTTTAGTCAATTGGTGCTATTTTAGGGCTCGCTAACCCGAGAATGGTTGAAAAACCATTACTGCCTAGTGCCATGAGTTTGATATGATACAGGTGAAGAAAGCACGAAAAAGGAGCGAGTGCACAAGCAATAAATCGGGCTCGAATTACTGGTGGACTACTCACTTGGACTCAAGGCCCATAGGAATTGGACTTGGCTTGAGGAGGAGATTATGGGTCGGAGAATTAAAAAAAGAGGGCAGCATGAATTGGATTGGGCGGTGATCAATTAATTTGGGGGAGGTCTTAATTTGGACCGAGAAGGCAAAAGGCAGAGCCAATGGGGGAACGAGACAAAAGGGGCTTTGGTGAATTTGGGCCGGAACTTCTCCAGGAATTAATTGGAGCTGGGGATTGCGGACAGGAGGTGGATTTTGGGCGGAACAGAGGAGATCGGACAAGAATTCTGAAGGTGAGAAAGAAAAGGAAGCGGCGCAGCAACACAGCAGCGAGCAGCACTCGATTGAGAATTTCGATTGACTTCTCTCAAGGCCTGAGCTGAATTCAACGAGAGCGATTAGTTGGTTGGATCTTCTAAACCGAATTAGTTGTTTCTTGTTGATTTAGAACATGATGAATAAAACCCTATCGTTTTATCTTACTTTCGTCATGAATTAAACCCCAATTTCCGGGGGAAACACCATAGGATGTAGCTATTTCTTGATTTGATGGATTGATTCATGATTCTTTTCTTCCAATCTCTATTGCATGAAATTAATTAATGCTTTGTGTTGACTGGCCACCAATACAATGAATCGTAGTTAATTAGGTTATTAGCGACAGTGAAACCCTAATAACTGAACATATTTCATGTGACATAGTAACTTATCGAAGCGACAATGGATTAAATAAGGTGCTATGCGGTCTTAAATATGATATCGATCTTCAGACTATATAGTTAATTCATTGAGCTACGACAGTAGGATTTGAATTGATTATTTAGTACGTAGTAATTCCCGACAGGGATAGCTAGCACATTAGTGATATCCTGGCTGTAGAGATATGGATTAAATTGATTGGAATATGTGAATTAATCTGGATATGATAGGTAGTGAATCCCGTTGTTTCTCCCAGAGCTTTCTCCCATTGAATTAAACCCGACAGTTTTCACTTGCTTAATTTGTTTAGTTTATTTTGCTTTTAGATAATTATTCTCATTAAACCATTTTCACCTGTAGTTTGCTCTATAGAATCAATAAATCATTAGGTTGTACAAGTCCCTGAGAGACGATACCCGGACTTTCCGGTTTACTACGAGATAGGAATTTAAGCATTACGCTTTTGCCCTATCAAGTTTTTGGCGCCGTTGTCGGGGACTGCCATACCTTATTGTTGTTGATTTTTGTGAGTGAACTATTTTGATCTGGGTGTTAGTGTGCAGAAGAATTTTCAGGTTTATCCTCCTCGTGCATGCCTAGGAGGACGACTGGCAATTTACTGCCACTAGACCCGGAGATCGAGAAGACCTGCCGACAGAACAGGAAGCAGGTCAAGTTAGGGAAGCAGCCAACCACAACCACTAGGCCTTCCCTAACCCAGAGAGGGCAGGCTTCATCACCTGTCGTCCCTACACCACCACCACCACCTCGTGACATTGAGCCTGTCATCATGGCAGACGAGGATCGTTCGATCAGGGCTCGTCTGAATCGAAGGACTGGAGCCCGAGCTTCATGTGTTGTCATTCCGGCTGGGGATGCAAACATGGAGATTACCCCAGCCTTCATCAATATGATCACTAATGAATACACCTTCTCCGGGGCTAGCAGTGAGGATCCTCATGAGCATCTTTGCCGGTTCGCGAGCATATGTGATACAATGAAGAGTCCCACAGTATTTGATGATGCAATCCGTCTTCGGATGTTCTCATTCTCTCTAATAGGGAATGCATCACACTGGTTCCAAAACTTAACACCCCGTTCCATCACGACATGGGGTCAGGTTGAGAAGGTATTTCTGGATAAATACTTCCCACCTGCCTTGGCAATGAAGAGGCAAGAAGAGATTGTTACTTTTAAGCAGGCTGATGATGAGAGTCTGACTTAGGCATGGGAGCGCTACAAGGGGCTGTTGATGAGATGCCCAAGCCATGGTCTTGAAGATTGGAACGTGATCATTATTTTCTTCAATGGAATCAGAAGGGAGTTTCGGGATGCCCTGAATAATGCTTCTCGAAATGGTTTCACAAGCATGGAGGCACCAGCAGCATATGATCTGGTAGAGAAGATCTGTTCAGAAGCCACTGAATGGGGTAGTGAGACCAGTATTCGAAGGAGAGGAGGCTTGCATGAGATAAACAGAGTTGCGAGTCTAGAAGCCAAGATAGATGCTAAACTGGATTCCAAGTTTGATGCACTCGAACGAAGGTTGGCCAAGATTGCTCTGGGTAGACAAGAGGAGGTTGTTTCATGTGAACTTTGCGAGGGTCCTCATCACAGGGATATGTGTCCACTGGGAGCTGCTCAGCTGGAAGATGTCCAATACATCAATAATCCGCGAAGTCAAGGCCAGAGTGGTATGTATTCAAATACATATAACCCTCAATGGAGACATCACCCCAACATGTCATGGTCAAATAATAATCCAGCTGGTGTTCGAAACATCCCACCTCCCGGTTTTCAACAGCAGCAGCCTCAACCAGAGAAGAAGCCCCAGCTGGAGGAGTTGATTTTGGCTCATATGCAGAAAACAGACAATAATTTCAAGGGCCTGGATCAATTTGTCACTCAACAGCTAGCCATCAACAATAATTTACAATCGTCTATGCTAGCTATGGAGAGGCAGAGGGGACAGATGGCTCAAACTTTGGCAGATATGCAAGGCAGGATTCCTGGGACATTACCAGCAAATACTGAGAGGAATCCGAAGGATGCCATGGTTGTAGCAGTGACATTGAGGAGTGGAAAGGCCTTGGAAGACCCTAGCAGCTCGAAAAAGGCACCAGAGGCAGAAGAGGAAGCACCGGGAGAAAGATCTTGTGAAGAAAATGAAGAATCAACCTTGCACAGGCAAAATGAAAGCAGTTTGCCTGTGCAAAAGCATGCTGCCCGTGTACCTCAAAAAGTGGAAAATTTGAAGAATGAAAAGGTAAAGCCTTATGAACCTCCCGCACCATTCCCTCAAAGGTTAATGAAGCCCATGGAAGACCCAAACTTCAAGAAATTTGTGAATATCTTCAAGCAACTTCAGATTAACATACCCTTGGCGGAGGCACTTGAACAGATGCCTACATATGCTAAATTCTTAAGGGAGTTGCTGACTAAGAAGCGCAAGTGGGCTGATCTATAGAAGGTAACTCTTACTTCTGAATGTAGTGCTGTGATTCAGAATAAATTACCAGAAAAGAGGGATGATCCGGGCAGCTTCACCATTCCATGTGTCATTGGAGGTACAGAATTCAATAAATCACTTTGTGATCTTGGAGCAGGAATTAATTTGATGCCATACTCAGTCTACAAGAAATTGGGATTGAGAGATGTTCTAAAGCCTACTCGAATCACTCTCCAATTGGCCGATCGATCAGTGAAAATTCCAAAGGGAGTGGTGGAGAATGTATTGGTGAAGGTGGGGAAGTTTATTCTCCCAACAGATTTTGTAATTCTGGAGATGGAAGATGATCGGGGAGTGCCTCTAATTCTTGGCAGACCCTTTCTAGCAACCGGTGATGCACTCATCGATGTTGGGAGAGGCAAGTTGACATTCCGAGTAGGTAAGGAGGAGGAAATTTTTAATGTCTTTCAAGTTGACCATAATCATGATGAATTTGAAAGTGGAGCTCGAGAAAGGAAAAATCCCTCTTCCTGTGATAGTGGACCATCCGAAGAACTATCACCTATCCTATCTGCTCAGATTCTGAAATCAAAGCAAGGGCAGAAATCCTTGCCAGGTTACCTCAAGTATCGATATTTGGGTAAGGATTTCAACCTTCCTGTTATTATTCCTTCTTCACTAACATCAAAACAGGAAGAGTACTTGCTTGAGGCGCTGCAGTACCACCTACGCCTCACTAAAGGGTCCAACATGCAAGATAAGAAGGTCATACCCAATTTTCGCACACCTGGCCCTGCAGAGGTGACTCATATGCTGGATGGAGGTTATGCGTTCTATCATTGCTCGGGAGTGTATGCTGGATACCTTTCCATACCCATTGGTTGAAAGCTCCATGAACGTCAGGCTGAGGACGTTAAACAAGCGCTTCTTGGGAGGCAACCCAAGGTAAGTTTTCTTTTCTTTATTCTTTTTTTTTTTGTTGTGTCAAACCCGTGCATGTTTAGATTAGGAGTTGAACATTAGGGACAATGTTCCATCCTGAGTGTGGGGTGGCGAGTCTTAGTGTTTGCTTGTTCCTTTTGTCATGTGGTCAGTAAAAAAAAAAATTCCAAAAATCCAAAAAAAAAAAATTATTTGTTCCTTTTGTCATGTGGTCGGTAAAAAAAAAACAAAAAAACAAAACAAAAAAATTGCCATTAGGTTGAGCACAGCAAACTGCATGCAGTTTGCCTGTGTAAAAAGCAGTCTGCCTGTGCAAAGCTAATGGCTAAAAAACACCTAAAAATCAGAAAAATTAAAAACAAAACCTTGTACTCTTGTGGTAACATGATGTAAATGACCGTGATGCTTTGAAAATGAGTTTGTGCTTGAATGAAATCATCAAAATCACCCCACTAGTGTTGAATTGCATAGTTCTTCACAATGAGCTTGAATGTTTTGACTGACTTGATGTGCTTTGAATGAGCAAACTCTTTTAGCAACATTCTCTTTTGTGAGGATAGTGTAACGACTTTTGGTGAAGTAGTTAGGTGGAGAACATTGACCATTCGATATGTTTGGATACCGTGCTTACTTGCATCAATTGTGAGCTTTTGATTTTGCAATGAGTCTCTCTGTTTTGAATGTTTTAGATGGGGTGAACTGTATCTTTATAAAAGAAAACACTACCTGACAAGTAAAATATAAGAAAGTTGCCATAACAATTAAAGTGTGGGTAAAAATGCCAAAATCGTGTGAGGCAATCAATCATTGCACATGGGGATGAGGAAAGATTCAATTGAGAATCGGTTCGCGACCGTACGATGTTGCTTATCAAGTACGATCCCCAGTTGAGTGAAGTGCCATTAGAGGATGTGAAATGACCCTCCACACGGACCGAGGAAAAGGAGTTAAAAGAAGCCCTTATGCGAGTGCTAAGAAGCAGAAATTGCTCTTGCTCGGTCACCGGCAGTAAGAAACAAATCCCACTTGTACTAAATACGACCTCTCGGCAAGCAAAAGCAGAAAGAGAGAAAGCCTTTCCTTGTCATAAAAGGTAGTGATGTGCTTAAAGTAAAATCATGTTTGCGAAAGGCTTCCCCCATTAGTTTTTGAGACTCATGCTTAATTGATTGCTTATGATTGGTGTGAGTAAGCCAGACTGTCCTCACGAGATATGCACCTCACTGATGTGGTTAGATTCTCCTAATAATTGTTGCACCATAAGTTGTTAACCACCCACTACTGACGATCGAAATTGAGTGTTGCTATTTGAGTTTTTGGATGGATTTGAGTCAGTCAATGGTAATGGTTGCAAAGAACTTGAGTGTGGGGTGATAGGTACGACCATTAAAGCACAACTTGTCCGTTGAGAAAGAAACTACTGATTACAACAAGAGTACAAGGAAATTTGGTGTTTTGCTTTGAGTGTTGAGTCTGTAATGTGTCATTGTTTTGGATGATTATGTGTTTGTGTTGTTTGAGTCGTTGCTTAGGGACAAGCAACAATTGAGTGTGGGGTTGTGATAATCGGCGTTAACATATTGAATTCTGGGACTTTATGTGATTATTCGTGGTATGTTTTAGTCAATTGGTGCTATTTTAGGGCTCGCTAAC